CTTCATCATATGATGAACTTTTAAAAGAGATTTGTGAAGTCGAAGCAGCAATATCACGATTTCGTTCTACATCAGATAATTGGCAAGACTATGTTCCACTTCTTCGTCTCTTTCCAGCTAAATCCAATCGAGCAAATGAATATCGTCTTCGTCGTGATCGTTATTTAAATATTCTTCTCGATGGTTTAAAACAACATATTGCTAATGAAACAGACAAGCCTTGTATTACCGGAAATATTCTTAAAGATCCAACAACTCAATTGAATGAAGCAGAAATTAAAAGTATTTGTTTAACAATGGTTAGTGCTGGTCTAGATACAATTCCTGCTAACATTATCTTTGGTATTGGTTATCTTTCATCACCACATGGTCAACAAATTCAACAACGTGCTTACGAAGAAATTCAAGAAGTTTATCCCGATAATGATGTGTGGGAAAAATGCTTAATTGAAGAACGAATACCATACATAACTGCACTTTATAAAGAGATACTTCGTTATTTCACCGTTATACCAATGTGTCTCCCACGACGAAGTATTCAGGATATTGAATATAATGGAATTGTTATTCCAGAAGGAACGTTGTTTTACATGAACGCATTTGCTGGTGATTATGATGAAGAGCATTTTGAAGAACCTGAAAAATTCAATCCGGAACGATATTTAGGCGATGTAGAAGGTACATCGCACTTCGCTTATGGAGCAGGAAGTCGAATGTGTGCTGGAGCACATTTAGCAAATCGTGAATTATTTACTTTTTTTGTTCGATTAATTACAGGATTTCGAATTTTACCACCGAAAGATGAAAAATACATGGCACCTACTGATGCCATGGACGCCAATCAATGTCATACTGCTCTTGTTGCTGAGCCCAAGATGTTCAAATGTCGATTTGAACCACGAAACAAAGAATTGTTAATGGAATGGTTAGACAGTTGTCGACAACGAATCGACAACGAATAATTTTCATAGATGTCAGGCATATTTTATCTTTCAATAAAATGATCTATTTGTTCTCGAACGAATATGCCGAAAGAAATCAATACGAACATTAGAGTTATTTGTGAGAAATCGATGGGTATATCTCTATAGAAACGAAAGTTCTGATGTATCGAACGAAAAGAAGAAGAAGAAAGAGAACGAAATTGATCGAGTAAAAGTTAACATATTGGATAAAAAAGCAAACACAATATTTCGCATCGTTTTGAAGACCTTCAAAACAAAAGCAAATAAAAACTTCAACCGATCGTAATTAATTCTTTTTCTATTTCACATATTTTTCTAACAATACCTATGTAAATCAACATTCGCTTAAGAATCAAAAAAGAAACGTCGTTTTTCTTCTCCCTTTTTCTTTGTATTCCGATGGAAAACATTTGTATATTTCCGTTTTTGTTTCTATCCGATTAACAATAAGAGAGGAAGTTTGTAAACGAATGAAACCTTATATCCTTCTCATGTGTCATTTGACACAACATCGAACATGCCATTCTTCTCTTCGCGTGACATAGATCTTTTTTTCGACGTTTTACATCAAACTAGTTTACGATGTTCACAGAAAAATACAACGAGGTATGATATTTGATTATCATTAGTCGTCGTCCGATTGTGAATTGACAAAAAGAAAGAAAGGAAAACAATGTTTCTGTTTTATGTGACTTCTCTTGTTTGTTTAGACATCAGATGAGTCGTGGTCTTTATTTTCACGACCAATATGTTCGTGTATCTCATGTTGGTGGTATTCATCGATACAAACGTGATGCGGATGATCTAACAGAAGCATTTCAACAAGTGAAACTCGCATTAGCAGCGAAAGATGACAAACCCGTGAAATTCGATTCGAGTCTTGTGAGTCCGACACCAACGCATGGAAACAAACATAAAGGAAAACCAGCAAATGATGCTTTGTTGAAGAATATTCAAAAGAAATTGAAAGCTCCAATTGTACCCGAAGTCTTATGCAGAGATTTAGATGTTTTGTTACAAAGGTTCGAAGAGAGATTGAAAATGTCAATGAAACTTCTTCAAACTTCGGGACCACCTGCTACAGTTCCTGAAGGTGAACAAGTTGTCACCGATATTTCTGCTGTTCCTGAACTAATTGATGAAGAGAAAGAAAAAGAAAAAGCTGCGTCACCAACACCACCACCACCAGCTCTACCAAAAATAGTTCTACCTGATTCTTTACTTATGGCTTTACATTCAAACTGGAATGATCTTGCAGAGAATGCCGAAGATAATTATAAAGTATTTCGATTTTAGTTCTTTAACATATAATCGACGTTTCGAGTGTTCAGGTTTGGCGAACAAAAATTGCTGAAGATACTTGGAACCGTCGTCTTGAACGTAAACGTGTCGAACAATTGAAAGCTGAAAAACATCCACCACCAGTTATAACTAAACCAGTTCATCCACCATCTCGTAAAGCTTCTCGTCTTAGTATTTCTTCGATATCAAAAGATCAATTACCAGCATTGGTATCGTTAAGTAGTCGAACGCGACCAAATCATTCCTTGTCTCGCGTTTCATTTCTTAATCCGAATGCGGACAATAATCGTTTATCGAAATCATTACATCATGGTGGCGCAGAGAATATTGCCGGACTTCATGTCGAGTTTAAATTATCAACAGAAACCGATGAATCTAAACAAACGACCAGTGAACGAAAAGGTTGGAAATTTTTCTTGAAAGTCTATCCGTAAAGTTTAGCGTACTTTACCTAGCGGTGAGTTTTGATGTTGCAAAACCAATGGTGGATTTGTATGAAGATATGATTGCATTGATTCAATTGAAATGCAAACGATTGCTTGCAGAAATGAAACAAAAAATGTTCGTCAAAACATTAATCATTTACCGTATGATTCGTTTATTTTCTGATGAATAGATATCGAACAACAGGAAATACGAATATCCATCATCCAAAAATGTGTAAAGTTTGGTTTTATGAAGATATCCATCATATGAGAAATAAAATTAATTTGTTGTCGTTCAACGAATTAGCCAGTAAGTATATTTAAAAATGAATTACAATCAACGAAATATTTTCTGTTTTAGAAAAACAAAAAATGAAATTTATCTTCTCGATTTTACGAAAACAAATTCCAGAACGATATAACATCGACATTGAAATACCTAAAGCAAAACATAAATGTTATATTGAATTAATCGATGGTTCAATTCAAGTCTAGTAAGTTTTACATCTCTTGTAAACCGAATCTCTTTCGAACAGCTTGTGTGTATTATTCGATATAATTGAATTCAACTTTGAAGTTTGACACTTCTACATATATTAAACTTATTCCTGACATGAATCTAAATAAAGTTTCCATTTAGTTATCCATCCGGTCGACTTGCTGTTCTTCGTCTTCAGCCTCCACAAACTTGTACACTCTTTTTCGATGATACTGATTCTCCCGAAGAACAATTTCTTGGTCTCGTCACCTCGACTGGCAGTGTTCTTATCATGCAACCTGCTCTCTACGCTCGTTTCGTAACTGATCCTCATCACGAACGTGGTTATCTATGTAATGGTGAGATCGGTTCCATCGACAAACAACTTCGTGCAAATTCCAGTGATCCAACACCAGAACATCCACCAGTACCAACAGGAAACGAAGAGGATACATCCGTACCTCCTGTTGTAGAAAATACTGTTCAATTACAATTGAATTCATCGATGCAATTGGAATACTTGAATCCATTTAATATTCGCTTTGCATTCGCTTGTAGTAAAGAAGAATATAAGTTTCAATTAGGTGCCGTTCCTTCGTTACAAATGTCGACTTCACTTGATACATCAACGAATTTATCGAAGAAAAGTTCTGCTGATCGACGACGTCAATCGAAATCTAAAGTCTCGACGATTATTTCCAGTTCAACACATTCGAGTCAATTATCATTGAATTCGGAAAAACCACAAATACTTACAGAAAAATTAGCAGATGGGCAAATTAATATGAAGGAATTACCAATGATGAAAGATTTAATAACATTACGAAAGCGTGTCAAAAATATTTGTAGTAATTGGTTGAAAGAATGTCGAACAGCATTGGGTAAATTTCATGAAAAATCAAGCAGTTTTTTGTGACATCAATCTTTTCATTTAAGATATCACAGAGTCAACACGGTCGACAACAAAACGGAGCGTCAAATCTCCACGAAACGCATCTGTTTCTTCTAAAGGTGATACAGCAAATAATGAATTTCCTCAAGGAAGCGAACGGCAACAGCTCGTTCGAACGCATTCAGCACGAAAATCAGACGGTAAGAACTTTTTTCTCATCGTTAAACATTTCTTGAACTATTCGTTCTCTTATAGCGGATATCATCGAAAGTACGATGATGGAATTTCTACCTCATTCGGAAAGTGGCAAACTTTTCAAGCAAAAATTGAATGCCAGGAAAAATCTTTCCTCATCAGTCACAACATTACCTGCTATCAAGTAAAGCTCATATATCTTTGAAGAGTCATCGAGAAAATCTCTTTTAGATCGGATGGAAATCTTTCATCTCGTGCAGGCACAACGATTTCTCTTGATCTACCATTTGCTTGTCCGAACGTCATTCGTCAACGTTTACTTCAAGAAAATCCATTGATTCCACTTTCATACGAAACCTGTGCGTGCCGAGCTGAACAAGTTCCACAAATCCATGATTTAGAATTCGATTCCTTTATTAATTTAACAAATCACTTAAGTCCCCGACAATTAGTTGTTGTTGGCATAGTTAATACAAATCAATCTTATCATGAAAATAATCGAACGAATGAATTGTACGAAATTCTTCAAACATTGCACTATCACCTTCATTCTTCTCGAAATCAATCGTGTTCATGTCGCTCGTCCGTTACCGATGATTATCGATTTCTTATTTATGATTTATCTCAAGCGACAAGACAAAGTCATTCTCAAGGCCCGTTGCTTATGCGTCGTCATCATGTACAACCAGGTTTTGTTCTCATTTACCAAAATGGTCGATTGATCTTTGGTGATTCGATCTTCAACGGTTACGGATCGAATGTACACGATCTGCAGAATCAGTTGAATCAAATGAAACAACAACATATGGCTTTGCCAGATGAATTCAAATTTCTGTAAGTTCGATTTGCCAATGAGAATAGAATTTTTTGAAACTTGCTTTTTAGATCCGATCAACGACGAACGAATACAACAGTTTTGAAATCAATTTAAAGAAAAATTTTATTTTTTTAAATAAAAATCGTTTCGCGAGTTATGTCCATTGAGGAAAAAGTTTTGATTTCATAAGTATCATTGAAAACGCTTGTCCTTCGCGAACGATGAAAGTATTTCGTTTAAAATCGTCTGAATTACTTTCTACAAAGAAAAACAAACTCGTTTCAAATCACGTGCGTGTTCGGTATTATAAACGACGTTGCAACTGCAATCGTAGTTGAAAAGTTAACTTTGAAAATTCTGTCTTGAGACTGATAATGGTAACGCAAAAACAACTGACGAAGATTAATGTCGATGAAATGAATATGAAATCGTTTGCATACAAAAACAAAGACTTTTTACTAAATCAATCTGAATCATGTGAATATCAATTTAGAAAACTATCGTTATTTGAAGGAGTTCTACGCATTCTAGTCAAATACTGTTTTCGATTCTCGACATATTTTCTGGATTAGTCGGAGTTTGGACTTAACAATAAAGTCACAGAGCTTGTTCATAATGAGACAATGCATTTTTCAACACATCATTATTTTCATAAGCAATTGTGATATATTCCAATACAGAAATCGTTTTCAGAACTTTAGTAGTCGAATATTGTTTGTAAATATTTGATACTTGTAGAAGATGTAAAAGTGTTTACTGATTATCACCTAGAATTTCATAAAAATAGTTTCGATTAGAACTATACGATGTCCTCTCTTTTCGAATCACGAATGATTGTTGATAATATTTCAATGCTTGAACAGGATCTTTTCCCTCTGGATAGATACTACCCATGTTATTTAAACACGAAGCAATATAAGAATGATGTTCACCTCATTTCTTTCTACTTATCATCTTTACTTTTTTATATGTTCGAAAAACGAAAAAATTCCAAGATTACTTAACGAGCATAAACTCATATGAATATTCTATGTTTCATCAATTGTAGCATCTTACCATTCTTTTTTGATCGAAATCCAATTAGTTCATCAAGTTTTTCAATTTATCGAACACACATCTGAGCTAAACGAGAAATTTCCTCCCAAACTCCTTATTTAAACAGTAAACATAGATTCAACTGATGACTCTTGTTTTTACTATTTTCGGCATGATCTTTTGTCCGAGTTCTCCACTACCAATCAAAACACTTCGATTATCTCGCGTTGCAATTTTCTTCAAGAAGATTTCATCCGTCGATGAACATTCACCTACAACGATTTGCAAAGCAAAACAAAAATATTTCGAGCACTTCCCATTTTATTCCTTCCGATGAAGTAACACGAACCATCATCACAGTAAAACCTATTCATATTAAACAGATGTATTTATTAAACTTTGTTTTGTTTTTTTAATCCATGAAAAATAGGCGACCTTCATCACAAAAGTCAGTTTGGATATCTTTGTCTATATACAAAGACAATCAATTGCGTTGATTATCCTAAAACTTTAATTATCCTCATCATCAGAATCTTTTTCTTCCGGTAAGTTTTGTTTGAAATTTCCCATGTCATTGTACGCTTTTGTCGGTTTATTGAATGGATTGTCCGGTGATTTCATCCATTCTTTTTTCATCAATTGTTTCAATTGTGATAAACGTAATGTTGGATGTTCTTGTTTTAATCTTGGCAGATTTTCGGTTTCGAATGTTTCATATGCAGCTTTCATACGTTTTTCCGGATGAGAGTCGACGGATGCTTGAGTTGATCTAAAGATTCTGTCGTTTAGGGACGAATGCAAAGCAAATATTGATTTACTTTAGAACGTGAATAGCATCGTCGACATTACGAGCGGAATGACCATCGATTTGTAATCGATTAACGTTTTCTTCAAGTGGAAGATCATCCGTGGTGTTTCGTTTTGGCTCTTGAAGAAAAAAAAAGATAATTGAAAATTGAAATTGAAGTGTTTAAATACCATCAGAAACTGCAGCAGCAGCAGCGGTGGCTTGTCGCTGTTGTATCTGTGCCTGAGTGACTTTTTTCGGTGCTAAATCGGCGTTTTTCTTCGATTTCGATGCACTTAATGCCGCTTCTTCTTGTTCCAATAAGGTTTGCTTTTCCAATTTGCGTTGTAATTTTTCTTGATCTTTTTGATCTCGATCATCCTTCAAAATAGAAGTCGAACGTATTTCTTTATTCCGGACGAACAATTTCAACAATACCTTTCTTTGTTGTTTCTTTTGCACAAGTTTATCGTCATCACGCCAATGTTCATCTTCTAATTTTTGCTGTTTTTCACGTTCATTTGCTTGTTTAACCGCATCCTTTCTTGCGTTAGCTTCAGCAGCTTTTGTATTAGTACCAAATTTCTTCGGCATGATTTGTTTCTCGACGCTTCTGTTCCCGTCGTGTATTTATACAAAGAATCAACTTTGCGCAAGTTTCTTTCGTAAGTGTACGGATGATTCATCGCCCACTAGCGACATCATTTATCTGAAAAGTCAAGCAAAATTTTTCTCGCGATTTTTTTCCGATAAAAATCCAAGAAAATTCTTTTGAATGCATTAAAATGAAATTTTCGACAAAAGATTTCTTCTTCTATTTTCTAATTGACCTTGTTGATAAATATGGCTGATGGATATTGTTTATTATGTTATGTTATCTCTATCGGAATGAACTAGCTAAATCGAATGTTAACTGGAATAAATCCTTCAATATCTGACGAAGTTAATCGTCAGTCGAGTGCAATAGCTAAACGTCGTGAACAATTACGTCGATGGGACGAGTCGGAAACCAATCGCGCATCGACGACTATCAAACATTCTCAACGTGTCAAATTCGAACAAGCCTATATCTTCTTAGCCGCATGTTCATCGGAAGATAGAGAAGAAATCGATAAACTCTTACAGCGAAGTGTCGATATCAACACATCGAACGTCGATGGGTTAACCGCACTTCATCAAGCATGTATTGATAATAATTTACATATGGTCGAATATTTGCTCAACAAAAATGCCGATATAAATTGTCAAGATAATGAAGGATGGACACCTTTACATGCAGCATCATCATGTGGAAATCTCGATATTGTCAAATATTTGTTATCTCGTGGTGCTATTGTTGATGTTTGTAATAATGAAGGTGAATTGCCGATTGATATCGCTGAAGGTGAAGATATTGCTGCTTGTTTGGAAGAAGATATGAGAAGAAAAGGGATTGATGATCAACAATCGAGAAATTATGAACATCAACTAATGATCAAACATGCCCAAGACTCATTGAATAACAATAAAAATGGTTTGAAATCAACAGCCGACGTCATTGTTCACTCACGAACAGGTGCGACAGCGTTACATGTTGCCGCTGCGAAAGGATATTTAGATGTTATTGAGTAAGTTTTTCGCAAGATTCTTTTGATTTTGTTATGAAAAAAGCTTTTCTTCTAGTCTGTTGGTACGTGCTGGTGCAAATTTAAAGTCAGTAGATAATGATGGATGGACACCTTTACATGCGGCTGCACATTGGGATAAACATGATGTGATTAAATATCTTGTAGAGAAAAATGCCAGTCTAGATGTGAAAAATTACGCTGTAAAAGAAAACCGAGTTGTGTTCGTCTACCGATCAAACAATGATCTTTTTTTTGTTCAGGGACAAACACCACTTGATGTTTGTGATGGTGAAACATTAGAATTATTGAAAGAATTAAAAGCTAAACAACCTCCTATGAAGGTATGACACTGATTTTTCTTTGTTTTCAAGGCCTTTCATGGATGATTCATGTTTAGAATGAACCAATTGAGACAGTCAAACGAATTCTTCCAACTCGTCCAATCGATGAGCAAAAATCAATTCTACGATCTGAATTACACAATGAGAATTTAGATAAAGTGAATAAACCTTCTCAGGTAGATGAGAATTCTGCTAATGGTGCACCGAATCTCAAAGTACGTTCTTCGTATTTTTACGCCAAACAAAAACACACACGGAGACGATTTCATTGCAGGAAAAACTGAATAATCTTCAAAGATCTTTACATGATTTAAGTAACCGTTACTCCCGAACAAATCAAGAAGAGGTAATATAAGATCCGATTGATTTGCAATGCGTGTTGTTTTTTTTTGTGCTGGCCGATTGCTTGTGCATGACGAATGATTTCCTTTCTAGTCTTTCATACCAAATTTTTTGATAAATTCAACTCCGACTGGTTCACTAACTCGATCTACGATAAAATATTNGATATAAATTGTCAAGATAATGAAGGATGGACACCTTTACATGCAGCATCATCATGTGGAAATCTCGATATTGTCAAATATTTGTTATCTCGTGGTGCTATTGTTGATGTTTGTAATAATGAAGGTGAATTGCCGATTGATATCGCTGAAGGTGAAGATATTGCTGCTTGTTTGGAAGAAGATATGAGAAGAAAAGGGATTGATGATCAACAATCGAGAAACTATGAACATCAACTAATGATCAAACATGCCCAAGACTCGTTAAATAACAATAAAAATGGTTTGAAATCAACAGCCGACGTCATTGTTCATTCGCGAACTGGTGCGACAGCGTTACATGTCGCCGCTGCGAAAGGATATTTAGATGTTATTGAGTAAATTTCCTGCAAGATTCTATTGATTTTGTTATGAAAAAAGCTTTTTCTTCTAGTCTGTTGGTACGTGCTGGTGCGAATTTAAAGTCAGTAGATAATGATGGGTGGACACCTTTACATGCGGCTGCACATTGGGATAAACATGATGTGATTAAATATCTGGTAGAGAAAAATGCCAGTCTAGATGTGAAAAATTACGCTGTAAAAGAAAAACGAGTTGTGTTCGTCTACTGATCAAACAATGATCTTTTTTCTGTTCAGGGACAAACACCATTGGATGTTTGTGATGGTGAAACATTAGAATTATTGAAAGAATTAAAAGCTAAACAACCTCCTATGAAGGTATGACACTGATGTTTCTTTGTTCTCAAGGTTTTTCATGGATGATTTATGTTTAGAATGAATCAATTGAGACAGTCAAACGAATTCTTCCAACTCGTCCAATCGATGAACAAAAATCAATTCTACGATCTGAATTACACAATGAGAATTTAGACAAAGTGAATAAACCTTCTCAGGTAGATGAGAATTCTGCTAATGGTGCACCGAATCTCAAAGTACGTTCTCGATTTTTTCACGTCAAAAAAACCCACACGGAGATGATTTCATTGCAGGAAAAACTGAATAATCTTCAAAGATCTTTACATGACTTAAGCAACCGTTACTCCCGAACAAATCAAGAAGAGGTAATATAGGATCCGATTGATGTGCAATGCGTGTTTTTTTGTGCTGGCCGATTGCTTGTGCATGACGAATGATTTCCTTTCTAGTCTTTCATACCAAATTTTTTGATAAATTCAACTCCGACTGGTTCACTAACTCGATCTACGATAAAATATTCTCTTTCAAGTCCACAAAGAACATTCACAAATCCATTACAATCTTTAACGACAAGGAATTTAAATTCTAATGACATATTTTATCGTGTAAGAGACCGAAAAAAACGCATCTTCTCCTCTCGTCTTTCGTTGCATGTTGAAAAAAACGCACACACACTAATCTTTTTCCAGTTCGATAACACATACGAACCAGTGATTATGTCTCATTCGATTTCATCTACGAGACATACGAACATCAATCGATTGTTGAACAGGTAGACAAACACATGTTGTTTACACCGATAGGAAACTCGTTTGCACTATAGAAAGAAGAATTCATGTGAAAATTCGATTGTTTTCTTCTAGGAGAATTCGAACAATCTTGTCTCGTCTCCTACTCAATCCTTGGATGCAAAAATCAGTCGAAGGTAGGCAATGACCATGAGACATGCATCATATTGATTTATCTTGTTTGATGTGTTCTTCTAACTTAATTAATTGCATGAAATTTATATTAATAATTACTATTCTAGCGTCAATCAGACACAGCCACCAGAGGCATCACCGAGAAGGTATTTTGTTCTTCTAACCAATGAAAAACGTTCCAACATAACACGTTTTCTGCTCTTTTGTATCGAACTAAAACTAACAAATAGTTGATGCATGTCTTGTTGCCTTCCAATCGAACTCATATTCACATGCACTCTTCTCTCTTTCAACCTTTTACTTCTCTGTCACATGTTCTTTTTCTTCGAAGTCAATCTTGTTCTGTTTAGATGGGGTACAACTGATCGAACAGTAGGTGGTGAAACATCGAATAATACGGGTCCTTATGTACGTCGTCGATCTGCTGCTGGTGTCAATGAATCATCTCCATCGACTGCACCAACTACAGTTGTTAGTGTAACAAGTTCTCTTCCTCCGCCGACAGCCAATGTAACAGTGACATCAAACGATGAGATTGCCAATGGAAAGCGTCGAGCAGCCACTCGTGAAGAAGAAGCCGAAGCGCAACGAAAACATCGTTCAGCTCAAGCACGACGCGAACGTCGATCAACTCAAAGCGTCACGGTCGAAGATATCAAAGCAGCTGAACAGCAAATTAAAAATCGCACGAATGAAATCTCTTCGATAAATAACAAAATCGGCGCGCCATCAACACCGTCGACGAATGAAATCGAAACTGAACGTTTACAAAAAGTCATCGAAGAGAAAAAAGACAAAGCTCGAAAAACGAGCGGAGGAAATGAAGTAATGAAATGCAAATCTAACTGATGAAAATTTGATTGTCATTCTTTAGGATAATGTGGAAACTATTTTGGATATATCGCGTCGAAATGAAACTACAACTATTGTTGCTAATGATTCGCTAAATATCGCCGAACCTCGACGACGAACTAATCGTGTACATAATCAAAGAAAAAATACGGGAAAGATTATTTGGAATGATGTGAGTTATTGAATGAATTTCGAAAAGAAAGTTGCCTTTTCGTTGTAGGAGACAAAAGAAGTTGAAATTCGAGAAGATTCTGTTCCAAAAACGTCAAGCGAAGGTTCAGATGATCAACAACGTCCAACTCCGATATCTCGATTCGAAAATACTTCGAAAGATTTGCGAACAAATCGTTCACAAAGTCAAGAACCATTGAAAAAGTCTTTGAATATCTCCACGTCATTGCCAATGAATGGAATCAATTCAAATAATGATTCAACAGTCATGATGAAATTATATGAAGAAGCCAAACGAAGAATCGACGAGTTAAATCAATGTATCGAACGATACGAACGAGATATTGTCGAACGGGATCAAGTTATTGAGAAATTTGTAAGAAAAGTTTTAATAGAAAATCGAAGTTGACTTTGTTGTTTTAGAAAACATCGCAGTATATCGAATCTTCACTTGATAAACGAGTACGTGCGAAATTGTCGATTGTTAAAATGAAATGAGGAGATTTCTTTTAGGAAAAACGTGCTTATGAACGAAAAATCTCGGAATTAGAAGAAGATTTAAAGGTAAAACTCGAACGGAATTATTTTCCAATAAATTCAATGTTTTCTTTGTAGAAAATGGATTCATTGAAATCGGATAATACACGTCTAAAAGAAGAAAATGCTGCATTAATTCGTGTTATTAGTAAACTTTCGAAATGATGAGAAGAAACTCGTTTTTTTTTCTTTCTTTGTATTAATCTGCGTGCTGCTTTTTTTCTCTTCTCGTGTTGTTGTGCAATAGAGCCTTTCTCTCTCTTTTTTAGTCACTTGGTGCTACGAATATTTCGAGACAAATCTAACAAAACAGTAAAAATGACGAAGAAGAANAAACAGTAAAAATGATGAAGAAGAAGAAAGATGTTTTGTATAGAAGTCTCTCAATTCAAATATTTAATCTTCTTCTCATTTAAAATCAATTTATTCTTATTCGTATTATTTATATACATTTTTCAACTTCAGAATGTAATCTCTCTTTCTCATTTTCTTCTTATCTTTATTATTTAATTATTTCTATGCCTTAGACACAAATACAATGTGTGTGTGTGTGTATGTCTTTCTTATGTATTTTCTATTATGCTTTTCTTTTCTTTTCTTTTTCTTTGCAATCAAAAATACAACACATGCACACAAGTTTTTATTACGAAGAAATATCATATAGCGATCTCGTTCGTTCAAATTTAGAAGAACTTCCATTTTAATCAGAAAATATGAATGCTATTTGCGAAATAGAATCAGTTATGTCTGAAATCTGTGATGTAGATCAAACGATGTATTATTTTCAATTTTCTAAAACCGATATAATAATTTCACGTGATCAGTATCATCTACAATATTTCAGTAGAGTTCTTATCAAATTGCCAGATTACGGAATTTCCTTCGTAGATATACGTCTCCAACACGGAGAAAATCTAATTCAAGCGAGTTCTCTGATTGTTCGAGACACACATGCTCTATTTTGATTCATCTCTTTACGTTACTCCAGACAAAACACTAATTTCAATCTTAATCACATGATACTTCTTTCTTGTCGATATACGTCACAATTCAAAATATAAAAGATGTCGCTGCAGCGACGAATTTGGCTATCGAGATGACATAACAAGTATATGACTCAATCTCGACTAGTCGTAGGAGAAATGATTTCAGCAGGAAAAATCCCAACTTTCGAATGATTCAATACAGTTAGAAAAATTCCAAAAGAAGGATTCCTTCTCTTCTTTCTCAGATAAGACTAAAGAGCACAATAAACATACTTTCAGAAATTTTTCACTATCATGGCTGAAGCGTCTAATATCGAACAAACTATGTATTATTCATTTCGATTTGGTAAAACCAATAAAGTCGTTCACCTTGATCAACAACAATTACAGCATTTTCCCTACCTTGTTGCTCTTGTCGAACGATCACAAGATTTCATCTCAAACAAAAACCAGAATGATGAATATGTTCTGGATAGCAACATTCGTTATCGATGGTTTCTCCCTATCATTTGTTCGGTCACGCAAGAGCAACCGTCCCTTTTATTTTCTAAACTTCCTTTGACTTGCAATGTATTAGGAAGTCTTCAATTGTATGATTATTTATGCATTAAACCACTTCCACTTCCTCGATTCAAAGACGATAAATTAGTCCGAACTCACCCAACTGCTGCTGATGAAAACGAGAAATATGTGAAGTTTGTACGTGCTAATGTTGGTGAAACACGAAACCTAGCAGTCCAATTTATGATGGCTATCAGCAGAGATGAGTACGATCTAAATGATTTGGAAACGAAAGACGAAGTATTTTCACTCATTATGAGTATCTTCTCAAATTCAAAGGTGTTCAACATTAAGTTTCGCTCTCACACATTGAAAATCGTGATGAATTATTGCTATGCATCGTTTTCCGAGGAACAGAAAAAAGAAATACCAACTGTAAAGCGAATCAAGCAGATGAAAACAACGGAATTCTGTGTCAATAACAACGAAGCTCTTCCAGACGATTTTCAAAACAAATTTGCATGGAAACTTGTCGAAATATCAAAGGAAGAATATGATGCTATCCATGCAACACCTGATAGTGATTTTTATTTTTCCTTTGACGATTGGAGTCAATCCGACGATATGGTCTGCTCAGGATATCCGTATGATTTAGATTATGATGAATGGGACATGACGGAAACATGCTGCACTTTCTATGAGAATCATCCTTTTCTCAACAGCCGAAATCCATTTCGACATCATATCGGTTTCAATTGCTACACGGGTACCAGGTGTATGTTTTAGAAATGCTGCACAAGTTTTTTTGTATATCGAACAAAATAAGGAAGAAGTAGAAGAGATTTTATTTTGAAGTATCAATAGTTTGCCGAAACAATCGAAAGTTAATAAGTTCCAACATCTGCCTGTTTCAAAAGCTCGTTGGTATTCTGTTTGTTCTTTTTTTTTGTAATTACTTTTAATCGAGAAAATATAACTCTCAGAATCGCTATATTCAACTACATCTTTGAACTGTAACCAGCTGATTGTTTAAATGTAATATTGAAAGCATGAGAGATGTCATCGTGTTTACTGATCTCATTCGAAAAAGTGGGTAAACATGACTCATTCAACTTTTTCAGACGTCAATGATGATTCATCAGAATTGGAAAAAGCCGACAGTTGTTTAAAAAAATGTGGGAAGAAAGTGATGCAGAGATTTTTTACTTTTGTTCCCGACCAGATTATACGGTATAGGCTTTTTTTAAATTGATGACTGACGCGTCTAATACCGACGAAACTATGTATTATTCATTTCGATTTGGTAAAACCAATAAAGTCGTTCAACTTGATCAACAACAATTACAACATTTTCCTTACCTCGTTGCCCTTGTCGAACGATCACAAGATTTCATCTCAAGCAAAAACCAGAATGATGAATATGTCCTGGTTAGCAACATTCGTTATCGATGGTTTATGATTATTTTTCAATCAGTCATTCAACAACAACCATCTATTTTGTTCAGTAGACCTTCGGAAAAGTTAAGTGTTATCGGTTTGCTCCAGTTGTATGAGTATTTATGTATCAAATCACTTCCACTTCCTCGTTTCAAAGATTGTAAATTAGTTCAAACGCATCCGGTTGATGTCGACGAGGGAGAAAAGTATGTGAAGTTTGTACGCGCTAATGTTGGTGAAACGCGAAACTTAGCAGCTAAATTTGTGATGGCCGTCAGTAAAAATGAATATGATTTGAATGATGAGAAGACGAGAAATCAGATGTATGTACTGATTATGGACATTTTGTCGAATCCGACGATATTCAATATTCAGTTTCGTTATCATACATTGGTAATCGTGAAAGTTTATTGTTACTCATCGTTTACGAAGAAACAAAAAGAAGAAATGCCAACTGCAAAAGAGATTAGTGAAATCAAAAGAAGTGATTACTTTGTTGGTGTAAACGATGATGATCAAAGTCTTCCAGGGAGTTTTCGAAGCGAATTCGCGTGGAGAGTTGTTCATATTTCGAAGGATGAATATGACGCTATTCATTCACCTCCTGATCGTTTAGGTTGCCGGATAAACACATATCCTCTGAACTGGCGAGGGTGGCGTCTAGATACAGACAATGAGTGGTTTCCCGATGCAATTACTGAATGGATAGGACTGAGTCACCATTGGGCGATACGTTTTCACGACCTTAATGGACTTTTTGTGATTGAGAATGAAACCCCGCTGAATCGATCGCACAGAAAACAGAATAGGGAAGAAGAAGCTCAATCAGCTCGATCTGGACGCTTCAATACTTTACCAAAACGACCAAAAGTGGACAAATTCAAACATCGATCTGGTCCAAAAGCTCAAAAACATCGTTGAAATCTTTTTTCTTTATTTTTATCCTGTAAAGTACATTTTTGTTTATTGAAAAAGAAAAGGTTTAGAACGAAACAGACGTAATTTATCCTCATAAAATTACATAGAAGGAAAAAAAACTTATGAAAATACGTTTCTGAGGTGATTTGTTCGGCCGTATTAAGTCTAACACAATCAATCAATCGTTTTTGAAATTGTTGCTACTGGTGCAGATGGTGCCGAAGGTGCCGAAGGTTTCGTTTGTGTTTGTTGATTATAAACTTGATTTTGCAAAGGCATGTTCGATGGAACAGATCGCCGTGCTGGCAAATTTCTTAATTCATGTGTTTTGCCTTGAAAGTCTTTCACAATATATTTTTTCGTTTCCTGCCTTAACCATAATCGATTTGTATGACGTTTCATAATTTTTCGAAATATGATCACACTCATAATAACCCCTACGAATACACCAATTACAGCCAATACGATGATAACAACTCCAATAGCTCCACCAGCATTACCATTTCCATTACAGTTCTGATTTCCTCCACAACCATTGCAATCGACAGGAGCACAATAACAATAATAACATGCACAACCGCCTGTTCGAGTTTCATTATCGGATAGTAATCCACAACAAGCTCCGATCAATCCAAATAGACCTAATAATGCGAAGAATAAAATTAAACTAGTCAGATAATAAACGCCGAATGAGCTCATTGAATGAGGATAATAATTTCTTATCGTGTAACTATTTCTATCCGCATATTGTAGTAGAAACGCCAATCCAACGATAATTGCTTGAACTAATATGAGAATGAGTGAAACATCGCGTGTAACGAATAAACGAAAGATCCACAATCTTTTTTTATCTGCCGCTGGATCGTCAACAATTGCTTCATAGACGTATTCAAATTGGCAAACTTCGCAAGTGTTAAATGCGCGACCGAACTTATCCATCGCACGCCAGTTGTCTAAACATTTTCGATGAACATATGCTGAACCACCAGTGCATAAACATGGACTGATCAAATCCTCTTGATGGTCACTGTCAAGACAAATTCGACATGTTCGAGATGGGTTTGTCGTTAAGATTGGCGTATGGCTTGTCGAAGTCATTCAGTCTTGGTCGTGATGTTTTGATGTCTACAACGCTACAAACAGTTTTTATATATGTGAAGTCGGATGGGCAACCTTGTTTGAGATATCAGAAAGCAAACATGACACATTCGAGAATGACAAAATATAAGTTATCATATGACAAATTTTCAAAACGTGCTTTCCTCCTACGAAGACACTATGACAGAGATCGTATCTATAGGGTTTAAATACGTGAAGTTTGTTTATTAGAAACGTTTTAGTTTTTCTCTCGAACGAGAATCTTCATTTTGTCTTTGATTCGAGCAAAAGACTTATTCGCTTCGGTAATAACTTGTTCTTCATTCACAGTGAGCATTTTTCTGTTCTGCATGACAATTCGACCATCAATGATCGTCGTGTCCACGCAATTTCCACTTGCGGAAAACACCAGATGGCTAGTCAAATGCTTTAAATCTCCCTGAATCAACGGAGTAAATTCCGCACTCTTCATTTCAATCAGAATACAATCCGCTTTGAAACCTTCGACGATCGAACCTAATTCATGACCATGTCCAAGTGCCTTTTGTCCATTAACTGTCGCCATTCTAATAATATCGTTTGGTTTACCAATATCAGTTGTTTGCCGTGCAGCACGGTGTATCAACGAAGCAAATTTCATGACGGTAAACATGTCGACGAAGTTTGAACATTCGGCGGCATCGTGTCCTAAACCTACATTGATACCGGCTTGGATCATTTCGGGTAGACGAGCGATTCCGTTGCCAAGTTTAGCGTTCGAAGCCGGGTTGTGGGAGATATGAGTACCTGATTTAGCGAGAAGATCGATTTCATTGTCGGAGAGATGAACACAATGAGCAGCTACACAATCTGGTCCTAAAATTCCTGCTTCGTGAGCGACTTCTGTCGGACGTTTATGGAATCGTTGAATGGTGGAATCTATTTCGCTTATTGATTCATTTAGATGAATATGAATACCCGTACCTATTAGCAAATAATATTGAATAAGTTTCACACTGAAATCTTCGTTGTTTTACCTAATTCATTAGCCAATTTTCTCGTTTGTTTTAAGAGTTCGAGATCTGCGAGAGGAAGCCATTCAATGCCAAACCAAACTTGAATTCTTCCATTAGCCCTACCATTATGTTTCCGAAAAGCAGCCACATTGTCTTCAAGAGTATCTAAATTGAATTCTCCGAGCGCGACATCATTCGAAAGTACAGCTCGAATGCCGATTTCATCTGCAGCATCAGCTAGACCGTCCAATTGCCTGTACATATCATTCACTGTTCCTGTTCCGTTCTTAATCGCTTCCATATACGAAGCCATAGCAGCCCAATATGCAGCTTCTTTATCTAGAGCACGAATCGCTGGATACCAACATTCATCAAGATATTCCCAAAGTGGAAGATGATCATTCCAACCCTACGAATGATCGTAAATCATTTAGATTCGTTTATACGCAGAAACATACTTTGGCAATAGCCGTGTGAAAATGTAGGTCGACTAGTGCGGGCATTAATAATTTCCCAGTAGCATCGATTGTCTGATCGTTGCTCGTCGACTCAAAATGAGTTCCATCGGGAAGAATTTGAGTAAATCGCCCATTTTCGATAATTACTATCGCATTTGTATGGTAGTTATTGTTCTGATCAAGTGTGAGAACAGATGCGTTTTCGATAATCAGTCGAGAAGCCATCGAGAAGGAATGATATAAGGTTTGATAACCTTTACGACAGGCAAGGTTTTATCTCACTATTATTTTTCGTAAATTTTGACGACCCATTCCCATGAATTACGATTGGTTATGATGTATAAATAAGAATACAAAATGAAAATGAAATCTTTCTTTTTTCAGATTTGTTACTTTTATGAGTCTAGAACTTGTCGAATATTTTAACGATCGATGAAACCCAATTGTGGGGTGTAGCGACATCTGCTGGAAGCAGAAATAGTTTTGCGTAGATTCTTGTTGATAACATTGTGACAGAAAATCAATTTATCGAAAATTTGAATTTAAAATGATTGAAGAAGAGTTTGAAAAATCTCGTTGTTACGATGCTGAATAACAAGATAATCAATGTAGTTATGTTCTTGAGAGAAGACGTACATGGTCGTCTGAATATGAGTAAAACAAGGAAGACTTGACTCTGTCAACCGAATTACAAAAATGGTCACGAATAACATTCAGATTCATTGTCTTATATAATACGTCTGCAAGGATGATAAATATTTCGTCTTCGGCGATTTTATATGTTTACATTGTTACGAAATTTTCGTGTTCGCTTGTCATTACACGAACTGTTTATACAAAATTATTTTCAGTCGAGAGTATGTTGAAAAACGGAACAGAAGAAAAAAGTTCTCCAAATTTCTTTTCGTTTCGTCATTCCTTTCACTTGTGTCAGTGTTTGTCTTTCATTAAATATTATTGACAAAATGTTTACATTGAATGCATGAATTTGGATAATCAGCAAAAAAGAAAAAGTATTAAGAAGAAGGTAGATTTGTTAAAAGTACTCGATTCCGCGGTCACAAACGAAAACAAATTCCAGAATCTTCCAATATGGCAACTCATAAAATAATCCCAACAAGACGTGAATCTTCGAGAGAAGTACGAACCATTCAAGATCTTCTTCTCATTTGGTTAGACAGCAACATCGATGAACATGACAAAGGCTGTCAAATGACTCTCGCCGAACTCCGAAATGTTGTTAATCATCTAGAAACTTATGTAAATACTGATAAATGCATTGAATTCATCGAAACAATCGAAGATCGGAGAGTTTTCATGATTATTTCTGGTTCACTCGGACAGCATGCGCTTCCTCGTTTACAGCAACAATCTCAAATCGATTCGATTTTCATCTTTTGCAGGAACAAGCAGTTTCACGAACAATGGGCGAGAGAATGGCCACAGATCAAAGGAGTTTTCATCGAGATCAACTCCATCTGTGAAATTCTCAAACAAGAAGTTCAACAAGCGAAACACAACGCTGTCTCAATGAGTTTCTTGGGATGTGATGAACGATCGGATCAACTCGAACCGTCTTATATGTATACACAGATACTAAAAGAAATTTTACTGAGTATTGTCTATGACGATAAACATATCAAAGATTATGCCAACTATTGTTACAAGATCTTCGATAAGAATGAAAAAGTAATGAACGATATCAAGAAATTCAAACGGAAATATCACCAAAAAACACCGATATGGTGGTATACTTGCGAATCTTTCTTGTATCCTATGCTGAACGACGGAATACGATTTTTGGATGGAGATATTATGACTCGACTGGGTTTCTTTATTAAAGATTTACATCAGAACATCGAGAAGGTACATAAAAAACAGCAGGTTGCTCAAACGTTTACAGTCTATCGTGGGCAAAAGTTATCGGTCGATGATTTTGAACGACTTCGACGCACAAAGGGCGGATTGATGTCATTTAATAGTTTCTTATCCACAAGTACAAAGCGAGAAATATCTCTTGGCTTCGCTCGGCAGGGTCTATCTAATAAAAATCTTCTAGGGATTCTCTTCACGATGGAAATTGATCCGAAACAATCGACAGTACCATTTGCTTCCATTTCTCAACTGAGTAACATGCCGAATGAGAACGAAGTACTGTTTTCAATGCTTAATGTCTTCACTGTCGATGAGATCAGACAAATCGATGGAAATCATCAACTGATGGAAGTCCATTTGACACTTACGCACGATAACGATCCAGATCTAACGAATCTGACGAGACGCATTCGAGCGGAGAGTTTCCCATTGGAGAAACCGTGGGAACGATTGGGTTTAGTTCTGAAAAAACTAGGTCAATACGACAAAGCCGAAGAAATCTTTCGAAAACTATTAGATCAAACAAAGACTGACAACGAAAAGAAACGAATTTATCATCAACTTGCACTTCTCAAAGACAAACAAGGCAAATATGAAGACGCAATTCAACTCTACGAAAAAGTGCGAGTTCTACATGGCAGAACACTTCCAGACAATCATCCTGATTTGGCAGCATATGATAATAATATCGGTTTGGTGTATTTAAACCAAGGTGATTATTCAAAAGCACTTTCATATCATCAGAAAGCTCTTGCAAATCGTCAACAATCCCTTCCTACTAACCATCCACATTTAGCCACATCTTATGACAACATTGGCATCGTCTATAGTGCAATGAACGAAAGCACAAAAGCATTAGATCATTTTGAAAAAGCTCTTGCGATTCGTCAACGAATACTTCCATCAAATCATCCGGATTTAGGTGCGTCGTACGGCAACATGGGCAATGTGTACTACGCATTGCAAGATTATTCAAAAGCACTTTCGTTTTACGAGAAAGCACTTGAAATTAAAAGAAAATCACTCCCTCCGCATCATCCCGATCTCGCAGCAATAAATAACAATATGGGTTATGTCTACGAAAATACGAATAATCAGGTCAAAGCTCTGGTGTTCTTTGAACAAGCGGTGCAGATATCGAAAAAAGCATTGCCTTCGAATCATCCAACTCGTGAAATATATGAAAGAAATTCTGAGCGTTTGAAAAATAAAGTTTATTCATAGATGAAAGATTTGTTGAAGAAGCAAAGCATTTTAAGCAAAAGAGTATCAAGCATTATTTTTTCTTAAGCATATCAGTGTTAAGATTCTATCTTCCTGAAATCACAGTCAGCGTTCGCACAACTGCTGGTTCAGATTTTAAACCCAAAAATACGAAGAATTTCACAACCCGTGGAACCCCGAAGTTTAAAATCGCAATAAGACCACCAATTAAGCCAATTGACATCGTCGCCATATATATCGAATCCTTTCGTACCCATGTAGTGTAAGTACATTGTATCGGTTGACAAGCAGAATAGTAGCTATAGAAATCGAATGAAGGATTCCATTGCTCTACCATCAACTGGTCTACAAGTAAATGAATAGGTGTATATTGAGTGAAACGACTTGGTGCAGATGCATTTAACTCTGTTGGCGGAGTTGATGGCCGCGAATCTAAATAACGTTGTAAAGTAGATAGACACATTCGATCAAACAAGCATTGTAAATTAGAATTAAGTAATGTATCGAGAACATAACAACCGATGTAAAAACCCGATACGTTAAATAGTTTTATCGGATTTGGATAAGAATAAATAGCCGATGAACGGGAACACATTGATGTCGTAGAACAACTACAATTGTCATAAATTCGTGTAGACGGTACGACTTGACTAACATTGTTTGCCATTAGTTGATAATTTGTTTGTATAGCAGATAGCAAAGCATTATTTTGAATAGTACTTCGAATCATAGCGAAAGATGTGGAAAATTGATTGATAACTGACAAGACAAACTGTGAAATAGACGCATTCATTAGCGTTTGAAAGTCCAAGGAATTTGAAATATATACGCTAACAAATGAATGGGAATAAAATTCCATTAAATTATTTTCAATTGTGCGCGATGTTAATTGACAAATATCCGCCAGCGTTTGAAACGCCGATGAAGCAGTTACGCGAAAATCCGCCCAGAATTTTGTCCCATTTGAAACAGCCAGATTATAAATCCAATCAGATTTGACAAAATCACTACTACACACCTGATGTAAAACATACTTTAGTTGAACAACTTGTCCGAAAGGAATTGCTGGTTTACTACAGGTACATGTTAATGTATTCATATACGAAATGGACAATGTTTCGTACATCTGCAAGGTAGGCTTTTCGATTGTAATTGGTTTTAATTCATCTTGAAGTATAATATACATCGGATATGTAACGAAAGCAGCGAATAAAATTGTTGAAACGACGATGGAGATCTGTTGAGTTAGTCGCTTTTGACGTTCAACGAGATTTGGTGTTGGTTCACCTTCAGCTGAAACATAAGAAGAGACATAAGACGAGGAAAACGTACAAATAGGTTAGGTACCGTGTACAGCAGGCATGGCTTTACAAAGTTTTTTTTCCTGTGATCTAAATGGAAACAGAAAACTTTAGAAGTCGTGTTTGCAGTGAAAGAGGGAAAAAAGAAATGACAACATACCGTAGTTACATATCCTTAATTACAAAAGAGAAACTTTGCATTTTTGATTATTTACATCGTCCGATATGAGCACAATGAAAAGAAACTCGTCAACTGGAAATATCGAATCAAGAAATAGTTTGTCGACAATTAGTATAGATGTTTAATAGAAAAACAGCTTTTCCATTTGTTAACCAGGTAATATTTCAACAACATCATATATCATTAACGTATTAGAATAATTATTTCCATCTGTTTGACGAAATCTATTTGACGACTTTAATGTTCATTTTATCAAAAGGAAATTGAATCTCACGACAATGACAGAAAACCTTTCTTTTCTTCCTGCGGCACACATCAGTATCGAAAGAAAAATAACAACAGCGGCACGTGATGAATAATGTTGTATCAATATGATCAGGTGTTCTTCAGGCAATGAGACCGGATGAAAAATATTCATTTAGCAGTTGAACGTTCCTGATCTGATGTTTGTTCCGATAGATAAACATGTGATCGCAAAGGGCAAAGTTAGTAAAAGATAATTCACGTGATGTGGTGTATAGTAGATTTTCAGTTTGAAATTCCATTGTCAGATGAGAAGATGATATGAAAGTTGTTTCGTATTTATTGTGTCTTTTTGAAAACGAATGAATATGCGGCGAGGAGTTCTTTAAACTGCACCGATTGTAATTTAATGCCAAGGTCTTATCAATAGTCGATAATAAAAGAAGGCACTGATATTGAATAAGGTATTCTCACTGTATTGTTTCTCTCTCTCTCTCTTCAATAATTACCGAAAGAATCTGATTTTAAAACTTATTATTAGTTTGAAAGCCATAGAATTTATGAGTAAATAAGATCGTGTTCGACATTTTCTTAAAACGCATTACTAATTTCATGATTTTTCACCCGAAAATTGACTGAGATGAAATGATTTATCTGAAGAAATATCTATTCCCATAGTGGCTATAACTGCGCTCTATTAGTTCAGCACAAATTGTACATTTTTCTCTGATTAACAGATTTGCGTATTCATTTACAAATATCGACTATTAGTTGTTCAAACATACGTCATATCCGTTTTATCTAAAGGAAACTACTTAAGCTCTTTTTTATGCGGATTATCTCTGATGAACATTAAAAATGTACAACATGATATTCGAGTATTGATTTGTTCTATTTTGTTTCCAGTAACAACTTCCAATTCAATAGTGACAACACATTTGCAAGTGATCATTTCGTCGAGGGAAAACTCGCGATAGATAACGACAAATTTTTGTCTTGTTTCTAATTCATTATGAAAACTTCGAATATAATCTCTCATTGAAAAATTCATCTAAATCCACTGGTATTACATTGTGAATATCATTTGATGTGAGATGAATTGTTCTTAACATCTATATCAGAACACAAAAGAAGTATTTGGAAAATGCAAATTTTCTCGTCTTACTCGATTGTATTGCACTGCTGCAACAAGATGATTTGTTCCTTCATCACCAATGTTATTCGCTAGAAGATTCACCTCGATTAATGTCTATAAATGAAAACTTGTGTGTGAGAGAAATACTTTATTATGAAAATACTGTATTCTTTTGTAAGACTTCGGCTAATTGTTCCGCACCGTGATCATCAATTTTATTTCCTTCAAGATCAATAATTGTTAATGTCTTAATCAAATTATATCAGTTCTGATTTTCGAGAGAATGACGATTTTCATACTGTATTTTTCAATAATCCATCAACCAAATACTGAATTCCTTCATGAGTGAAACAATTTCTCTCAAGATTAAGTGTAGTCAGTGTCTATTTTGAACAAATAAATGCAAAATGATATTACTTGCAAGAACAGAGTACTTTGACTTACTGTATTTTTCTTTAATACACGTGATAAATATTGAATTCCCGAATTTCCAATAGAATTTCTTCCGAGACGAAGAGTAGTAAGTGTCTGCGTTCAAAACGATTCAAAAGAAACTAACGAGGAAACCGATACAATGGGTTAATCACTTTAAACCCTGATCCTATGCATAACACGGATCTTCCAAATCAGAAGTGAAAAACTTCATAAAGATTTGTCTTTCTTAGAACTTTCCCTTGGAATTATAAACGGTTTACCAGAATTTTACTATATAAAAGAGTAATACAAAGATCTTCCAACAGTCATAAAATATTATGAAAATGAAAGATTTTGTCTCATGTATATAATAGAATTCAAGAGATCAATCGGTTTCCTTTGTGAGAAGAAGAAGAAGAATTATTTAATATTTACTGAATTTGTTTCCAATGGTTCAGCAAGAAACCGTACTCCTTCACAATCAATTTGATTCATTTGAAGATCAAGTGTTGTCAAAGTCTATAAAGATCGAAATCAATCTATTTGAATAGAATTCGTCACTAACTTTGCTAATCTGCAGAGTTAAACCTAAATATTCTGTTAATTTTCCATTAATACGATTTCTACGAATATGAAGAGTTGTCAGTGCCTATAAAAATCATCATAGAATGCAATTTTTGTTCACTAATCATTTACCGTATTGTTCTGCATTGCTTCATACAAATGCTTTAAACTTAGAAGATGAATTGTATTTTCACTTAGATCGATCACTTTCAATGTCTGTAGAAAAATAATCTAATTCATCGAAGAAATCTTTATCAAACCTTATTTGTCTGCAATGCTCGACAAAGATATTGAATTCCATAGATATCAAAGCAATTACCACTAATATCCAGTGTCGTTAGTGTCTACAAGAATTCGCGAATGGCATTTTATGAAGAATAAAAATCTTTTACATTATTTTCGGATAATAATTCCGCCAAATGTTGAATTCCATGATCATCAATGTTATTGTGACCAAGATTGAGAGTTGTTAATGTCTAAAACTAAAGCTTCATTGATATTTCTTTCGAATAGTTCCTACTTGATTGGTTGACAAAGCTTCTGTTAAGAATTTTACACCAATATCTGTAATTATATTGATATCAAGGAAGAGAGTTGTCAATGTCTAGGTGAAATGATGTGGTCAGCTTTGGAAATAAGAGGAAAAAGTATCCAGACTGTATTTTTACGTATGATATGTGAGAGATTTTCAACTCTTTGATCGTCAATATTGCTGCCTGTTAAGTGAAGAGTTTTGAGAGTCTATATTTAAATAATCTGATCAGTTGACGAACGAATAATTGAAAATAGTTACTCGATTGATTTGTAAAGCTTTAGTCAAGTATTGAATTCCTTGAGTACCGATGGGATTACGAATGAGAAGAAGTTCCGTAAGTGCTGCCTTAGAAAATGCATTATAAAGACAATTTCTTATATCGAATTTTCTCTCCTACTGTATTTGATTGTAATATTTTAGTGATATATAATATTTTTTCGCTGTTGATATTATTACATTCCAAATGAAGAGATGTTAAAGTCTAGAAATTCATGGGTTTTTTTAATATCGAAAAAGTGATTTTATTTGACCTTATTATTTTCAAGTATTTGAGCTAAATATTGTGTATCGTTCTTTTCGAGTGGATATGTCTCAAGAATCAGTTTAGTTAGTACCTATCAGAACCGAATGAATAGATTCAATAAGTTTTCTTATGTGCTTACTGTATTGTTTTGTAGAACTTCAATGAGGTGATATGTTTCATTGGAAAAGAGTCTGTTGGAACGAAATTCTAATGTAGTTATTGACTATAATGAGAAATATATCATAAATACACAAATGGAATTTGACGTTACTTTGTTACGCTGCAATCCGAAAGTTAATTGTCGTAACGCATTTACCTCGAACTTCGTAGTAATGAAAATGAGGGTAGTTAGAGTCTATATTCATCATTTATGAATCTAATTTTTATAGAAAACAAGATCAATTTTACTGTATTTTTTTCAAGGGCAAGTGCGAGATGTTTTCCTTCTGTTTCACTAATATTATTGAAACTGTACGTTAGTTTTGTAATAGTCTATATAAAAATATGATATTTTTCAATTTCAGATGAACTTCTTACGGTATTATTTCTCAACGCTTTTGCTAAATGATTGAGCTTTGCTTTATTCTCCTTCCGCGTATTGATTTTCAATTCGGTAAATTTCTACAAAAACAATAAACAAATTTGATTTAAAGGAAAAAACATTTACCTGATATCGATAATAGACATTCAGAATCGCATCAAGTCGGCTACAAACATTTTGCATTGAAAGAAGAATATCTAATTGAGAGAGATTGTCTAAGATACGATAAACTGTTTCAACAGGTATAGTGTGAAGTGATAATGGCTTTTTGTGTGGCAAGGACATGTCGCGAATGGTGGTTGATGGTAATTACTGCGGTTATGGTGATGAAAATCGTTTCAAGAGGAAAAACAAGCAAACACGTTGAAGGAAAAATAATCATCAGCCATTTTGAAAGAAAAGAACAAACATGTGACAAAGAAAAGAAAAATAATTCAAAACAGTTTATGCCTTTTTTTGTTCATATAGATGACGGAACAAATTTATTGAGAATTCTATATGAAACACTTTCATTCGGATTACTCTTGAATCAATAGTTCAATAAAATTGTTTCTCTTCGTCATTTAGAGAGTCAATTCTTCTCTGTACAAACTAAAATAACGAATTCAGTTTCGTTAAACAACAATTAGCAGTTAAAGTACAATACATTTACATTGTTAGTAATCTTTGTCAAATTCTCTGAATGACTGAAACATCTTTTGTTCACCTAAGACAACTCGACTTCTAGTCTTGAAATCATAGTGATCATCTCGATTTACTTTGTATCATTGTTAAACTGGAATGTGACAATTACTCTTTTCAGACACTTTACAAACTTCTTTTCTTCGTTTACTTATTTTGTCTCTAAACAAAAAAAAGAGTTTGTATCTGTTTGACATAAAAATTATTCTTGAAGAGATTACTGACTGAATGAAGAAAAACTTTTGTATTGTTTTCTCGATTTCGTCTCGTTTGTTATATATCTGATGTATACCCACAAAGCATTTGTATTAAGTAGTGAGATAACAATTTGGGAAAGAATAAATATGGAACAATTGCTATATAACTGACAACAAAATATCTTCTTAGACTTAATAATTGAGAAGTCATATATCACATGAAAATAAATAGAGAATTGAATACTCATGCTGTTTTCTCTACACATCATAGTGCTGCTATTAATGAATGTTTACACAACTTCACAAGAGAAAACGGAATCCGACGAGCGATAGAGTAACGAGTTCGACAAATGACCACAATGACGTACTTTTGTTACATTACATTAAAAGGGAAACGTGTTCCTCAACGAATTATAATATCAATGAAATATTTTTGTTTTGATAGAATCATTATAAATATGTATTTATTTTTGTTCGATTTCATTGATTCTCATTAAAAAACAATTATCACGTGTAAAACAAATTTAATAGATCTGTCTACTAGAATATCTTATGGATCGTAGTAAAGCATTTCAATTATAAATTCTAATTTTTCTCGTCGATTTTATATGGATATGATACTACAAACTTTGTTTTTTTTTCCCATGAATTCGAAATAATTTCATTTAGTTATTTTCAACAGAAAGAGAAAGAAACGTCGTTAAGTATTTGGAATTTGTCGTTGTTTGGAGTATCCATACTTGTTAATAATGATTTCGATCAAATCAGGAGACAGTGACCAATGCCTAAAATCACTGGATAAGTATGGAAAAGTGAAATCATCGTTCGAAGATGAAGTTTAGGTAAGTGGAGGAAAGTTTTTTTGAAACCATAATTGAAGTAGAAAAATCTAAATGGTAATTGATATCAAAGAAAAAGACTTGGAAAATATCGTTTATTTGTTTCAAACAAACACTATCGGTATTTTTATTAGACAATCCAATTGGTAACACTTTTCATTTCAAATCATCACTTGAAAGTAAAATCAGAAATGTCATTTAAAAAGCTCGTAGTCTATAGTTTTTATCCATTGGAGTCATTACTAAAACACGAAATCGTTCGAAATATTGACGAATTTTATGCTCTAGATTACCTTGGAATAGGGAATTCTCCAGGACAAATTTCAATTTCTTCAGTCGTTTTGGAGTTGGATAATTTGGATTTCTTCTGAGCTATCGCACCCGATTGAGTTCCACTTCGTTTCGAGGCTCTTTTCGCTCCATCATCATCTAAAATATATAAAAACTAATAAATTCGTAGTTGAAAATAAAATTTCACTGACATTGCGATGCACAATTTGAAAGACAATATTCTACTGGACGATTATTCCAACAAAGAACACAAACCAAATGGAATTTCTTCAAATCGATGCGTTGATCGTTCGCACTTTTCCCTGGAATAGCTTCTTTCAATGGAATAAATTCTTTCTTCAAAATATTATAAAATGGAGTCAATGGAAGTTTTCGAGCTTTGACAAGATTTCCTTGGTTGACAGGGCAGACCAATAGTCTAAATTCAAGACAAGAAGTCTTTTGCTATATTTTAAGAGAATTTATCTAAGTTAAGATATCACAGGTAGTATTCTCCCCAAACAAATCCTCTTTAAATAGCTGAGAATGAAAGTGATATGTGATAGTTTCGATTTGAATTGAAACTATAAAGAGTAAATACAGTTGAGAAGCGAGTATCGCAGAAGCATCTGTTCAGAAAACATCTTTCATGAATCTCTTACTCATGCATTTGTTTACTCAATTCATCAGACTTTAAATCTATTTTAATTGTATTGATCATTGTTTCAGATTGGTTTGTTTCACCATCGAACAGTTTCTTTTCGGGATGTAAATAAAATACACCAGATTGATTCTTTTCAGTAGTAATTGTTACTTGCACAGACCATTTGCCATGTTGAAATTCATCAAGAACGGTTACCTATCGAAAAATATAGTTTCAGTATCAAGAAACGAGATTTATTCAATTATTTTTATACCTTTAACTTTGGATAAGTCACTTCTCCCGGTTTACTTTTTTCTCCTTTGATCCAGGAACGACATTTTGCTTGCGGTCTAAATGAAGATTGTGAATTCACCGTTAGTTTCTGTTTCAACCAACTCACTTTTCCGAATCTGATGTTCGATAAATATCACATGTACCGCAACGTCTTTGTTCGTCATGGATATTTTCTTCGAAACCAAACTTTATATTCTCTCGTAATGCATTTGGAAGGGGAATCGACCGAGTTAATTCTGAGCTATCAGTAGGCAATTCATTATTCATTGTACGACTTCCTTGAAGATCAAATTTGCTAAGATCTGACCGAATATAACACAAAATGTACACCGAATCGGTCTTATCGATCACGTTCTCGATCAGTTTGATTGATTTATCATTTGCTTCATACCATTTATTTGTTGATTCATCTTTTATGTAACAGATGTAATGGCCACTTTCCATATCATTGCCACAATGAATGATAAGACCATAAAGGTAATAAACTTTCTCTTTGTCAACGGTCTTTGCTCGACAATCTTCACTTAACCATTGGCCCAAATGTAAAACTTCATCATAAAGAACGTTGTTAAGAAGCTTTGCATGACCATTTGCTCCGAAACGTTTTAATGAAATGGGTAAAATTTGTGGTAACGAATGCACTTTTGTTTCTCGTGTGGCCTTCTGTTTCTTTTGACACGATGAACATTCATATGCATTGTCACCGGTTAAAAATTCTTTTTTAAAATAATCATTCAAACAATCAATGAGACGAGAGCTTGTATTGCTTAGAGGTATTGCACATTGAAGTATTGTTTGTGATTCGATTCGGTCTGATAGATTGTGGCAAACACCACAACAAACAACACAACGTGTTTGAAAATTAAAGATTTCATAGAATATTGATGATGATTGAGCAGTATGATCCAATAATTTGATGAGCAGCTCATTACTATCCTGTTGAGTATTTTCAGCAAATTCAATCGAGAGCTTTTCTAATTGACTTCGCAACAACGTCGGCGGGTAAAAACGATTGTGATCTTGCTTAGATATCCTATCCATTGCGTGCAAAGTTTGTTGAAATATACAAAGGAAACAATTTTCGTAGTTGAGACCTAAATAACGCAAACTGATCATTGTAATTTTGGCCAGAAAAGATATATACTCACATGTTTCATGATGTTTATCATTCAAAATCCATCGCATCAGTGGTGGCGTATGAGCAAAGATTTGTAAAATAACATTGAGATAACATGTATTTCCCAGATTCTCTAATCCACATGGAATTGACTGCAATGCAGAATCTGTTGATGGTGAATTAGTACCATCTAAGAGATTATGAATTTTTCCAACTGACTGTGTAGTTGGTTCAGTAGTTATTCGAGTTTCTAAAGAGAATAGAGTTCAACGAAACGTACGAGTGCAAGCATACCATTGACAATAGGGCCGATCGAAATAGAAGATTGTGAAGTCGATGGTGTTGTCGTCGACTGGCCATGAGGCAAGTGGATTTTTGTTATAGCTATTAGAAACAAACAGAATATTGTAATGACAAGTAGAAGAGCGAAGCTTTACTGCTATTGATAATTCCAGTTCGAATGGCAAGTAATTCTGAAATGAAAAGAAATTTGTAAAAAAAAGAGAAATAGTTCATTATAATTCTTTACCTTCACAGGATTCCAAATCTTCATCAAGATCGTCCAGCATTGCAGTTTTGGCAAGATCTTTTTCTAGATCAACACGTGGTCGATTATTTTGATCATTGACATCTGAAACAAGAATTTAATAAGCATCTTGATTATTCTATCTGCATAATTTTACTCGGCGTATTTTGTGCAAGTAAATCATCGAATGTCTTCCAAGTTATTCGTAGTTTAATAGGTATGTTCGACTGGTCATCGTACGGCCGAAATGCTTGATATTGTTGTATATATGTATCATCAAGTTCAAAGTATGAATTGTGTTTTTTATTGAAAATTTCGATTGTATAATCATACGAAATGAGATTAGCAGGAGTTCGTTGAAGGTAATCGTTGATGTCACGGATTGTTGTTGTTGAATCGAATTTGGCCAAATTATTGGGCCGTAAAACACATCCTGAATCATTAACATGTTCAATGATTGTGTCACACATGGGAAAGTTGATGAGTATGAGGAGATTCGCACATACGTTTTAACACGAATAGAGGCATGAATCATTCAGTAGGAAATTTTTTTCCTACCGAAGAAAAAAAGATAAATTTTTTCCAATGCAGTAACGACAAGAAAAGAACGCTAAATTTTGAATCCATAAAGAACGAAAGAGAAAAAAACAATTTTTTCCAACAATAAATGTGACGCAAAAATAACGTGGTAGTTGTTTTTATCTTTACGAGACTCCGAAGAAAGAATTCTATCAATAACATGGACAGAGAAACTGTATCTTCCGCCGAGTTTCTCATTGATTTTATGCATAAAAGATGTCGATTAAAACATCAACCTTCGAATTTGCTACTCGCTGATCTACATCAATGGATATGTACAAATTTTCATCTTGATAGAGATCAATACTTCTTGGAAATATTTGACCAACGCTATGAATTATATATTATATTAGACCAATTCTATCTCGGTGAAATTCAAACCAATCCTCGTTTTAAAAATATTCACTCATACCAACTACGAATTCGTCTTACAAACAACGAGATGGCTCGGACTCACCTACATAGGAGTTTTGAATCATCCGAAGTAACGAACGAAGGTAAGCTTTATGAATACTTATGCACCAGTCACAGTTATGCATTGTTGGATTGGATACAATTGCGGATTCAAGAATTGCAAAATATTTTCACCACGAATGACATGAGCGTAATTTTCTAGATGAGACAACTGATTTGTTTAAGTGAAAGGTTTTGGAAGCGTTAGAATGTTTTTTAATTCTGAGTTTTGATTAAAAAAATGAGAACAATTTGTAGAGATTATCGTGATGCTTTGATTCGAATAACTTTTCATATCGTAACATTTCTGACAATAAGAATAGATTTTTGATAATCAGTTGTTTCGCACAGAAGTACATCAGAAATATGATTGACACGACAAAGTGATCAATGATTTTTCAGAACAGTGGATGATCTCTCATTGTCTAGGCGATGCGTCTTTAACAATCTCTTCTTCCTAATTAGACAGTTGAGAACCGTCTATTCCGAAATGATATTTATTTATTTTTTAATACGTCATATAAAAATTTTGATCGATCTATCGTTGCATTTCTACTTTTTAGTTGCTGAATCTCACGGATCCGTATCTAAACATATCGTTGTATGGCTCGATGCTTATATTGCTTATCCAGAAAATAATCGTCAACTCAAGGAGTATTTCAGTATAATTACTTCAACTCAACAGGCCACACCGACTCTTTGGGAAGAATTGGGTATTAATAACTTAATCGCAATGTCTGTTTGTGATGAAATGAATATTAATAAGCAAAACAAGACTCTGCGAATGTTTAAAAGAATAGATAGTTGTGTCAATTTCATTGAGAATTTCTCTCAATCAAATACAAAAATCTTTCTCGTCACGACGGGTTCACTTGGTCGTAAACTCGTACCAAGAATATACGAAAATCAACACATTCATGGTATCTACGTGTTTACATGCTGTTTAGCCTATCAAATTGATTGGGTTATTGATTTTCTCGATAAAATTATTGTATTCGAGCATGAACTTGATTTACTTAGTCGAATTACAAGAGATATTGCAAGTTATTATGTCCAAAGAGCATTTGAACCGATTGAAGATTGTGAAAAAAGTTTAAATTATTTATCTTGGTCGAAAAAATTATTTGGCAAAGCGGATCTCGTCGATCAATTTGATCAATCTGTTACGAAACTCAAACAAATTGACAAATATATGTACCGAATAGAGCAATGTATCGATGATAGACAGAGGAATTTAGGAGAAATAAAATGCAGCGTCGAGTGTGATGGGTAAAACTTTCAACTGTCTTAAATGAGCGATATATTAATCAAATAAGTCAAAAATAAACTCTAAACATTGTCGACTTATACTATGATTACCAGTTTTGTATTCGGAAAGTGAGTACATGTAAAGAATCGATCAATGTGACGAAGAATATGATATGATGAGATGCATAAATACTCATTGTTGATGCAGCATCTGTTTCTTTTTGTTATGAAATCGTATTTGTCTTTCACTTTCCCTTTACTTGTATGTGTCATACTCTCCGCTGAAGATTACAGTCACAATGATTTTTTTTTGTTGTTAAATTGTTGAAAAAAAATGTCCTCAATTATAGTACTCATCAATGAAAAAAGCTTCATGTAAAAGATAAACAAATGTTATCCATGGAAAAATGTCCTCCACTACCACCGACATTAACATTCTTTGTTCCACCTGATGTCGAAAATATGACAGTATCTAATCCAGAGAATCCATTGAATGTTAAAGTAGAGACAGCGAATACTTGAATGATAAAATTCTCACTCGCCATAATTGCATTCGAATTATAACCAATCACTGTCAGATTTAGATTATCATACCACGCTGCTGCTATTGATATTGAATACAATGTAAAAAGACTTCCATTAACACTTGCCATTGTTAACGGATTCGCATTTGGATTCATCACGGATTTTGGCTTACTGACAATTCCTGTATAATATCCACTTGTATTCGCGTTTGCTGCTTGAACCATTCCATTTGTCCAATCAAATTTATTGTAACCATTGGGTACTGCTACCGATGCTGACAGATCATCAAAAGTGATTGCAGTATCACCATTATTACAAACTAGAAATCGAAGAATAATTTCTTTTCATCTCTATCGAAATTCGATGTACTTTTCAGTGTTGTCGTCGCTGATGTTGTACCTAAACAACACGAGACATCAGCTGACTGTTCTGCGTATGCAAACATAACATTACTTGACGTCGAACTGCTAGTAGTACTAGTACTGGTCGATGTCGAACTACTACTGGTACTACTGCTGGTTGATGTCGAACTCGTGCTGGTGATAGTGGTACTGCTTGATGTCGGACTTGTTGTTCCAGATGCTTGCAAGGAAACAAATAAGAAAGACTTGATACAATTTGTTTCAATGAAGATACTTACAACGGTCTACCACGTAAAAAGTAAGTACAATTGAGAGAGCAATGCCAGATAATATAGCTCCGATGATAGCAGTGATTAGAAAAACTTTGCAGTTTTTTGCATTGAGATGGCCAAGCAATCGTCTACAATGTGAATGTTGGAAATAGAATGGATTTCAATGATGTGACAGGCTAACTTTTTCAATGAATGATCTTCGTTGTCTTCTTTCGCACAGAACTCTTTAATAGTATCAGTTGAAGAAGATGACTTTGTTCGAAATAATGATTCACTTGAATTAACATCGGATTGTCGAGTACAATCCAACGAAATCGTTGGAGACAATCGCTGTTGTTGATTAATCCAGCATTGTTGTAAAACACTCGTTTGCATCCTATGCGTTCCTCCCTTAATGTCCTTGTAAAGCAAATTATGCACTGTTTTGTATAATCAATCAACATAGTTCTTCTAATTTTATGCTAATAAATGAAAACAAATAGAGTATTCCATTACAGAAGCTTTGTATAATAATTAAATTTAGAATTCAAGTACTTTCACTGATTCATTATAATGAACAATACGAAAATATGTAAGACGTTTTACATACTATTCTTAAAGGACATTTTCAGAATTATTGTATTTGGAAAAACAAATGTGAATATCTTTCCCTATAAGCAAAACTTTTTGAATAATTCTTTTAAAAGTTCACCGTACAACTTTTCAATTACCAACAATACTTCTGAAGTATAGTATTGTTTCATTTCGATAGTCCCCTCAGACTTGTAGATCTGCACACTACGAATTGATCGATAGATACATATTAACTTTTATGTGCAACAAAAAAGAGCCGTTTATTTATAAAATAATGCATTGATCTGTATTGGATGACGGATTCTTCGTTGTCGAGTTTTCAGATGTGAATAAATTGATAATAAGATGTCCGGGATAGATCGTTGCTTGTAAAGAATTTCGCCGGACGAATTCTTCGACCTGTGGTTTGATTTTACTAATCCGATTTGGTGAATTATTTCCCATTCCTGTGATCACTTTCAGTTGTAAAACATTCTCCGATCGGCTTTTATTCATTTTATTCTCGAGATAATTCAATGCTTCATTCACATAAAGACCATGAAGATCGATTTCGTTATTTGGACGAGTTCGATTGAAATGCTGGAAGATGATTCTTGCCGCTTGTTCATTTTTATCATTCATTTGTGCGTAAAAAGCATTCTTTCTGATCGATAATTCTTTGGCACGTGCTCGACAACCATGTTGGTATTCATCTTGCGATTGTTTCGAAGACAATTGAGCTTCTGACAGAAGTTGTCGAGCTTCATTTCGTAATGCTAAAGCTTCACGAGGGATTCCTGACTGCTCATCTTGATTTGTATGAGAAAATAAATTTCCCATCGTTGACTTTTTATCTGTTTCAAAATCGACGATGAATTATTCTTTTTCGTTCTATCGAGAGAAAAACAAACAATCATCTGACGTCAGAATGTATTCCATCACGTCCGTATATTCGCCATCACAGACAATATAACAAGCAGGGAATACCGATGAAATCAACAAACATTCCACTCAGTGTTACGAATATTCAAATCGAACAGATGGAGCTTTGCTTTCGTTCGAAAATAAAAGAATTTCATCGAATTTGTGCTTGTTTTTCGTCGATAATCATCGAGAATGATTTAATTATCTCTCGGAAGAAATCCTTGTCGATCGTGATTTACTATCGAAGACAGAAATCAGTGAAGCATTCACTACCGCGAATAAATCACAGGTGAAAAACATTTTCCAACGTATTTCGTCGTTTTTTTTTCGAAGATGAAGTGGTTGTACTTTCTCATCGTCGTGTTAACGATTGTATATGCGGATACTTGCGATCGTTTTCTTACTGAACATTGTATCGACATTCCCTTCGGATTCCGATCGATATCTCAAATGAAATGTTTGCGACTGATTCCAGCAGATTTTGATATATCAATTGCTTATTCAGTAAAAAATTATATCATCAAGAAGACATCGAAGTGTTATGATATTGTCTCATATGAATCACCATCGAATGTTCTCTTCTCGAGTCGATGCGAAGAATTATGTCCAAGAGAGTATTGTAAACTGCTTAGCAATCAACCAAATACATCGATTATCAATATTTTCTATTCCGAATCATCAACATATGACGTAGCCAATCAAGCAGCCGATCTGTCGTATGACTATTTCTTGTTTGATTCATGTTCTTCGGACAGTCGGCAGAATGTCATCTTGCGTATTGTGGTCTTTACTCTTGCAGGAGTTATCGGCGTCTTAACCATCATTGTTGTTACAGGCTGCATCGTTGGTTCACTACTAAAAGATAAGGACATATTTAGTTGGCGATGGATTCGAGATCTGTTTTTATGTCGATTATGGAGAAAAAAGAAACAACAAGAAGAAGAAGATTTTTACCCTTCTAACAATAATCCAATTCCAGTTAATATTAAAAAAGACTCAAAAGTTTCTACTGACCTACCGACGATTTCAAAGACCGTGAGTCCATTAATCAGATCTCGTCAGAAACAAAAGGCTGAACCACCGGTTGAAGACGAGAAGAAGAGCGTACCATCGAATTTCAATAGAAATTTACCACAAGTTCATTCTGCCATTAGTCAAGACATTTTAGATGGGAAAATCTCATCAATAAGTATTCATTGTTAATAAACATTCTTTTTCGAAAGCCAACTCAAGACAATAATAAAGATACGTCGATGTGCGACATCATATTCATTTATTTTCCCATTAGTTAGAATATTTATCGAACAGGTGTTTTCCAGAACATTGACTTTGACTTCAAAACTCTTTTATCTTTCTCTCGACATGATCGACTATAGCTGGAATTCGACAGAACATTGTCCACCATGTTTTTATGGTTCAATTTGCCAATTAACAACGTTTTATTATAGTATTTCACTGGAGAGTTTTCTCTATACTTCATTTTCGACAGTAGAAGTTTTGATTGTTCTCATATTTGTTTTTGCTCTTGGTACAGTTTGTAATTTCTTGTCAATCGCGACGTTTGCGCAAGCAACAGCGCGTGAAATGGGTAGTGGAATCTATCGTTTATGGATTTCGATAGTTGGACAAGTGACGTTGGTGATAGTAACGATTCGTTTGTTGATGATCATTCGAAAGAAAACCAGTCGATGGATTGATTGTTTTGTTTTCGATTATTCTATTTCTGCGCTTGTTCCTTTGTTTTATTCATTAACAGTCTGTTTGGCTGTCGAACGAATCGTTGTGGCTTATAAACATTTGTCATTTGATAAACAACAAAGTCGACGTGCAGCGAAGAAACTCATTCCGGTTTTGATGATTTATCACTTCGTTCTGGCCTTGTACAAACCGATTCATCGTCAATTACGTGTTGAATTTAATCGTACCGAGTGTTCGTATCACTTTCAAACGCAATCGCAGATCAATTTCGAACGACTAATCAACATTTTACATCTGATTCTACCGATTTTAGTCAACTTTTTCTCACCGCTTATTCTGATTGTCATTCTCATTGAACACAAACGTTCATTGAAACCTACTGCTACATTTCTATCCAAGTTTGTCGATGTTGTTCGTACATACAAACACAATCTCATTAGTCCATTACTTCTTGTCACTTTGACCCTACCTCATCTTCTCATTACACTACATTTCCATTGTATTTCTCAATCAAAACAGAACATAATCTATCTTTTCACTTATACACTATCGCTTATACCGTTCGTATCAACATTCTTTATTTTTGTACTTTTATCACCGAAATATCGAGAAGAATTTTCGAAACTTTATCAAAGACGATACTAAAACTTAACTGTTCATGTATTCACATGTCGAAATAAATGACATCCGCCACGGATTGTATCATTCCTTGTATGTATTACTTTTCAGAATTGATTAATATGAGAAATCCAACACCATCGCCCAACGCGAAAGTGATCTTTCAAACGATGTTAATGAGCGATTTACATTTGGAATACAACGATCGTGATTTATCGGATTTTCCGGTTGTCGCACCGTATTTAATACTCGCTGGTGATATTGGTCGACCGGATATAGCGTCATTAGAAAAATATCTTCTCATTCAATGTCAACGATTCGAACATATTTTCTACGTTGCTGGAAATCATTGTTTCTACGAAGGAGAATATGAAGATCGTCTTGAACAACTTTATCGATTGAATAATTTGGATTCTCGAATTCATTTTCTACAAAGTGATACTTATCTTCTTCCGAATAAAATTCGAATTCTTGGTACGATTCTTTGGTCTCATATACCAGAAGAAACAGCTAGTCATATAGAAAAAACACATGCAGATTATCGACGAATCGAACGAGTGTGTGAAGAAAATCGCGTCAGATTCCGACGAAAACTTACAGTGAATGATACGAACCAATGGCACACCCAACAACATTTCTGGTTATTACAAGAAATCGACCGAGCTCGACAAAATCACGAACATGTGATTATCATTACTCATCACGCCCCTTCTCGTCGTGATACTTGTTTACAAGCAGATATCGATATCGGTCATGAACATGCATATATCAACGATTTAGAAGCCGAATGTCTCGATCCCGTTCGCTTATGGGTCTATGGTCATACACATCGATCAACTGATATGTTGATCAATTCCACACGAGTTGTCAGTAATCAATTAGGATATCAAGGAGAAAATTGCGGATATCGACCGAATATGTGTATTTGTTTATATGATGATGGAACAGTTATTGTCAACGATAAGATATAAATAAAATCATGAGGAGAAGTGAAAAGGAAGAAAATGTTTGTTAGTTTTTCTGATCCGGTTGAATATTGACAGGATATTGTTCGAGCCATGTTTCCATTTGCTGTTTAAACGATCGAAGAGCTTCTTCATCCGATATGATTCCGTTTTGATGATCAGCAGAGATGATTTTCGCTGCTTGGTCATCGAATTGAGAATGAATTCCAACGATGAGAAAACAAACGAGAATATAAATGAAGAAAATCGTCAAACGCATCTTCATTTTTCAGGATCGAGTTTTGAAGCAATCATCGATGTTTTATAGAACGCATGGCATAGTGAAACAGATGTTGTATTCTCCATCAAGCTTTGTTTTCTTTTTCTTCAAAATCAAATATCATCATGTATTCATGAAAACATAATCTGTCTAATGCGAATTTGAATACAAAAGAAATTCTAGCTGTTTGTCAAATTTCGTGAATGAAAACTTGAAAATAATGTAGAACGAAATATACAATTGACGTTTCATCTATAATCGGATGGAGACATTCGATTGACTGAAATTTATCTAGCAAAGATGAGTTTAACATGTGATGACAATGAACCAATCGGACGTCTTTTTTATTCACAACTTTGTATTTCGATTCTTGATTTATATTTCTCGACAGTTGAGATCATGTCTCTCGTAAAGATTGGATATGAATTCAACCTTCTTCGGAAAGAAATTACAAGCAAAGTTCAGTTCAATCTTGCATGATGTTTATTAATGAACAAAGATTGAAGTCAATACAATGAAGAAATGATGTTGCTATTCGTTCAAAACTTGTGACATTAGATGTTTGAGAAAAAAAACGAAGCTGAAGTAATGTTTTCGTTTAAGCATTAGTCATCGTTAAGATATGCAAATGCTTTTTTTCGAATATCTTCACTAAGACCATTTCCATCTTGGTCATCACCAGCAATGGCATATTGAGTTCCCATGACCAAAAGGCAAACGAGAGCAAAGAGAAAATATGTTGTAAAACGCATTGTTTCGTTTCTTGACGTGGAATGGAATGAAAAACAACTGATGATACACGATCTTATATAGAAAGACTCTCATCTTTTGAAACAGATGTTGGATTCATTTAGAAAAAAAAAACATCGTTAGTAATGAAATATCCAGTTGATGCGTTTCATCCTTTGTCTATCACACCAATTAGAGAACAAAATACATTAATATTGCACTTTACATACTTTTCTCTCTTGTGAATGCTTTGTCAGATAGAGAAATAATTTAGCCTTTGTAGATTTAACACATGTGTTACTTTTATTGACTAATGCGTGGTGAAATAGATAGATCATATAGCAATATGACCTTACCGGATATTTTCATTCGGATTAAACAGAAAATTAAGATGATATCGAAGTACGCTTTTTACTAACTCATCAAGTTTCTGACGATCGAAAATGGAAGACATGATTTGTCAGATTTGCATTACAAAGGAAATCAGAAGAACATTCTTATTTTTTCTTTGAACTTCGATTCATTGTGTGTGTGTAACGTAAACATATGTCCTTCACGTTCTTCTCACACAATTTGTTGTGCCAGAGTACGTTTTTTTTCTTTCATTGACAATCATTGATCAAATATTTATAAAAGTATTTCATCAAGCAAAAGCAGAAATGACTCGAACTTTCCCTCTCGCCGTTGAAGCCTTGAAGTCTTATCTCATCATTAGTTTCAACAAACGAAATGATCAACCAATGGAATGTCATCGTTTATTCGTTAAATGATGGAACCGAGTTTATGTTTACTTGAGTTCGAGAAATGTCGCCGATTCAACGGATTCTGTTCAAAAGAAAAACATTGTGTTGCACTTTACGTACGTTTCTTTTATAGTCGGGCGTCGCAGAGAAAAAGAATTGTAATTATGTTTGCATATTGGAAAACTTCATTCCTATTTATATAATTGTACGTGATGTAACGAAGGGAAAAGTGTCCGGTTTATGCAGTACACGCATGCGAGTTTAGTTTATTGAATATTTTGATTGAGATTAGTGAGTCAAACAATACAATCAGAAAAAAAAACGAAAATCACAACAAAATCAGATCACTTTATCATGTCTTTTCCTTTGGTCATCATCATCTTTCTCTTCTTCATTTATTAGCACGAGTTTCAACAACTTTAGGGCCACCTGGTTCAGTTGATCGGCGTGAAATATCAAATAAAGGTAAATCGAAATAAGAATTATCACCTTTGATAAGTAAACTTGCGAATGCTTTGTACCAACCAACAACGGCAGTAAAAATGCCGATGGCACCTGCTGCACGTCGTAAATTGTACTGATCATCCAGAAAGAAACCAGCGCAAAGTAAAATGTAAACTAACATCAAGAAAAAGAAGAAGACAACGTTAATAACATTGGTTCGAATCGATGAAATCAACATCGCTAACGTAAAGATGGTCCAAGCAAGATAAAAAACACCCATGGCATTGTGAAGTGCTGTATTGTCACTTCCAGTCAGAAATCCTGTTGTAAATCCAAATGAACCGCTCACATAAAGTGAAGCAAGTCCGAGCCAATAACCAGCATAGGAAAGGAAAGTTAAAGCATAAAAGTTGTTTCCTATGCGCAGTTCAAAAACGCCGGCAATTAATTCGACTAATCCGCCATAGAATAGACCGAGACCCATAGCAATACTAGCAGATGATGTCACTGGAACCGTTGCACCAGCCAAATAGAATGAATAAACAAATAATGTTAATGAAAATGCACAGAAACCAATCGGTGTTGCGTTGTATGGACGACTGAGTCCATGCGCATGACTTTTCAATACATTTTCATATTCTAAAAAGCGATTGTAGGCAAGTCGACTTGAATCTGCTGTAGACATCTTGATTCAATACTAAAAGAAGAAACAAGACAAGTCAGTTCGTCTCGTTTTGTATTCGTTACTAAGAGATCGATGATTATCTAATAGAGAAAAGTTCGATGGACACAAACCGTCTCCTTACGTGAAAATTGTGTTTTGTAGGGAGAGAAAATTAATTAATCCGATCGGAAATAAAAGACGTAAGAGAAATATTCAATAGAAGATTACGATGAAAGTGTTGGTTCATTAAAAAAAGAAAAGAAAAAAAAGACTGCATCAATTCTTACTTTGTTCGTTTGAACTCGATTCTCTGTTTGTGTAATGCAAATATACTATGCGACCCTTATTCTTCTTCTTCTTCTCTTATATAGGTACTCAGTTGTTAGACACACAAAAAAAATCGCTCGTTCCGTTGACAACATTAATTGTCATTGCAACAAATAGTATGGCAACCACACTAATGTCTCTCTCTCTCTCTGTCTGCCTGTTTCTACTCGTTCAACTCCAGTTCACCAATGGGATTCTCTTTGGTACGATTTCCGTGTGTGGATATTGAAGAAGATATTTGATTGAAATCCTCTCTATTGATTTCACCTTGAACTATCAGCCTGTGATGCGTATGACGATGAGATCGGATATCGGACTCTTTTGCACTCAATCAAGGTTGAGTGATCTACGCAATAGTTACGTTGTTTAAACAAATAAATGAAATCGTATATATTTGTCAATTTTTTCTTTACTAAAAATCTAAAGAAAAAAGAGACTTCATATTACATTAAATGCTTTTCAACTTCAAGTGGAGAAGAAGCGGATGGCTTTTTTGTCCGTAGAGAAAGATGCGGTGCATTGAGGGTGAAATTTTATGAATGACGAGAGAGACGTTTTACAAGAATGTTCCTTTCACTACTTTTCGACGGTCGCTGTTCATGATTGGAACTGGAACGAGGAATTTGAGTGACGTGAACTGTGCTCGCACGGACGGGAACGTTCGATCTTCTTGAAGGGTTCGGTGGAGATTGGTGAACTTCTGGTATTGAAGGAGAATTCGTAGTGATTTGCAATTCGGTTGGAGAAACATTTCCAATGGAAGAATTTTTTTTTAGTAAATCAGTACTGAAACTATCGATCCTTTCGATTTCGATGATTCGATTGAGAAATTGATGTTTATCTAGAAGAATTACAGGTAAATCGCGATCTTTTCGATTCTTTCTTCGACGACGTCGGGCACCGGGAGCTCTTTTATGAAAATATATTATAAGTTTTATAATTTAATTTGAATACTTACAGTAATAGCCAATATATACAACAGCAACTGCAACAAAGTGCGAGTAATAAAGCCAATAACGTTAAACCGACGATTAACGGCCAATTAATATTGTTTTCTGAATAAAAACATGTTTTCATATAAAAAAATGACCAAGAATTTCTTACTAGGAGATGCTGTCGTGGTTCTACAAAGAAAGAAAAGATTTTATAGTAGGAATCTTTCCCTCAACGAGATCTATATTTACACTGTAGTGGTGGTGGTTGACGTAGATGTTGTTACGGATGTCGATGTCGTTGTAGTGCTTGTCGTTGTGGTGATACAAAGTGGACCGGATGAGACAACATTGAATGTTACACAATATGTCGATGAAGTCACTTGTTCTCTGAATAATATGGAAAAGAGACTTCTTTTTTAAGAAAATAGAATAGATTTTACTGGGTAATAGCCGTCACACAGAGTTGTTGAGAACCAACTTGACTGATTTGAGGTTCCCATGTGAAAGTTACGTATGAAATCGATTCATTAGTTAATGAAGTAGTTAAATTGCTCATATTCATTCCAGAAATGCTATTCACAACTGCAATATCAACGATTTGCGAGATATTCGGATTGCATAAGTTAACTGCTGATATATTGAAACTCATAGGAACGCCGACGAGAACGTCAAAACAACCAGTTAACGGTACGATAACTGCTGCTGATCCGCACATTGGCTGTCCCATAACATAGATTAAGAATTGAACAGGAACTGAACTCATCGATACATTACTCGTTGTATTGATGAAATCTTCAACCTAAAAACAAAGGAAATAACGAAAAGAAACTTCTTTCCTGATCGATCTAACCTGAACAGCAACTCCATACCAAGTATCAGCAACAGGACCAGTAAATGTAATCGTACATCCTGATAAAGTCGTTCCATTCGGTAGACTACCTGGATAGCAAATCCCTCCACATTCATCGATAGGTTGTCGATTTGGATACGATGATGTCGGTTTTAATGTCCCCGGAGTTTCAACAGTGGTCGTTCCCGGCAAACATCCTGATGCGGAATTGCATGTTGAACCCGAACAAGTTGTGCCATTACAACCGGAACAACTACATAGACATTTGTGACCACACGAATATTGACAAGAACTACATGGATTTTTCCAACGTTTTTCTCTTTTGAGAACGATCTGTTTTTCATTTACCGATATTCCTGTTTGATCAACATTTCGTCGACGTCGATATCCAGGCGTGTACACCGACCATCGACAACGCACATCATCACCAGCATTGGCGTCGGAAACCGGAATTGTAATTTGAATTGTCCGATTGACAATTGCATATTGTGGTGAAACAACATTTGCAACAGGCGGAGTGTTAATAATTCCATCCGGTCGCATTCGAAGATCAATCGAACAGACGATTGACCACTCAAGTCCACTTTGTGCTGGATCATTCAATGCTACCCACGCAGATCCAACATAAGCCAAATAAAAATGTGCACCGGCCATTAAACTAATATTCACACTTCGTTGACTCGTCATCATCCCCAATGCAGAATTCACCGATTGACAATCCGTTAAAATATCCACTGGATTCGCTGAATAACCACCGTCTGTTGAACAATCGGTCACACATGTTAAATTATAATTAGCTGTTGTTCGACCAGGTGTGGATATCGGAACATTCGTCGCACAAGATATGACTGGATAAGTCCACGAATATGTTTGAATAATCTGAATAGGTACGAGACTTGAATTGATTGTTGGATAAATCGGTTGCCAGCGAATAGTTCCACCATTGAAGTGTAAACTATGTAAAGATTCAGAAGAAACAAGCACAACTATCAACAATCGAAGCATATTTTCTTTCCAGACTGCTGTACTTTCTCTTGCACTCTGATTTATACAATGAAAAAATAGAAAAATAATTAGAATTTATTGACTTCATCTCAATAACTCAAGTACATTGAAAGGCGTCTACGAAATGCGAACTTTTGCCTTACGAACAAAGTGCATTACTCATCTATCGTGCTTCATTCGATATTGCATTAAATCAAATGCGAAATAGACGATAAGCTTAGTGTATTTTAATCACATCTTTGAATTTTTAAGATTTCATGAAGATAATTTATATTTGACGACAATGAAAGATTGGCTGTAAAAGTTATTTTCAGAGATGGGAACTAACCAGGTGATGATGGTTATTAAAGTTACACTCGACAGGTACAGGGGTTCAGGCGCTAACTGATAAAAAGAATATACAAATAAGTGAGCCGAAAAGGATGATATTTGTTTGAACGATCATCTTTCTCATTATTTTCATTTCGCGGTGATTATGATGTCGAAAATAGCGAGTCGTGTGTTCCACTTGATGAGTTTTTACTTTCAACATCCATTTATGTTAAACATGACAGAAGAAACATAGTCTTGGAAGATATTTGCGGTTATTGGTAGATGAAAACGATTAATCAAGACAAATTCATGTTGTGTGTAGTGTTTAACAATACACTTTCTCTATGCGACATATGTTCATTTGATGATCTTCTTCCATAGTATACGAGAATTTTGAAAGAAGGAAGTTCTTTGTTAAAGAGTGAGAAATGATTTTAGATGGACTTTAACTTTTTAAGACCATCTCAGCCGGTGTACAATGAGGTTTTTCGTTCATCTCTGCAGGAAAAGATTCGAAAGTTTTTCTCGAGAAGAGTCAATTGTCTTCTCACTAATTTGTTGAATTTTGATTAAATGTCGAAAAAGAAAATCGAACTTTCGAAAGACTAGAACATCATCATTGAAAAGATTGCTTTGTGTGCGTATCTTCTTAGTTAAAGCTCCACATTGGTTAAGTATATTCATATCTCAAATGTTTATTCTTTTACTCATAAAACCCCTCTTCTCATCAAATGAATTTCACTGGGGCGAAAAAAAACTGTCATCGTTTTTCATTATATTGCATATCCACAGTGTGAACAGCGTTGATCTTGTAATAAAAATAAGCAGATAAGTCCAAGTGGGAAAAAGATAATGCAACAAAACACTCCTAAGCAAGTCATTTCAGACTGTAACGAACCGATCTAAAAAGAGATTTTCCTTGGATATTCAATCATTTGTTTATCATCTTCACTTACACCACATGCGGGACAATTTCCTGTCGATTGATAGGCAATCACCGGAATGGGTTGTAGAACTTGTGTTCCATAAGTAACCTGTCCTTGATACGACATTTTCTCGTTTACTTTTTAAGACGTGTGACTTTGTCTATTTGATGAAAACAATCTTTCAAGATAAAAACTTATCTTGATAAACTTGACTCATCGCAATGTTTATTTTCCTCTGTCTCTCTCTCTCTTTTCCAATGTTTCTTTGAAACAATCATATACATAAAAAAAGGTCCTCGTAATCAACAATCGTCCAGTTTTCCCGTTGCTATATCAATTAATTTTGGATAACGTAGAGATTTATTATCTAATTTGTCCTGCATGTACGTAACCATCCGGACTAACATCGATAAATCCGATTCTGATTGTTCGTTTTGATCGATGAGCAGCGCACTGTTGATTTCATTGGCGACTTGTTGACGATGTGATAGTTGCATTAGATAACCATAAGGAGATTCTAATGGTTTATCGAAAACCAGCAAAGCCATGGTTTTTTCTAATTCTTGTCGCATTTTCAGTTCATCTTCGGCAAATTCAGCGAGATGAATCTGCGCGTAGGTTAAAGCTTCGTCGATTAAATTCGAACGAATCAATTCGATCAGATGTTGTTGCTGAAAGACGAAAGAAGTGAAGATGTACTTGAAAGATAAAAAATAACCTTGAGATGAAATGCTAATTGTCGGTTTTGGTCGAGCAATTCCGGCGATTTTTTGTTAATAAAGTCAATTGCTTCTTGAATTTTGCCGTTTTCAATTGCTTCCCGAATTTTCAAACGTTCTTCAACTGAGGTCAAATCAATATCGTTCAACGGCATTCCAGCTTCTTCAGCGAACTTCTCCGCTGCTTCTTTGAAACCCTCTGAACATTAAAAAAAAAGCAATGTCAATCAATCGATTAGCTTCGATTTACCAGTGATGAGATAATTGATAATCAGTCGGTTTAATGCCGATCGTTCTAAATGTTGTTGTTCGATTGCTTCCATCCATTCGCTCTTCGTTGCTGTTTGATGAATCGGTGTCAATGCATGGCTTTCAGACGTTGATGAAGCGGACGATGTATTCGAAAGTGCCATCACAGCTGCAACAGCTGCCTGAAAACAAATCCTGACTAAAACAGTTCCAACTGGGAAATACAGACCTGAAGTGGAGGAGCAAAATGTGCGTGCATAGATCGATAGTCGATGAAAAAAAAGAAAATAATACAATTTGGTAAAGGGAAAAGAAGAAGCACGAATGGATAATTTTATCGATCAATACCAAACAACCAATGTGAAATAAGGCGTGTTCATGAGCGACATCTATTGACATTGGATGTCATGTCTGACATATAAGATTTATTTGTAGAAGATAAAAATTTATCACAAAAAATTACGTCGCGAAATCTTCGAGTTTTCGATCGGGGACTTTTGTTTTTATTGGAATAGCCGGAACTTCGGGAAGTGTACCGATGTCTTCTTGTTCATCCAAACCAGCCAATTCTTCCAATTCGCGTTCTAAATCAGCATCGTCGTATAGATCTAACCCACTTAACCCAGGTGCTGATATTGCATTGGCAATTTCTTTTGCTAAAAATCAAATTTTGAAAAGAAAAGAGAAAGATGAATTTCGTCTTACCAAGGGTATTTTGTTCGTCTAAGTCGTCCATAAGATCATGAACATCATCGACATTCAGATTGTCATGTGTTTTTTGCAATGCACCTGCTGCTGATCTCATCACACGTAACACTTCGATGTTACTCTTGGCATTTTGCAACGATTCACGTTGAATTTCTAAAGTGATTAAAGTTCCATCGATTTGTTTCAAAGCATTCTCATGTTTTTTCTTTCGTTTCAAAGCCATTAGCGCTCCGCGTTTATTTCCTTGTCTTGAGCAATTTAATGCATTGACTTTTTCACTGTCAATCTGCGATTCGAGATGAATTTGCTTTTTGTTGAGAAGATCTTCTACACTGGACAAACGTTGGATTGCTTCATCCGTTGAAATATTCTCTCCATTGCCTTTTTTTGAGCTGCCGAGCAAACGTTGGAAGATACTCATGACTTGTTCTCTTCAAACAACAAAGTGAAGATACACAGTGTGCTCTACATCCGACCTGATGACTCATTTCTTATCAGGAAAATTTCTTGAATTTCGCCAAAAAGTTTCTTTTTTTCTCATCGATTTTTCTAAGGATGCGAAATCGATGATAATCTCAGCGACTTTTCAATAGAGGTTATCACCATAGTTAATGAACGCGAGTAATGGCGACGTTGTGAATCAAACATTGTCTGTTTCTTTTTTTTACTTAATACATAGAAAATGTGTCCCGCATCAGCATCGAGTGGTTCTCGTAATGGAAATGGAGTTGGATCTGCTAATGTGAGACGAAATGGAAATAACTATCGATATCGAACAGTCAATGCTCAATCGGAAGTCGACGAGACACTCTTTGGTACACCACNGTCCCGCATCAGCATCGAGTGGTTCTCGTAATGGAAATGGAGTTGGATCTGCTAATGTGAGACGAAATGGAAATAACTATCGATATCGAACAGTCAATGCTCAATCGGAAGTCGACGAGACACTCTTTGGTACACCACATCGGGTGGCAACAGCTGCAAGAATGCGAGCGGAACGTCAATACACTCAAGGTAAACTTTCCTTGGTGAAAAGCCTAACGAAATTCGGCCTTTAGATGAAGAACATGCCAGACGAGCACAATCCTGTACGACACGACAAGTTGGACCACTGAAAAAAGAATACATTAGACATATAACCAAAGATCTAATTAGAGACATCATGTAAATCTGCTTTGAAACGAAAGATTTTGAGTTTTCATCGTTATTTCAGTGTTCCGGAAGATCCAACTTGTACGTCTGTAATCATCAATGGTAATACTTATCAACGTTTGACTCAGGCTGCTCGCTCAAATCCTCGCGTTACACGAGAATATGCCGTTGAAGAAAACAAACAGAATCAACAATGGCTCGAAGTAGATTCTGTCTTTTATTTTTCGAAAAAGTGACATTTCCGCTGAATTTTTCAGGAAGAACTCGAACGTCGCAAACGAGTGATGCAAGCGTATGACCAACAGCGAAAGAAGAACGAACCATTAGACGATATCGAACAGGAAGCTAAAGAAGAAGCACAATATTTACTTAAACGTGCCAATGAACTTCGACAAGAACAAGAAGATGAAGTGAAACATTTAAATGAAGTTCGTAGTTTTCGTCTTTCGAAACTCCTCTCAAGCGCGTTGTTTAGATGGTTTTGAACGCGAAATGTCACGCGATTCGCGATGCTCAACTTTTGGAAAAACAACAGATCAAGAAAGAATTAGAAGAAGAAAATAAACGATTGGACATCATGATGGAAATCGAACGACTGAACGCAATCAAAATCCAAGAAGAAATCGAGAAAAAACGACACCAACAAATCAAAGAAGGTGCGAGTATGGTGTTGAAGCAAATCGAAGAGAACGAAAAGGAGAAAGTCTATCGCGAAGATATGCGTGAACAGGAAAACGCAGCTATGCTTGAATCAATGCAGAAATTACAAGAGAAAGACTGGGAAGAATATTGTAAACGAAAAGGTGTTCAGAAGAAACTAGCCGTACGTACAAATGATCATTTTCTCGGAGATTCCTTCGATTTATTTAGACGGAATTATTGAAAGCCAATCGGGACATCGATGAACAACGTGCCTTACGTAAACAACAAGATCGTCAAGCTGATTTAGCTGTTTTGGAATTTCAAAAAGCTAAAGCAGCACGTGAAGCAGCACAAGAAGCTGAAGCGGAACGTCGCCGTGCTGAAAAAGAACGTGAAGTCGCTCGTCTACGTGCTAAACAAGAACGGGCGAGAGATTTACAAGCGGACAAAGATGCCTTAAGAGCCAAACGTGAACAAGAACGTCGTGAACGTGAATGGCGTGAAAAGGAGAAATTCGAAGCCTTAAAGAAAGCTCAAACCGAAGAAGAAATGCGATTAGCACGTGAATGGCAAATCAAAAACAAGGAACAACATTTAGCGGTCGAAGCTGCGCGGGAAAGAGCAGAATTCGAGCGTGTACTCAAGTAAGACGAAGACGATTTCGTTATCCGAAAGATGATTCGAATGTTTTAGAGCGCAATTGACCCAAGCGGAAAGAGAACGCATGGAAGAAGAACAACGCAATGCGAAACGACAACGATTTGCCGATGATTTACGTTCGCAGATTGTTCGACATGAAAAACAAAAGGTTGTTGATCGCGCGGAATTCTTCGAAGAAGCTGTTCGACGAGAAGAAGAAGCACGATTACGTCGAGTACGACTCGATCAAATCAAAAATCAAAAACTTGAAGAATTACGGTAAGAAAAAGACTTCGTTTATCGACAAACTAGAAAAACAAGTTTTGTTCTAGTCGGGCTGGAGTACCGGAGAAATACTGCGCCGATATTGAACGGAAAATCAATGCGGAAACCAATTTGCATAAAGAGAAAACTTCAACTGTTAATTAGAATAACAATCAGAAGAGTTTCTTTGCCTTATCTCTCTTTTTTATTTACACAAAATAAATTCAACTAATTTTGTCGCTTTTATTCAACAATATACATGAGAATTATAGCAGAAAACGCCAAACCAAAGAGTTTTTCATGGCGAACTCCATGATTACATAAATGTCGATTGCAACAGCTAATTTTCAGATCAGTCACTCGAATATTTGTGGTATTACCACCGACATCGGTACTGTTCAGACCATTCGGACATCCATTGGGACTGACATTTCTGATCGCGAATCGTTCATTCGTGTTCAGTTTACCAATGATTTTCTACGAGAAATAAAAACAAGATTTTTCAGTCGGGTTGTACTATTGAGGGTGTGACATACAACACAAATTGCGTTCGATGTTGTTGCAGATGCTGTTGTGATCGATGTTCCATTGAGATTAAATGGATCGTAACAACTGGTTGGTTGCTCTCCTCGAATTTTACATGAATAGCAATCCAATGTGTTGATCGAAGGAAAAACACCTAAGGAAAGTCAAATGAAAATTTCATCTTTCAGGTTTTTCAGTTTTACCGAGAAAAAAGAAGAATAAAAACGTCGTAGAAGGCATGATCCAGAGAGAGAAAAACTGAAATAAAATAAAGAAATATTAACAAAGTAAATGCTTTATATTAAAGCGAAGAGCGAACGAATGATAATATTGACATTTGTGTAATCGATCCTTTCTGCTGAGAGAGAAATTTAATTAAAAGAAATAAGCACATTCAGTAAATTATCGATTGCTTTGTTTCTCTTCAATAACATGTGACACAGTTTTCCAAACAAAATAAAAAATCTCGGTTCAATAATTTTGTCAATAATGTTCTTCCATCTCATTATATCTTTAAAGTTATGCTGCATTTGTTTACCTATTCGTAGTCATGTGTACATTTTTCATCTTTTTCTTGGACTAATCGTACTTCTTCAAATCTCTTACCATTTCTATTTTCTCAAAACGCATCACATAAAAACGACACCTCTCAAAGATGAATCTGCTTCGTCTACACAGTGGAGAACCAACGTATTGACTCACCATAGTGAAATACTCCAATTCCTTGTTATTTTTTCCTGTTTTATCATCTTTCCCATGAAAAATACTTGTGGAAGAATTATTCAAAATCCACCTTGTTTGACAATTTTGTTCAAATGATGATCGATCTGTCAATGACATTGGATTTCTATCGAAATGGTTATCGATCTCCATTCAGCATTCCACTTTGTTTTCTGCAGACTTACATTGATTAAGGTATTTGGTACGGAACACTTCATATTATGTTGTGAATATCTGTTGAGAGACACATTTTCATCTTTCATTCGAGTTTTTTTTCGAACAGCAGGTCAAATTCATTTACTTCTATTTTGGATCATCTGTTTAACTTTTGATCTTCCTTACGTCTTTGTTACAATTGCATAATGGTTTGGTAGAGTTCTTTTGCGATTGGCTTCGTAGAAGAGAGTTTATATTAATGAGTATTTCAGTCGTCAAGTACATTTATCTAAACCGAAGTCTCCAAGATATTCGATAATTTCAATCTCTCTTCCGTTACTAATAATAATGATAACGTATGAACTTCAGGCAGAATAACTGACGGATTATAGGTGAAAGAATGAACAGACATAGGTGGAAAGCATTTGAAAGTGCACAATTTGCTTTTTGAATTTGTGATATTTCTTCTATGAAATATTTCGATAGAATTCTTCAGTATTTCTCCATTTGTTCCCTTCGAATCTCATTATAATTCCAAAGATAGTTCTAATGTTACACAATAGAAAACCAACTCGTCCATTTCTTTTTCTGTAATCATCTATCGCGTGACAAACTCGAATAGAAAAATCTTCAGAATCATTTCATCACTGTTCTATTGTTGTTTAAATGATAATTCAACTGTGAATGATATTCTTAGTTTTTATCGAAATCTTCTTCGTACAAATAATTGGATTGATAGTTACTTTCGATTTTCCATATTTCATTGCCTCAGTTGGATCATTTATTTCTAATAACACTTTTGTCATAGAATATAAACCTTAAGTAAAACAGAAACCTTGTCGCAGATGTTTTCAAAGACAAGATAACAGCGAATAGTGATTTCAATGATGAGAATATATGGTAATCATGTTTTAAAATGAATTTCTTTATTTAAATGTAAACATATTATCAAGCAAGTACTTCTATAGTGTTCGATTCTTGTGTAGAAGAAAGTGAAATTATTGCATCAACAACAATATCGTTTTTCTGTTCAACTTCAAACGGAGATGCGATTAATGGTAATGGTGGTGTAATTTCTTTCAAATGAATAATTGTTAAATCTTGTGCTGGTTGCATTTTGTCAACAATTTGAAGATAAGTTCCCGGCAGAAGAATAATTTCATCTTCTTCTTTAAAATACGAATGATCACGAATAAATTTCGCATTGGTTGCTTCAATAGAGAATATCGTTCGTATTCCATTTTGTCCGATGAACTGTTCGATAACGCTAACCGATCCTGCACAAGAACTTACACCCCACCAAATGATTTTCTCACCTTTCTTATATTGTGCACTGAGATCATCTTTAACTCCTCGCCATATTGTCTTATGACACGACGGCAGTTTATACAAAGCTGTTAAGAATAATTTGAGATATGGAAACCAAGGAGCCAAAGCTTGTCGATTGACTGTGCGTAAGGCGCGATTGAGATGAATGTATAAACTATCACTAACCGGTGTCCATTGCATCGAATAAAGATGAACCGCTGCCGATTCATCCGGAGATAAATCAGTTGGATTTACACGAGTATTCTGTCGAGCGATGTACACATATCGATGAATATCGTCGTTGAATAAGTGAATGATCGATTGAATCGATTGTTCAAGAGACACAAGAGATTCTTTTTCATAACCTTCCAAAGGCATAACCATATCTTGAGTTGTGTAAGTATCATTTAATGATGTGTATCGATGACCCGTTTGTTCATTCGCTTCGGAATTGGTCAAAGATAAAGGAGAACTTGAACGATATTGTAGACGGTTACGAAAGATTCGAGGAATTGTTCGACCTTCGAGATCTATTTGAAGAAAAAGAAAGTTTCGGGAAATTTCAAAGAAATTTTGTTTTACCAGGAAAAACAGTTGGATTGATTTGAAAAATATTCGTTTGGATATAGTTAATCAATTGATTCATTGTGGCATTCACTGGTTTATCGGATAAGTCACGAAAGTCGTACCATTTTAATCCAGCACTGATTAAACCCAACCATGCCGAAGGTTTAAAATCTACTCGGCAACGACAAGGAATCAAAGGAATTTCAAGTTTTTCCGCGTATTCTAATTCCTTTCGACAACTTTTCGACTTTTGATATTCCGGTGTCATAAAAAAACAAATCGCCGCACTGTTTTCAACGGCTTGTGCCATTCTAAACAAAACTCGAATTATTTTCTTATTCGACATCTTTTTCCCCATTACCCATCATTTATGTTCCCACCGATTCCATCTTGAATGTCCATCCAAACTGGAATATTTTCATTTTTTAATTGATCAGCTACTTCATAAGCAAGATCCTGGGTTCCTCGCCAGGCATATGAAATCATTATATGTTTACGTCTCGAATCGGAACTCGACATTACGAATGAATAAAAACCATAAAAAAGGAAAAATACTATTAAATACTGATCCGATTTTTCTTCGAAAGGATCTGACTCAGATTTATGACGAACTTATACGTGCTCGAGGGCTTTGTCTATTGAAATTCTGTCAAGTGTGCATACAGAAGTATTTTTCTCTGCGGATACACAAAACAGTTAATTGTATTCGAAGATTGAGTTTTATATACCAAATATTTGATAGTCTATCAAATGAAAATAGTTTTTATTGTGTTTGAAGTTCCACCTTAGTTACTGAATGCAGGATTCGACTGTTTTTTGGTTGTCACTAACATCCATCGAAACAAAGAAACACATTTTCACGAGAATGAATGACTGAAATTTGGATTAATCATCAATAACGAAATGATAAGAACAATTTCTAAAAAAGAATTCATAGAATAAATGAAAATAATTTCACATTATTCTGTGATTAACATCCACTCTTTTGTTTCAATTCGCATCGAAATAGCTAAACTGTACAATTTTTCAATCATCAAATATAAAAGATGCAAAATACGGCAAAAAAGAACTTCATACAGTATATACAGACAATTAACAAAGTTGTTCAATAGTCCAAGAAAAGATTTTCATACAATTCAAAGATAATACATAAAATTTCTAAATTCGGATTTTCTCTATCGTTTATATGGATCATTTCGGATTTGATGAGAAACATCTTTCCGATTAATTTTTTCATTTTCAATCAAAGCGATTAAGAGAGATTTCTTGTTAAATCATCTTTGTACTCGTAGAGACATCGAATGATAACTTGAACGATCAAAACACATGTACGAGAAAAATTACAATAAGAAAAGTGAAGATATTTCTTTATTTTAGTCAGACAACTCCTATTTGATACTTGAAGCAAAAGATGAGATGATTACATTTTAATACAAGTAAAAGCGTAGAATATAATCTCACTCTATGCGTTTTTTTTATCACATTAGACTTCCATCCGCGTTCTTTATTCCACTTGCAGCGTGGAGAAATCAAATGTTTCCAATTGAAAGTTTGTAATTTAGTTTGAACTTATCCTTATGCCTATTTCTTAATGGTACTACATCGTTTTCTTTTGAAATGTCAAGACAAGAAGAATAAATACTATAACCATTAGGAAAATCGTGAGTGTCAATGAAGAAGTGTTTATCGAAGAACGTAAAAAAATTTTGTAGACCATGGATGAGTTTCTTATTTAAATTATGTTTTGCGAATCATCGATGTGTATAAGAAAAGAGACATGTGTCTTTCAAATTTTTGTCTCGAAAATATCTTTTTCTTCGTTCCCGCGCCACAGCTTCTGACGTTGTGCTTCAATTTCTTATTCTCCTTATAAAACAAACATATTTTTCTCTTCAACGAAAATTCTCTCTTATTACAAGTTTACAAATATACTCAAATTCATCAACGTGATTCGTTCTTCTGCTTGATAATTATTTCAAAGTTGTGAGTAAATGAAATGCAGGAAAAGATGTTTCGATGGTTTATCTGACAGAGCAGAGTCCATCGTGTGCGATACTTGCTTTGCCATTGGATGAATTGTTATGTTCAATGGAAACCTTAACTCGCGAGAAAAAATTCTTCAGAATCAACTGCGAACATTTCGTCCAGATCATTCTGATTTGGGTTATTCTTACAACAATATCGGTCTGATTTATGGGAAGATGAAAAACTTTTCGAAGGTCTATTTGTTTTTGGAACATGCTGTAAAAATCAGACAACAATCATTTCCATCCGATCACTCTAAGCTTCTCTTGAAAACAACGCACTAAAGAAGAGAAATCGCGAGCTATAAAGGACAGAATTGTATGGATAATGGATTAGTATAAGTAGTTAAGTTTGTTGGAATGAAATCGGAGAGTAGTGATTGGTCTGATTGTCAGAGATACTGTACAGATGGTAAAGAATAAAACGCACTATTTCATGGCACGTGTGTTTTTCATAAGGAAACTATTCTCACCCTACACATGAACACACGTATTTTACCTTTTCAGATAATGGAAATTTCTGTTTTAGTAACCAACAAACGAAGTGTGGAGATGACCACAATTTTTTCACTACAAAATAAACTTGATGAATTTGGTTGAATAAATGGAAATAATTTCAATCAAACTCGAATTTCCTTAGAGAAGAACAAATATTTGTTGATTTACAATGTAATTTGTATTATTCTAAATGATAAATAAATCAGAGGGATTCTTTTTTGTTTTGATAAAGACAATCCAATTCGGATAGAAATCACATCCGAAAGAAAACGACAACTAACTATTCTATTCTCAATTGATTTCTTTCTTTATAATATTTCATCATCAGTTAGAAGCAAAATAGAGAGACGAAGAACATCCATTGAGTTTACGCGTTACTTGAATCTATTTGTTCTATCGTCTCATAGATCACAGATATGAGAAGTTCATCTCTCGAAGAGTAATTCTCATTCCTTTCAGTTCTTATCACCCATAGGCGAACATACAGATACATGAAGTAAAATCAAATTGCAAAGGAAACCATCTCTGAATGATACAGACATACATGATCTGTATGTTTTACCTTGTTGACAAAGCACAATTACATAGTGGAATCAAGTTTAACGCGATCAAAGATTATTTTTATCGGAAAAAGAGGCTCTTTCCTCGACTACAAAAGGATTGCTTTCTCCTTAGTATTATTAGTTGACATTCAAGCCAAAAGAAAATCAGCAGGTAAATATTTCGATATCGAATCGTTACGCATCAATACTTGCGCATTTTTTTTCGAAAAGAAAAGAAACCGTGCTCGATCAAATCATCCCGTCATCACTTTCAAGCACAACTTACTGTTCGAGATATTGATTTGATTTCTTATCCCTTATGGACACAATCAACTCTGAAAAACAGGAAGAATCAGTGCCATTAACCAGCTCTGCTGCTAATACAGCACCGAATTATGGTAAAGATGGTGGTCCAACAAATGATTCGCTCCCATTGAAACAAACCAACACAACGAACATTATTAGCATAATAGTTGTTTTTCTCGTCATTTTAGCCATGTTGATTGTCATGTTCATTTTGGTTCTCAAATATGCAGACAAAAAAGGTAAATACATATCTCACAAAGGAATCTCTCGTTTATTTTGAATTTTTATAGATATTACGACGACAACCACGGCAATTAAAACAACAACAACGATGACGACGACGACGACGACGGCGATAACGACGGCGACGACGACAAATAAGGTTACAACAACCCTCAAATCGTTACCTCCATCAGCTGGAGTGGCGGGAATGTCGCATTCGCTTTGGAATTTGATGGTTATGTGCTGCGGTATCATTATCAGCATGATTATTTAAATCAAATCACGTTCATCTCCATTAATATAACAAACTACACTAACACAAAATTAGATAGAGTTCTTTTTACTAATCTCATACCGGATGAAATTATTAAAATCGAAATTAAAATACTCTTAAGTATTATCGGAGAAGGAAAAAATGTATTTGATGATTCGTATAGTGTTCCGACAGTTTCTAATCTTTTGTATTTTCAGCAATCGAATGAATCATGTGGACACAGAGACGTCAACCAATCAGAAAGATTGGATAAATAAATGAGGGCAAATATGTCAAGATATTTATTTAAGAAATAGAAAGATAAAGAATGGTCGACAAAGTCGTAACTGGTAAATGTTTATGTGGACAAATAAGTGTTTCAATTCCCGAAGTGATTTTGAACAAGAGTGAACATATTGGTTTGTGCTATTGTAAGAATTGTCGACAAAGTGGAGGGTGTTTAGCGTCGTATAATCTTTATTTACCGGAAAAAGATGTGACAATTCAAGGAGAACCGAAGATTTATCTGGATAAAGATACGAAAAGTGGAACAACGGTACGACGTGCATTTTGTGGGAATTGTGGTTCGCCGATGTTCGGGAAAAATCCGAATTTTGCTGGTTTAATGGCTATTAGATTGGGATGCTTTGATCAATTGACAAAACCGGGTATGGTTTTGTTTTGTAAAGATCGACCCCAATGGGATAAATCGATTGATGGAACACAAGAAAATGAGACTATGCCAGAGGTCACTGACGAATTCAAAGATTGGTTAAAAAATGTTGGAGTGAAAATTTAACGTTTTCTTTTAACGACACAAAATAAAGTTATTTAGTCCAGCAAAAATTGAATAAGAAAGATCGAATAATGGAAAAGATTTATCAATGTTCGATTTCCTCATTTTATTCCAAGTGAATTTTCATCTGAAAAGAAATCTTTTTTAATTTACAAGTCTTTGAATCGATTATTTTCACCATCAACAACATAAAGATTTCCTTTGGTATCAGATGATAAGTCACGGCGATCAAAGAATTGATTCGATTCATTTCCACGATCAGTTACTTCACTTTCTACATATTCTTCATATCAGAATTTCCATTGCACCATCGAACCATTCGTTTGTTTCCATAATCAGCAATGATCAAGTGAATGAGTTTGTTGATGGATGTTTTCCTTTCACAGTTGTCACATTTTGTTTCTATTTCTTTGAAGTTAATCCTAAAACAACAGAAAAAAAGCTTTTCCTAACTGAAATAATCCGTGTCTATTTTTCATTTACTTTTGGATAATACGATTGAGATTTTCATGATGAATATTTGTGCACCATCCTGTCGACAACGAATTTCGAACGAAAAATTCAATTCCTTATTTATGTTTTTTAATCTCTTTTTCAAATTAAATTCAATTTTCTTCTTGAATATATTCGATTGAACTCTTCTCACATTGATCAATTTCATCCATTAAAAATCAATTCGGTCGTTTTCGATAAATTTCTTTTCTAAACTGATTACAACCATCCAGAATGATATTCATTTGTTCGATTTAAACAAAATCGAGATAAATAAATCGGTGTCAAGCTGGCACCGTCGAGCTAGTACCACGAAACTAAGGATTTTCTGAAAACGGATTCCCGTCAATAAAACTTATTCTATTCGATGCAGAATTTGATTCTGTATCGAATTGTACCACTTTCATTCACGGGAAAAAGTTCGGAAAAACATTTTGCGAATATTTCTTTTATCTTTGTCTATATAGGGGAAAAAATAAGAATCAAAGTCAGCTTCATGCCAAACGTTTTTCTGTGAATAAAAATGGCACCATGCGGTTCAGCATTAAATTCCGCATCGAACAGAATAGGTTTTATCGACGGGAATTCGTTTTCAGATAATCCTTAGTTTCGTGGTGCTAGCTCGATGGTACTAGCTTCACAGCGATAATTGTTTCTTCGTGTATAAAAAATTGTTAGATCAATTTGTGCCACATTGCGGACACAAAAAAATACCTGTTCTCCACAGCCGAGGGTTAAGTGAGTCGGCACGGCGAGCGCTACTTGTGATAAAATACTTCTCGATATTTTTGGTTTTCATCAAATGTTTTATTCAATAGAGGAAAATATTTTTCTTTGACGACAAAGATTTTAATCATTGAAAAGACAATCTTCTCATCAAAAAAGATCTAACGGATTAATAAGTCAATCAAGAAGTTTTTCAGTTACACAATGAGGATTTGACTGCGCGTATTATTTTCGATGCAAAAAGATTTTCATTCAAACTTTACTTTTTTTCTGAAGAGAATTTCAAATTCTCTTCATTTTTCGGTTCCCATTCTCGAGGAGAGATATGTTCTACAAAGTATTCAGCCGAAAAGTCGAACGCGTTCCTTTCTTTAGCGTAGAAAGGCTAAACGAGATGTTTTCTTTATTTCGGAAATTTATTTTTGTCGAAGATTTTCTTCACACGACGTTTTTTAACTTCAAAAATTTTGAAAAACTTTATCTTTTCTCAAACAATTAAATCAAATAGTTGAATTCGATGATTTCCCCAATCACCAACATGAAGATTTCCTTCACCATCAAATAATAAACCGAGAGGATAAGACAATTGATTTGGTTCATTTCCTTTTCCATTTCCACCAACAATTATTTCGCCTTCTTCATCTCCTTCACTCCATCGCATTATTCGATCATTCCAACAATCTGCAACATAAATTCGACCCTCTTGATCGACAAGGATTCCTCGAGGACGATTCAATTGATTCAGATTCTTTCCACATCCATTTCCACCAGCAACAACAATTCCTTCCTGCGCATCTTTTCTCCATTTCATCACACGATCATTTCCCCAATCTGAAACATAAAGAGATTGTTCATCATCGACAAACAGAAAATTTGGAAGGTTGAACTGATTGAGTTTATCTCCTCTTCCATTTCCACCAGCAACTAATGTTCCTTCACCCTTTTCTCCCATTTTCCATCTTCTCACTTCATCTTTCTCACGATCAGAAACATAAACAAATCCAAATTTATCCATTGTTAATCGCAAACACCTAATATTGTCAATGAGAATCTCCGGTTGATTTTCGTTAAAAAACCATCGCATTACTCTTCGATTTCCATAATCCGCGACGATGATTGAATTATTTTGTTCATCAAAAATCACATCTGTTGGCTGATCCAATTGATTCCAACTGTTTCCTTTTCCTTTTCCACCAGCCACAACTGTTCCTCGATTTTCGTTTCTTTTCCATCGAACAATTCGATGATTCCACACATCCGCAATGAAAATATTTTGATGTTTGTCGATAAATATTCCTTGAGGACCTGAAAGTTGATTTAATTCTTCTCCTTTTCCATTTCCTCCACAAATTGTCGATCCATTTTGATTCCATTTCTTCAACTTTGATTCTGCAAAGACAAAAATTAACTTGATCTGTTGTATTTGAATTCATTGTTCAACAACGTTGTGTATGAGAAAAACATAGATTTCGACTTACTTCTTGTTGATTTCACTGAGATTCTTGTGATGAATGTTTGCGAACCTTGTTTAAGAAAGATTTCCGATGAATCGTTGAATTCCTTGGTGATTTCTCTTAATTTTTCTTTTAGATCTTTCAGATTCATTTCGTTCGCTTCATTTTCTTCTTGAATTTCTTTGATTTCTCTAATCAGTTTATTGAATTTCTCTTCAATATCGATGAGAAATCCATTAGTTTCTTTGAGAAATGTTTGTCGACATTGTTGAGCTGTTTGTCGAATAATTTCGATCGAATTCTTTTCCCATTGATCAATTTCAATGAAGAGAGAAGAATTTTGTTGATTTTCTTTTGTTTGTTGAAGATTTTGTCTAAATTGATCAAAATTGTTGATAATCGTGTTGAATTCTTTAGTCAAATCTTGTCGATGTTTCTTTAAATCGTCAAAATAGAATTCATTTGAACAACCTCGACAAGAATAGGTGAATTTGTATTTTTTACAAAGAAAACATTGTGTTTTATTCGTTGTCATTTTGTCAATCAGAGTGAAATGTGAATTTCTAAAGATAAATTTGAAGTCAAAGTGAAGAAAAATGTCGACATTTGTGGGAAATGTTTCAATGAATTAGTCATCGTTTTTTTCCTTCGAATCGATCACGATTTACGAATAAATGAGAAAATATGATGAAAAATAAACCTGTGTGTCTTTTATAGTGACATCTGTTCCAAATCGATCTAAAAGTATTTCGTCTTTTTCTTTTACATTTCACAAAATACGAACAATTTATTCGATCTCAACAATCAATACGAAACGAAAAGGAAAGAGAATTTCTTGTTCACATTGGAGTTTTCTTCATAAACACATGAAAAAGTTATTTTGAGAAAAAATTTCTCTTTTGAATAAGAATTCATCGTAAATTTTCTTAGAAAATCTTCACAAATTATTTTCTTTGACAAATATTTCCAAAGTTAATTGGAATTTTNTCCTTGAAATAATCAAAAAGTTCTTTGCACAAACGAAATCAGATCAGTTAACATATTTACCAATATTTTCACTCTAGCTTTATCAATAGATTTTTATTTTCCTCTATGGACAAAAATTGTCTCAGATAAATCGAACTCATTTTCTTGTTGATTTCACTGAGATTCTTTTGATAAATGTTTGTGAATCTTCTTCGATGGAGATTTCTGATGAATCGTTGAACTCCTTGGTGATTTCTCTTAATTTTTCTTTTAGATCTTTCAAATTCATTTCGTTCATTTCATTTTCTTCTTGAATTTCTTTGATTTCTCTAATCAGTTTATTGAATTTCTCTTCAATATCGACGAGAAATTCTTCATTTTCTTTGAGAAACGTTTGTCGACATTGTTGAGCTGTTTGTCGAATAATGTCGATCGAATTCTTTTCCCATTGATTAATTTGAATGAAGAGAGAAGAATTTTGTGGATTTTCTTTTGTTTGCTGAAGACTTTGTCTAAATTGATCATAATTATTGATAATCGTGTTGAATTCTTCAGTCAAATCTTGTCGATGTTTCGTTAAATCGTCAAAACAGAATTCCTTTGAACAACCTCGACAAGAATAGGTGAATTTGTGTTTTTTACAAAGAAAACATTGTGTTTTATTCGTTGTCATTTTGTCAATCAGAGTGAAATGTGAATTTCTAAAGATAAATTTGAAGTCAAAATGAAGAAAAATGTCAAGACTCCTGAGAATTTTTTCGATGAACTAGTCATCGATTTTTTCCATCGAATCGATCACGATTCACGAACAAATGAGGCAAAATTATGTAAAATAAACGTGTGTCTTCTATAGTGACATCTCTTCCAAATCGATGTAAAGGTATTTCGTCTTTTTCTTTCACATTTCACAAAGTACGAACAATTGTTTCGATCTCAACAATCAAAACAAAACGGAAAGAGAAGAATTTCGTTTTCACTTTGGAATTTTCTTCATAAACCCATGAAAAAGTTATTTTGAGAAAAGATTTCTTCTCTTTTGAATAAGAATTCATCGTAAATTTTCTTAGGAAATCTTCACAAATTATTTTCTTTGACAAATATTTCCAAAGTTAATTGGAATTTTGGTTGAAATTAATTTCGTTTTTCTCATTAAAAATCTTTTTTCAAAACGAAGAAATTCTTCATTTACGAACTTCGAAATCTCTTTTGAGTCAACGATCATCGTATCATTTCCAAAAAAAACGTATCGTTATATCAAAGAATTTCTCTTTAGATCGATAAATTAATGAATATTTCTCGATGAGAAGCATTTTCGATTCAACTTTTTCTCTTTGAAAGATTCTTTTCTTTATCTTCATTATAATTTTTCATCAAAATTCTTTTTCGCAAAACTTCATTTTCTCTTTTGTGTTGAATTTTATTTCCAAATGATTTTCTATAAAATATTCATTTGGAAAATTCAATGAATTTTCTTTTTATATTCGAAAGAAAACAAAAACAAAATTTTCTCAAAAACTTTTCTTTAAACTTTGTTTTTCATTTCGAATTGCATTTTATTTCGATTTCGAAATTTAAAATAAAATTTTTCTTTTTTCAAATGATCAAATCAAATCGTTGAATTCGATGATTTCCACCATCAACAACATAAAGATTTCCTTCACCATCAAATGATAAACCGCAAGCAAAAGACAACTGATTAGGTTCATTTCCTTCTCCATTTCCACCAACAATTATTTCACCTTCTTCATCTCCTTCACTCCATCGCATTATTCGATGATTTGCACAATCTGCAACATAAATTCGACCCTCATGATCAACAATCATTCCTTGAGGAAGATTCAATTGATTCAGATTCTCTCCTCTTCCATTTCCACCAGCAACGACAATTCCTTCCTGCGCATCTTTTCTCCATTTCATCACGCGATGATTTTCCCGATCTGAAACATAAATTGATTGTTCGTCATCGACAAAAAGAAAAGTTGGAACGTTGAACTGATTGAGTTGGTCTCCTTCTCCATTTCCACCAGCCACTAATGTTCCTTCACCCTTTTCTCCTATTTTCCATCTTCTCACTTCATCTTTCCCCCCATCAGAAACATAAACAAATCCAAATTTATCCATTGTTAACCCATAACAGCCGATATTGTGAATGAGAATCTCCGGTTGATTTTCGTTCAAAAACCATCGCATTACTCTTCGATTTCCAGAATCCGCGATGATGATTGAATTATTTTGTTCATCAAAAATCACACCTGTTGGCTCATTCAATCGATACAATCTGTTTCCTCTTCCATTTCCACCAACCACTATTGTTCCTCGATTTTCATTTCTTTTCCATCGAACAATTCGATCATTCCCGAAATCCGCAATGAAAATATTTTGAAGTTTGTCGATAAATATTCCAATAGGATATGAAAGTTGATTTAATTCTTCTCCTTCTCCATTTCCTCCACAAATCGTTGATCCATTTTGTCTCCATTTCCTCAAAATTAATTCTAAACAAAGAAAAACGAATTCTTTTTTCATTAAGATTAATACTTTTTCCTACAAAGACTGTTGCAAAGAAATATCTGAAAAGTCTTTTCAAAATCGAAATTGATTNCACGTTTCTATTTCGATACAAAATAGAATTAAGCACATCCTCAACCACAACCAACGCAGCAGAGTACCGTACAGTTTTCCTGCTACAACCCAGTGACAGTATCGTTTTTTTTATGAATGAAATGTAATTAACAATATTTGCATGCAAATACAAACAAAGTTTGCCAAGAGAAAGATAACTGCTTGTCTTTAGTTCAAACATAACCTAAGATTTGAGCTTCGGAATATTGCACTCCATCACTAATATTTCGTTGTGAAGTAATCAACAGACGATAACTTGCAAAAATCTTCGTATTTGGAAAATTTTGTTGAGTGACGTACCTTGACCGACCAGGATCTTTTGAACAATCAATACCTGTCGATCCATTGTAAATCAATGTCCAACTTGAACGTAAACGAAGTGTCGCATTTGTTGTGGCATTTGAACCTTCCAGTGTGACTGTTAACGGATCACGATCTGCAGAATCATCTGCAGTTGCAAAAAGTATGGAGCGAGCAATGGTTGCATTGCTTATGGATGGTGTGACAAAAAAGCCCGTTCCTACTCCTCGTCCAACAACACTACTTCGTGATCCACCAATGCCACCGTAATTAGAATATTTTGTCGATAGATCACCATCAATTGCATTCGTAGGACCTTCATTAGAAACGAAATAAATGCCATTGAAACCGTGTGCATCTTGACCAGCTGTTGTATTATACAAAGCAACGATTCTATCATCTGATCGCGTGAGAAAAACAATAGGACGTTCATTCGTTGTCGTAGATTCACCTATGAGTGATATCAAATCGAATATATCATCAAAAATAGATATTTCATTTGGAGAAGAGGAAGATACTAACCGATGATTTGAGCTTCGGAATATTGCACTGCATCACTAATATTTCGTTGTGAAGTAATCAACAGTCTGTAACTTGCAAAAACCAGTGTATTGTTAAAGTTTTGTTGAATAACATAAACTGAACGACTATTAGTGAATATAGGATCAATACCTGTCGAGCCATTGTAAATCAATGTCCAACTTGAACCTGAATGAAGTGTCGCATTTGTTGTGGCATTTGAACCTTCAAGTGTGACTGTTAATGGATCACGATCTGCAAAATCATTTGCAGTTGCAAAAATAAATCCCATGGCTATAGTTGCATTGCTTATGGATGGTGTTACGAAAAAACCTGTACCTACTCCTGGCCCAGGAACATGACATAGATAACCACCTGTACTACCAAAATTAAGGTACTTTGTTGCTAGATTACCATCAATTGCCGAAGAGGTGTGTTCATTAGTACTATTTGAATAAATACCATCAAAATTCCCTGTAGATTGGCCAACTGTTGTGTTGTACAAACTAACGATACTGTCACTGGGTTGTAGCAGGAAAACTGTACGGTACTCTGCTGCGTTGGTTGTGGTTGAGGATGTGCTTAATTCTATTTTGTATCGAAATAGAAACGTGAACAGAAGAAAAAAGAACAATGACATATTCTTAGAACTTTGTTTTGTTCCAAACATTATAGAGAATTCTCGATTTTGACATATTACAATAATCTTCGATGGGTTTCTCAAACTGTTTCTATTCTATGCCGATTTTCTCATTAAGAACGTGTCTAATTATACGGAAAGGGCGAATACAGTTGTGCATTTAGCACCAACCTTCACTCCTATCATTTGTAGTCACTTTTCAACAAAATCTAAACGATAACATATCGCTTCAAGTTCACTTACGTTGAGAAGAACATTGATTATTCGATCCTAAAGAGAAAGTATACCAATGATGAAAATATCATCAGAATAATCTAAAACTAACCTTGATTTCTTCGATGACAAATAACACTCGTTTGAACATTTCCGGATGATGTTATTTTACCTGATTGACAATCTTCGCTAAACAGCAAACAAGTTCGATTGTCATGATAATAAACACCTGTTTGACATTGATCTTCATGATCACATTTCCAAATACAAGTTTGAATCGATGAACCAACTGGTAAAGTGACATTTAAAACCAAAGCACAAGAAGAATTGGTGATAAAGAGAGAAGATCGACGAATTTGACTGATGATAATACCATTGATTGTAGAGATAAGAAGAGAAATCAGAAAAGCTACATACATTTTCATGTCGAATTACTTTCTATGAAGTAAAAGTAGAGATGGAATGAAAAAGAAAGTGATAAGTTGTATTTACTGAGTTTATTCTTTGACGTCAATGAAAGACAAATAAGATAGTAGACAATGTTTTCTGAAGAAAACCAATGTACTTTCATTTCCTTCTCCGTGAATTCTTGAATGTTGACAAACACAATATCCATTTTGAAAAAGTTTTCTTGAAACTCGGAAAATGTTTGAGATCAAAAGTTAGAAGAAAAAGGAAAATCATGAGTTCAATATCAAAGAATCAGTAAGTATAATATTGATGTTTATCCCTTTCAGAGTATAATTACAGGGAATAAATGAACCATGGCATTCTGAATAATCCTGAGTAAAAAATAAATCCGATAGTATTCAATATTGATTTTCTGTTTCAACATTTTCATTCATTTCTAATTCTTGTTGATTAAGTTTCGTACTAATGTTTATTCTCTTGAAAATATATTCAACAATAGAAAGACGTTTCTTATTGTACTTTCTATTCTTAATTTCTAAAAAAATCATAGAATAGTTAAACAATCGACGACAATGAATAACAATATTTGTCAAGAATTCGATCAAATGTAACTTTATTTAGGAAATTATGACATTGAAACTATATGATTTCTCATTGTTTGTGTAATTGTCAATAACTTATTATAAATATTGATTCGAAATATCCAATTCAATGAAAATGATTGTCATTTCTGCTGTTTATTAAAAATGTTTAAAATTCTCAAATATCATCAATTACGAAATTGACTTCGATAAGTATTTTTTTCTTTTTCTTCATTTTATTTAAATAAAAGTGAAGATAAGGAATGAATATGTGTCACAATAAAATCGAATTAGAGGACCAAAAATCATATTCAGATCGTGTTTTTAGTTCAATGCTCGTTGTGTAAAATATTCACTGGTTCACAAACAAATGGACGAATTTCATTGTTTCTAAATAGACGTTTAATTTTACGACGAAATCCATTATTTGAAATAAGTGAAATATAAAAACTCGAAGCAAAAAAAGTAAAAGATAAGACACGAGTTAATGCTCCAATAATATGATCAATTATTCTATATAATGATGTTACATCATATGAATGAAGTATTTGTTTATAGAGTAAACGACATCCATATGGTAGAAATGAAATAATTGCGATAATTGATTGTAATAATAACATCAATGTTAATTGAGAATCAATATTTTGAAGTTGAGTTTGTTGTCTTTTATTTGAAATAATATTGATTTGATGTTCAACAATTGTTTTAAGAGATCGTCGTAAAAGAAAAACTAATATAAAGACGATAATAAGTGGAATTATTTCTAAGAGAATTGCTTCGAGATAATGATCAATAATATCATAAAGATTTGATGTCGGATCACAATCATTGTCTATTATTTCAAATACAATAAATCGATGAAATAATATGAAAAACCAAAATAAAATTGAGATAAGAATCATTTTATAGGCAAGTGAAACCCGATTACTCCATTTACGAAAGGCTAAAATAAACACAAACAAATAGTTTGATTTGTTCATATGAAACATAAAGGAGTTTCTTTATTTACTATTCGAACGTTGTGCCGAGAGAATTCTATCGATCGATGCCAATGTAAAAAATGTAAAAGAACATAAACAAAAATAATATTCTCCAAATTCTCGAAATTTACATAGAAATGTATAACTATGTTCTAAGGGAATATGAAAACCATTTTCAAGAATACGCGTTAAAAGTATAAAATTTAATACAAGAAAATCTGATAAAGTTTCACAAATAATATAAATTGAAAAAGCTTGATGACGAAATGTACGTGTTTGATAAATGAGAAGATTACCAAAACAACCGATATTGCCCATAAGTAATAAAAATATTCCCAGGTAAATGTGAATATTAGCAGGTATTGAGAAAATTAGAGAATTTACTTCATTATTATTAGTGCGAACGATTTTATTCGTAAAGTTCATTTTGTTGTTTGAGAAGTTTTCAAACTGAACTGACACGATAATGAAACATCTATATTTATATTTTTATCTTTCTTTATAAATTAATAAAAAACAGAATTTTATCTTTTATTCATGTAATTCTCGAACACATTTCTGATCGTTTAATGTTTCATTATGAGAGAAAGTGCAATTTCATCTGCGTTTCAATATCTTTAGCAGCATATGAGATATTTCATTTCTGGCGCGTTTATTATGTTTGTCCGAGAGTGCTTTAAAACATTTTCAGAATCAAAATGTCGACATGCGTAGTACATAAATGATGTAAAGAAAAGAATCTTTCTTCCATTTCACTAGATTAATGAATGTTCATGAAAAAATTAAAACACTTTCATCGCACAATCTTTTTACTCGAACTGATACAAAAGATTTCTATTGTCGGTCAAATATACAATAATAAAATAGTCTTGTGAATATTTATTTCTTCATTTTATAATTTACTTTCTTTTGGTATCGGCTGATCACTTATCAAATTGAGTTCAACAAACATTTGTACCAAAAAAATGCGTATTTGGATAAGAATGTGTGAGAATCTCATTACATAATGTATTGTGCAAGTAAACAACGTCATCAGTAATACTCAAAAATCAAGAAATAAACTTTATTATTCATTGGATGAAAATCACCGTTGAATAATATCAGAGTATATATGATGTACAAACAAGAAGCATTTCATCAAAGAAACTCGACTAACGATCTTTGTTTTCCAAAAAATGAATTGTCGATCAATGACAACATTCTATGTGAATACACAAATATTCTATATTCACTACAAACATCCTTGTTCATATTTATCCAATGTATAAGGAGAACAACTCTCAAGGTGAAGCATCGGTTGGATGTATCACATGATCGAATGGGAAAATCTTACAATTAAGTACAATAATCAATGGCAAATAAATATTTTCGAAAATTGTTTTTTCCTTTTTTATGAAAAATGTTCTCTGTGACAATTAATGAATTTTGTTTTAAAACTAAGAAATTGTGACAAAAGATTTATCCTCTTTGTTAACACAAACAAGACATGAAGCAATAGATTTTCCAACAAAACAATCACTCGGACTTTGTGCGGTTTAATAATTAATTGAAAACTGTATTTAATAAACAAAATATTCTCTTATTCAATAACCTAATCACAGATTTTTATGTTGACAATAATATATTCTGTTTGTATCAAACATTGACACCACTGAAAGAATAAAAGTATATTTACCGTTTTCACTTTTTCATCGAAAAGAGAATTTACTTTATGTTCAAAATCATTATTTAATACTTTACTGTAGAAGACCAGATAATAATAAGGATTAGTAAATTTGATGTTTCATTCGATATTCATCAGTTATTGATATTTACAATTATTTCGTCACTCTTCTTCATTTTCTCGAACCATTAATTATCCATATCATATCGGCTTTAATGAATATCATTTTAGACACTCGTAGTCACTTAAATGCTCAGCGAAATAAATCCTTTTCTGAATATTTCTGAGAGCGATTAAATCAACATAAACATTTGTTGATTTCTTCATCGATATTAGTTTTGTTAAAAATGAGAAGGTAATTATGTTTTTGGTCGACAGAAGAGTTTGTCTATTGAATGCGTGAACACGAAAACTACATCAAATTCGAGCCGTTAAAACTATCAAGTTGATTTTTATAAGGACTTTCATTTAAAAAACGTAAATATCGTACAACGCTTACCCACCATTTGTCACTGTTTTCACCGCAGATCATTGGATGTTCATTTATAACATCTTTTAGATGACAGGTAGAGATCGAGTTGTTTTTTTCGAATCTGGTTCAATATATGATTGTCAACAATCGTTAGTAGAGAGTGATTGCACCCATATCGGCAGACAGATACAGTGGATCTCCGTGGACTCCACGACAGGTTACCAATAACTTCTAATTTTGTTCTCACTAATAGTTGACATTGAGTAAATCATACTACTGATATATTTGGCTGACGAATTATTTTCGTCGACGAAATATTATGTCGACGAAAAACATAGAATTCAAATGAGAACACAATGTGAACCGTGGATTTATGTCATTGATTATTATTCATTATTTATAATTCCGATCTTAATATTTACGACATGTGTGTTGTCTTCGGAGAACTGTCGAAGAGAACTTTGCATTTTGTTTCACAACATTTTTGTTTTCTTTGAAGAAGAAAAATAATCTCGTGTAAGAATATATCCGAACTAATTAGTTTTCATGGCACGGATGAAATGAAAAAGTTCCTTTTCAGCGAAAGGTACAGAAACTCAGTTCGATAGAGTAAATTGTATGTCACGATTGTTGTTTCTCTCTCTATCGAAGGAGAAAAACAATCGAAAATGAGAAAAGAAACACATTGGTCTCACATTTTCATCGTTAGAAGAAGAAAGACTAAACAATAGAGTTCGAAAGCTTTTCTCTAATCAAGATATTTTTTAGAAATTCATTCACTTGCCGAACAAACCATGCAGAAATCATCGACATCAACTAAATCCAACAGTAAGTCGAACCTTTTTATTCATATCGATCTGCGAAATGAACTCAACAAGAAATCTCTCGTCATTTTACAATTGTTTTCAATATGGGCGATGTCATGCACATTTTGATTTTTTGTTTTGATTGTTTAGAACCTAAATATAACAAATGGAAACAACATGCAAATACAATTGCTGGAGCAAATGGCGCAGGCGATCGATTATTTCAGCTGAATGAACCTCAAGCGATTTACCTCGATGAATTCAGTAATATGTATGTTGTTGATCATGCGAATCATCGTCTTGTTCAATGGAAATGGAACGCCAAACAAGGAGAAATCATTGCTGGTGGTAATGGAAAAGGAAAACGATTGGATCAGTTGAATGGACCAACGGATGTGATTGTTGATGAACGAAATTTTACATTTATTATTGCTGATCAAGGAAACAAACGAGTCGTTCAATGGTCAAAATACAATCAACAAGAGATTCTAATCGAAAATATCGATTGTTATGGTTTAGCAATGGACAAACAAGGTTATATTTACATTTCAGATACGGAAAAGAATGAAGTTCGAAGATGGAAAGTTGGAGATAAAGAAAGTAAATTAGTAGCTGGTGGAAATGGAGAAGGAGATCAATTGAATCAACTTTCATCTCCGACTTATCTTGTTGTTGATAATGAACAATCGGTGTATATTTCAGATAATTCGAATAATCGAGTGATGAAATGGAAGAAAGGTGCGAAAGAAGGTGTGATTATTGCTGGTGGACATGGACATGGAGATGATTTTAATCAATTATACGATCCTTCGGGTTTGATTTTTGATCAATGGGGACGAATTTATATTTCGGATCATTTAAATCATCGAGTTATGCGATGGTCTGAAGGAGATCAGGAAGGTGAAGTGATTGTTTGTGGAAATGGAAGAGGTGATAAATCGAATCAATTGCATCGTCCAACTGGTTTAGCATTTGATATTCAAGGAAATCTTTTCGTTTCAGATCATTACAACGAACGAATTCAAAAATTTGAACTTATTTCTGAATAACTTTATCTACAAAGATTCTTTTTCGAACAATAAATATTTCATTTTGAAATAAAACCTATCCTTCCATGACTTTTCTCAGGTACACATTGATAATTATAAACTTCCGATTTGTTTTTTCTTCGTCCGAAGTAAAGTCATGCACATCTATTGACGCGAGTCAGTCATGCATACGATATTTTTTTGCAATAATGTCTATATAAACAGTAAAAATTATTAAATCATATTATTATTATTCTCGATGAGGGAATCATCTAAATTACGATGGGTAATTCTAATAATTATCTTCTTATTCCTTTATGTGACGGTGTTGCATCTAAGATTGATATATAATTATGAATCGAGTGGCGAATTGCCAATAACGGATATATGTCAAGAACTTCCAAACGGAGTACATCTATGTTATTGTGGTGTTGATCGTCTGAAATATGATCGTCTAAAAGGAGAATCTTGTGTCGATGGGAAAATTATTCGAGATGTTACAGACAACTTTTTCTCTTCTCAATCTGATCATTCTATTCTTCGTTCGGCTATGAGAATTTTTCGTTCTACACGTGAAGATAATCCCACTGCTTCAGTTGTTGCACTTCGAAAGCAAAATAGTGAAGAATATGTTGCTTTGAAGAATGTTTCAGTCGAAGCTCGGATCCATTGGTATGCAGCAGATGTCACTTTAACTCATGTTTATGTCAATCGAGAAGAAAATCCCATCGAAGCGATTTATGTCTTTCCAATTGAAGTATGAAAATTTTAGGGGAGATTAAGAATATTTCATCGATTGTTTAGGAAAGTGCGGCAATTTATGAGTTTACAGCTGAGATTGACAATCGAATCATCAGAGCGTTGCTCAAAGAGAAACAAGTGGCTAAAGAACAATACCGTCAAGCAGTTAAACAGGGGAAAACGGCTGTTTTATTCCAGCAAAGTTCCTCAACTTTGGATACATTTCAAGTGAGTCAGTTCTCCTATTTTTAGACAAGATATTTCCACGGAATTTCGTCAATAGATGAGTGTTGGAAATATCCCTGCTGGAAAAGAATGTATCGTTCGAATTCGTTATGTCACAGAATTGGATCTATTCGATGGGAAATCTATTCGTTTTGTTATTCCTACAACTATTTCTCCACGATATAATCCGAAGATAGGTGGAATGGAGTCTCCCAATAATCTACCAGGGACAAAATATGTCCAAAATACTCCATATTCCATGTTATTTCGAGCACAAATCGATCGTGGTGACGGAGACGATCGAATCAATCATATTGCTAATCGTTCACATCCTGTGAATGTTAGTGCATCGAAACAAATGATCGAAGTGACTTCGGAAGGAATCGCACTCGATCGAGACATCATTTTGGATATTGATTTGCCAACAAGTCGATCCGAAGTTCTCTTTGCTGTTGAACAATGGGACAATTCACGACGACGTGCTGTTCTAATGGCAATAACTCCTAACACGACATATTCTTCTACCAAATCTCATGAAAAGAAAGATAAAATCACAATGAACGAATTCATTTTCATCGGTGTGAATTGCATCGCGATGAATGACTTTTATCATAATTTATTCTTTATTTTCTAGTTGATTGTTCAGGATCAATGGAAGACGAACAGAAAATAGGTCTTGCACGACAAGCAATGATTCTCTTCGTGCGTGGTCTTCCAGTCAATTCGCAATTTAATATCATTCGTTTTGGATCAACTTTCGATGTACTCTTCAAAACCGAAAAAATAACTGTTGCTTATCATAAAGACACCGTACAAAAAGCAGTGGATCTTTCACAGTTGATGATGGCTAATCTTGGCGGAACAGAGTTGTTACAACCATTAAAATACTTGGCAAGTCATCCACCTATTGATGGTCGATTTCGAAATGTATTTCTTCTAACTGATGGAGAAGTTGCCAATACAGATGAAGTAAAATATCTGTTGTACAGAAATCTATATCTATTTGATTTATACAGGTGATTCAACTATGTGCATCGATGTCTTCGACAACACGTATCTTTTCTTTTGGTCTTGGTTATTCACCGTCTCGTGCATTGGTCAAAGGTCTTGCTCAAGCCACAAATGGTGCTTCTATTTTTGTTCCTCCAAATTCTCCAGTAGATGAATATGTTGCCATTCAACTTCGTCAAGCTTTGACACCTGCATTCACTAATTTTCGACTTCAATGGTATGGATTATCAGTTTCTCCACTGCAATCACCACGACATATTCCACCGGTATTTCCGAACAGTCGTGTTCTTATTTATACTTTACTTGAAAAAGATGAAGAAACACAAATGGGTATTATCATCGGTGGTGATAATGAAGGAGAAAAGATGGATTTCACCAATAATGTGATACGTCAAGCAGATACTATACGTCGATTAGCAGCGAAATCTTTGATCAAAGAATTACTATACAAACTATCATATCAGGAAGATTCGTAAGTCTATTCGAATGTTTTCTCTGAGGTTAATTTTCTTTTGGATCATTGTATTCAAATTAGGAACTTTAAGCAACAAATTATCGAGCTTTCCTTAACACATCATATTTTATCACCATTTACCGCTTTCGTCGGTATGGAGGAACACAAATTAATTCAAGATGATCAACGTTCTCAAACTCGATATATACCGAATCAAATATCTGAAGGTGATCAACACTTACTCTTTCCTTCAGCTCTATCAACTACAACTGATCAACAATTTGAATTACAACAGGCGTTAAAAGTGGTCTCTAATACTCCAAGTAGCACAATAATGACAATGACACAGCCAACTACAACTGAAACTACATCTACATGTACAAGTGAAGGTATCACTTCAACTTCAACTAGAGCTTCAACTGCTGCTTTATCTACCAATCCTGTTCGATGGCTGATTGAGAATCAATCCTACAATGGTATGTGGATATTAAATGATGAAACTATAAAACAATTGACAAATGGCAAATCATGGATAGAATTTAAATCGGATATGACTGATAATAAAGATATCATTACGACAAGTCTTGTTATCGCTTTATTGGAATTGAAATATGCTGATCAATTTTCTCTATGGATTCTCATGGTCGAGAAAGGACGTCATCAAATGATCAATTTAGGATTCACCAAAGATAATATCGAATTATTGATCCAACAAATTAAGGATAAACTGAAGATTTCACATTGACTCTCATTAGTTTCGTAACTAAAAACTCAATTCTTTTAAACAAAACTAAACCGAACTGCTTTTTCTCTCTCAATATTATATTTAGAATATACTTTCAAAAATAGTTGCTATTTAACTCCTTGGGGACGGGTGACGTATATATACGTTCAGGTTGAAATCAACTCATAATTTATTTGCGTATACTTCGTATGATATTTTAATGATCTGTGTTACTATATATATCGCTAATGTGTTTTATCATTCGTATGAAGACCTCTTTCACCTTTTTTCTTTTTGTAGTTATATTCATCACTTCTATTTTTTCGTTGTGTCATGTTCTACTGATATCGTGTATCGTCCATTTACTTTATTTATCTTCGCACACATTATCTCTTGCACCCACCAGAGTGTCTAGAGTCTTCTGTGCTCTCTTAAAAATAACCCCGTCACCAAGGGGTTAAAACAAATGCACGCCGAAACTTTTTATTTGAAACTTTGACACTGCTCGAAGTTATCGAAAGAGGTACAGTTCGCAACCAAGATGACTTCTAATACAAAAATACATTTGCACTAGATCAATTGAATAAAGAAATTTATAAAAAAGAGTAACAAAAGGATTGATACTGAATTCTTCTGTCCACGATTGATTCGACCATTAATATCAGTTAAATTATTTTGATAAAGTATTTGTTTGACTTGATCAGCCGTCTCAAAGGAATTGCATTTTGTTCGATTACATTCGATATCCAAAATCGGCAAATCACCACCATCAAAAACATGAACCTGAGGTTGATTTATTGCAGCACATTTCCTCTGATCTAATTGATTTTTATCAGTTTTAACACGAATCTTGCAAATACCTGTACATTCTTCATTATCATAACATCGAAGTGGTGATTGTCGGTGTTCGGAGAGAAGCGGTCTCAACTGATTAATGACATTTCTAGCATTAATCGTTCGATTAGAGAGATCGACAACTTTCTTTCGAGCAAAGTCAGTCGCACAGTTATCAGAATTTCCACATGCAAACATCGCTGTATATGATAAAATATTGGTTATTGTAATATAAAGTGATCGATAATAATATTCAACAAATGCCGTAGAAAAAATCACGGTATATCGCCGATCATAATAGTGAAATTGTATATCTACTTGACAATCACTTGCTTTCGTATATTGATCACATCTATCAGGTATATGAAGTGGTTGACCAATGAGTCCAGTAACTGTACAATTGGTCAGACAACGTCGTTTTCCATCGATATAAATGAAAAACAGGGAAAACAAAGTCAGGTGTATTAAATGCATACTGGCGACTTATTAGAAAATAGAATGAAGCAGAATGTTGATATCACAAGCGTCTCTTATTCTTTTAAAGCAAATATTATGATTCAGCTCAATGATGTGTACGACAAACAAAATATTCTGTTTCACAAGATATTTTTTGAAAGAGAAGAAAAAGAATCGTATCTATGACAAACAGAAAGCATGATAATAGTAGAACTTTGGTATGAACCTGACTAAGAGAAAATCTGTATTCTTAAAATTAATCTTCATTCGTGAGTATAAAGCTCAAAGTTAACAACGATTGTTAATCTACAATGTGTGAAAATATCCGATTATTCGAATGAAATGAGTAGTACTTTCTTATCGATGTGATCAAATTTGAGTTAGAAGTTTATTGAGAAAAAAAATGATTCGAGCAAAAGTTTCAACGCAATAGATGAATAATCATGAGAAGGATGAAAAGAAATTTCGTTGCTTTGAAGTCATTAGTGTTACTGCGACCAGCAGGTTTGACGTGAAACGCGATGTCATGTTTTGTTGTTAAATTTTTCTGTTGATCATGAGCTTGAACAATGAGATAATGATCGCCTTCGATTGTAGTCCAGCGAAAAACACCAGTGGATGTATTGAGCGTCGAGTTAGATGGTAAATGTATCGATGAGAGGGTGATATTCGATGAATTGTCTCGTAATGGAGACAGATTTAGTTCAACAATATCATTTGCTATTAAATCCATTCTTAGAGGAAGACTTGAATTGAATAAAGGATAATCTGGTGAACGAATCTGCATGCGTTCAAATTGTTCACCGGCTTTCAGAGATTCTTTTGCGAAATCAGTATCATTTGTTATGGATAAATCATAAGAACACGTTCGTTGAGCTGAACTCCATGACGTTTCTGGTAATGTTGGGTTAATACCGCATGTAACTTGATGGGAAGAATGGTTTGGTGGTGGTCTAGTAAAGGATGGTGTAAAAATACGATTTTGATCAGAAAACCATTGTGCTGTTTTATCTGAGTTGTAGATAAATAACGAAGTTGTTGGATCAATTGCCCATGACTTGCCGAAATCTTCATGAATTTGTTTAATTGACGTGTTTTTACTGATTATTGTACCATTGGAAGCTCGAAGATCGTTGTCTGGATTGCCATCATAAGTGCCCATTAATCCATATGTTTTGCGAGAAAAGTCTCCAGAGATGAAAGCACCAACATTAAGAACAAATTGCTTCGATGGTAAAGTAATTCGTACGATATTAACTACGATAGTAACACCAATATTCCATGAAAATTGATATTGATAATCATTTTCTCGAACAATGGTTAGTTCAGGAAAGACGATTTTATTAATATCTTCCTCCCATTCGATAACCTGTTTATCACGATGTAAAATAATACTATGACGAGAATCTGTTGTTAAACTTATTGGTTTACTTTCGGCATCAAACGACCGAGCAGCGAAAGCTTTTGTAACAGTAGGTCCATTTGTTTCAATTGGAACAGTACGTATTTGCGATAGAAATACATATGACTGTCCGTTCGCATTAAAATCAGCAGCGGGCGATGATTTGTTACTTATTGCTAGATACGTATATTCTCCGTAACCATTAAATGTATAAGAAAACCCATCAAGTGTACCAAAATGAGGATCACCCCACATTCGACCACTATCACCCATCGTATTACTTCCTCGTCGTGGTGGTCGATAGGTCATATACATATTACAGGTTTCAAAATCCGTACTGATTATACAGCATTGTAAATACGGAACGAAATCATGGAAAAAATGTTGTAACGGTGTGCTGGTTGGTCGATATCGATCATCTGTTCCTGCACCTGTACCACGTGTTATAATCATTCCCTTATCATCATAACAACATTGTGCGCTGGCACCATGAGCATTCGCGTATTTTGATGTGTAACATTCGACTGCCGAAGATTCATGGCGATCAGAACGACCTTTGTGTAGCCAACAATTATTTGAATTCGGACTGTTTTTATAACAATGCGCTTCTGGTTCGTAACAGCAGAAACCTGCTCGTTTGACTTGATCAGTGGTCATAGGACATGGCAGAAGTGGACCATCATTCCAGTCAGCTGGATCAGTTTGTTGATCAGCCCATTTTCGACACGATTCAGCCGCTGAATTTGAGGAACTATTCATAACCAATAGATCGGAATGTATACCAGCATAAACATTTGAATTCAAACGAACAACAACTCGAATAAATCCAGTGAGAATATCTTCAGGTATTCGAACTCGATGTTCATTCATCATAGACAAATTCGATGCCAACACAACACTCTTAGAAGCTATGTCCAATTGTGAAAGACTATTAAGACGCACCTTCAATAGTTCAATATCGATAACAGCACCATTCGGAAATATGTTTTTGACTCTATTCGAAAATTGCCATTTTACAGTGACATAATCTCCGGTGTTGGGTAATTTCTGTCCATTCTCAACTTCGACGGTCACTTCATTCGAACCGAATTGAACTGGAAGATAAAGAAAAGTACCTGCTGGGAGAAATGTTTGCCCATTATCAATAGATATCTCGACAGGTCCTGAATGATGTTTGGATACGAATGGTGTTCGACATAAAGCACGATTTTGATCTAGAACAAATCCTGTGACAATGTGCGACCCTTCGAATCGACATTTGATCTGAGTTTGATCAGTGAAACACGGGCCGTAGATAATCAAAGGTGTCGAACCGAGTTGTGAACCGAATCGTGGCCGAAATGAAATTGTCGATGCATTTTCAGCACATCGACTTGCATTAACATCAAGAGTATCAACACGATAAACGAATAATCCTGGCACATTGACATTACTTTCATTAACTAACTTGACAATGTCATCTGTATCTGTATATGGAAGTGATATAGAGACATTTCGTCTTTCATGATTGACTCCTGCTTGAACTCTGTAAAATGAACTATTAGCTGGATTTGCCCATTGAAGTTGATGGTAAAGGAAGAAGACAAAGCTACGCTCTTCGTCGGTGGTTAACACGATTTGGAATGTATTGCTCGAATTTGGTTCCGCTGAACCGATCCATAACCATGTACTCGTGATTACCATCTTAGGTTGAAATGTACGTTGGGTTGAAAGATACTTTTGAATATATTCGTTGGCTTTAGCAAATGCTTTCTGTGATGAACTGGAATTTGTTGTATTGCTGTGAATTTGATAATAAATTTCTGTTCTGTTGTTATATATCTGATTGTGATAACCTTGATACCAATACCCAGCGATAATCGAGTCATTGTCTCGTAATGGAAACGGTTGAGGATCATTGTATTGATAGGGAGTCAATAGCGAGTTCAATGCAAATAAACCATTGGCCAAAATAGAAATTTCTGTATAAAAATCATCAAAATACGGAATATCATATGGAAGGTCAATAGAATTGATACTGTTATTCGATCCAAGCATAACTGAATCGCCATTTTCAATGCCAAACGGGAAGAACTCATCCAAAGGTACTGTATATACCGTTGCGAAGACAAAAACTATCAAGTATATGAATCGAAACAACATGTTGTTCCTCTTTTGAAAATATTGAATAAAAATCTGTCATTTTATACTTATTTTTCCTTTGAATAATCCCTAATAAAATATATCCGTTGATCATCAATGTATAACCGAACATGACATCTTTCCTTCTGTAATCTAATACGTAAATTCATCCTGTTGTTGCTTTCCTTTGTAAAAAAAACAACAGTATCTCCTTCCATCTTTCGATAAGTCATGGAAAAACATTTACTAATCTCAATTTTCTTTGCACAGTTTCTTCCGAATCTCAGCTTCTTCTTCTCAAATGACAAGCAACTATATCTCGTTCCGTCGGTTGCTTTTCGATACCATTCAAACGCGAGCAATGCTCAACCAACCGACGATTGGATTCTCTATGCCCAAGGTAAACTTTGCCATTTGTTTCTCCGTATGAAATACTTTACTTTTCCCTCAGGTTGGTATTTCGAACACAATCTCGTTCGGGCGAAATTAGCTCGAACGGCCTTGTCCACCGTTGTTAATGAAGTGAATCGAAAACGCGTTGCGTATTTCACCGGAAGTGGAAAAAAGTATAAAACGTTATGTTTGGAGGGTTTAACATCTGAAATGTGTGTGAAAACCGATGCACATGGTTTGTTGAAAAAACAATTTCGTTTGTCCAACGATGATGTTCAGCATTTGCGTATTCCGGGAGGAAAAGTGGAATATTTTGTGTCAACAAATGATGGAAATCTTCGAAGTAAAGGCGAAATTTTCCTCTGTGACGATAACGGAATTTCAATCATCAGTGATATTGTAAATAAAAGCATTTTCTTTTGTCAATGACTAATGAATTCTCTTTTATAGGATGATACGATAAAGGTGACAGGTGTCACTAGTGTTCGCTCTGTTCTTCGTCATACGTTCTCAGGTGAATACGAAGCAATTTTGGGTATGTCGGAGCGATATCGTTTATATGAAAAGTCTTACAATGCCACATTTCATTATTTAACTGCTTCGCCTGACCAATTATACCCATTTCTACGTGATTTTCTGGATTATGAACAGTTTCCGTCCGGTTCTTATCACATGAGGCATTTTACCTGGTTTGATATGAATTTCTTCGAGTTTTTCTCGTCAAAGTCATTCATCAAGCAAAAGACCACGATTCTTCACATGTTCTTTCAAGAAACACACTCGAGGAAATTTATTTTACTCGGCGATATCTTTCAAAAAGATCCGGAAATCTACGCCAATATTTATCGTCATTACGCCAATAGAATTTTGAAGATTTTTATACGTGTTGCCAATCTAACTGCTTCAAATCGTTTAAATCACGTGTTTCAACAAATACCGAAATCAAAATGGGGCACTTTTGTCAACGGTTATGATTTACCTGAAAAAATTTTCTAAATAAAAAAAGAAAAAACACAAAAGAACATTTCTCTCTCTCTCTATAAAAAAAATCGGACTTTGACAAATCGGATAATCGATTTACCTATCCAGGATAAATCAAAGTCGTCGCCTTCGAACGCTTAGTACAGGTGAATGATCAGATAAATATTAGTCTTCACTTTTTTTCATTAATGAGTACAATCTACCTTGATTTGCGAGGTATCAGACATAATAAGCACATTTTTCTCTTTCTACTATTTGCATGTTGATAAGAAGTTGTTTACAAGAAGAAAAATTTGAATAAAGGTCGTTCGATCGCTGTAAAAATAAGTTATTTTTATTGGTTGAGCACGTCAACAAAGAATAACATTGGTTTTCTAAATGAGTACTTTAAATTACATTCAGTTTCTTTTTCTTTTTTCCTTCATTCAATAAGAAAAACTACGATTGAAAGTACCTCTTTTTCTTCTCTCTGTAGAAATGCTTTCGGTTGCTTTAACAACATTTGCCATGATACAATCATGGACAATCAGTATTTGGTTATCAATTATCTTCTTCGGAATCTTGTTAGCATATATCTATGAGCAATTGACATATATGTCCAAGCGTGGTTCACTTCCCGGACCAAAATTAACTGTACCATTTATTGGAGGAATTCTTCATATGTTATCGGCACCATATGATTTCTGGCATGGACAAATGGATTATGGCAAATTGAGTTGGAATAGTATCATCGGACGATTTTTTGTTTTAGTTGCGGATAGTGAATCATGTCGAAAAGTATTCGAACGATGTTCAGCTGATATGCCTTTGCNCTGAAATGTGTGTGAAAACCGATGCACATGGTTTGTTGAAAAAACAATTTCGTTTGTCCAACGATGATGTTCAGCATTTGCGTATTCCGGGAGGAAAAGTGGAATATTTTGTGTCAACAAATGATGGAAATCTTCGAAGTAAAGGCGAAATTTTCCTCTGTGACGATAATGGAATTTCAATCATCAGTGATATTGTAAATAAGAGCATTTTTCTTTGTCAAAGACTAATGATTTTCCTTTTATAGGATGATACGATAAAGGTGACAGGTGTCACTAGTGTTCGTTCTGTTCTTCGTCATACATTCTCAGGTGAATATGAAGCAATTTTGGGTATGTCGGAACGATATCGCTTATATGAAGAGTCTTACAATGCCACATTTCATTATTTGACTGCTTCGCCTGACCAATTATACCCATTTCTACGTGATTTTCTGGATTATGAACAATTTCCGTCCGGTTCTTATCACATGAGGCATTTTACCTGGTTTGATACGAACTTCTTCGGGTTTTTCTCATCAAAATCGTTCATCAAGCAAAAGACCACGATTCTTCACATGTTCTTTCAAGAAACACATTCGAGGAAATTTGTTTTACTCGGCGATATCTTTCAAAAAGATCCGGAAATTTACGCCAATATTTATCGTCATTACGCCAATAGAATTCTTAAGATTTTTATACGTGTTGCCAATCTAACTGCTTCAAATCGTTTAAGTCACGTATTTCAACAAATACCGAAATCAAAATGGGACACTTTTGTCAACGGTTACGATTTACCTGAGAAAATTTTCTAAATAAAAAAAATAAAAAACAGAATACAACATTTCTCTCTCTCTCTCTCTCTAACAAAATTGGACTTTGACAAATCGAATAGTCGATTTACTTATCCAGGGTAAATCAAACTCGTCGCCTTCGAACGCTTAGTACAGACGAATGATCACATATACATTTATCTTCGCTTTTTTTTTTCGTTAATGAATACAATCCACCTTGATTTGCGAGGTATCAGACATAATAAGCACATTTTTCTTTTTCTACTATTTGCATGTTGATAAGAAATTGTTTACACGAAGAAAAATTTGAATAAAGGTCGTCCGAACGCTGTAAAAATAACCTATTTTTATTGGTTGAGCACGGCAACGAAGAATAACATTGGTTTCCTAAATGGGTACTTTAAATCACATTCAATTTCTTTTTCTTTTCTCCTTCATTCAATAAGAAAAACTACGATTGAAAGTACGTCTTTTTCTTCTCTCTATAGCAATGCTTTCGATTGTTTTAACAACATTCGCCATGATTCAATCATGGACAATAAGTATTTGGTTATCAGTTATCTTCTTCGGGATCTTGTTAGCATATATCTATGAGCAATTAACATATATGTCCAAGCGTGGTTCACTTCCCGGACCAAAATTAACTGTACCATTTATCGGAGGAATTCTTCATATGTTATCGGCACCATATGATTTCTGGCATGGACAAATGGATTATGGCAAATTGAGTTGGAATAGTATCATCGGACGATTTTTTGTTTTAGTTGCGGATAGTGAATCATGTCGAAAAGTATTCGAACGATGTTCAGCTGATATGCCTTTGCTTTTACATCCGAATGCTAATCGATTATTAGGAGATGATAATATTGCATTTATGAATGGACATATACATAAAACATTACGTATTGCATTGTTACCATTGTTTACTACGAAAGCTCTTTCAACTTATTTACATATTCAAGAAGAAGCTATTCGAAGTCATATGAAAAACTGGTGTGAATTAAGCAAAAACGCCAAAGATGGAATCGAAATGCGACCGTTAGTCTATGATTTGAATATCAATACGAGTTTATCTGTGTTCGTTGGTCCGTATTTGAATAGCAAAATTCGAGAACAGTTTAAAATTGATTATACAAATTTAACAAGAGGAATGTTCGCAGCACCGATTTGTTTCCCCGGTACACAACTTTATAAAGGCGTTCGAGCAGCGGAATCAATTCGTCATTCATTACAATCGATTGTTTATCAAAGCAAACAACGTATGTCGAAAGACAATCCAGAACCAACATGTTTACTGGATTTCTGGGTAATTTCAACATTAAAATCAATCCAAGAAGCAGAGAATAATAATCAACCAAGACCATTACACAGTACTGATGAAGAAATCGCCAAAATTACATTGGATTTTCTTTTTGCTGCTCAAGATGCGTCCACGAGTTCATTAACATTTGCAATTCATGAACTAAGCAAACATCCCGAAGTTCTTGAAAAGGTCCGTGAAGAACAAAAATCCATTCGTCCGGATCCTTTGGAACCCTTAACACCGGATTTGTTAGCCCAAATGAAATATACCTGGCAAGTAATGAAAGAACTCTTACGATTACGTCCACCGGCAACACTTGCAATTCATGTAGCAAAGAAACCCGTTCAAATTTCTGAAGATTACACCGCACCAAAAGATGCTTTGATCATTCCGAGTATTTGGAGTTCAAATCGAAATGGTTTTCCTCAACCAGAAGTGTTCGATCCCGATAGATTCAATCCCGATCGAAGAGATCAAGCGGAATATGATCGAAATTTCTTAACTTTTGGCGCTGGACCACATGCATGTATTGGACAACGATATGCAATGAATCATATTATGTTATTCATTTCATTACTAACTGATATGGACTTTGAACGAGCACAGCGACCGAATATGGATAAAATTATGTATTTACCGACAATTTATCCTGCAGACGGATGTGTTTTGAATTATTTCAAACCTCGAAGATTTTAGACTTAGACATTAAGTTTACGTTTTCCCCATTTTTTGAAAAAATAAATACGAATTGAAAATTGTCCTTTCCTTGATAATTAAAATACTTTTTTTATTTTATTGATTATAACAATAAATTAAATAAATCTTTCTCTTCAATGTATCAATTTTGTAAATATTTGATGATTCGGATTGTTTAAATAGATACAAAATAATTAAATTTTCAAATTGAATTCTAACGACTATGAAAATAAAAGATCGTTTTATATAAATAATTTTAATTTCAATCGAAAGAGTTTGTCTTATGTTGAATGACATTTTCTATATTTTGATGTTTTGTCTTATGAATAGTCATGAAAAACGATCACTCAGATGTTTGTTTTTGGATATCCACTATCGATAAAATTGATCAAATCAGAAACATTTGGATGAATAATTATCGAAAAAAGTCTTCATTTATTAACATTCATATGCAGTGAGAACTTCCCGTTTTATCCTTCATAGTCATTTTCATATTATAACTCAAATTCGATTTTATTTCAAACCTAAATAATCATCATTCAAAATCGACAAGACTATTTTTATCCGAATAAGCACAAGTGATACATTAACAACTATAAATTTAACATCTTCTCCAAATTTATCAAAATATCTTTCATAGCACAAAGAGAATTTCTTATTAATGTTCTGCTTTGAGTGTACAAAAACATTTTCTATGAATGCTCAAGGCGAGTTAAAACGTATAGATGATTCATTATATTCTTCTTATCAATAAGATATTTATAATGATTCGATTGACGAGAGAAAAAGCAATCGAGTATGAATGATAAATATTTTTGTGATCAAAATCACGAACAAGTAGAGAAGAAAAAACATCGTTTATCCTTTCATTACGATAAATATATCAAAATAAAATTTTCATGGCTGGTGTTGCAAAACTATTCGACGGACATATTCTAAACAAAGAAAAAGAAGAAATTGATCTCAATAATGAGAAATATAAAGGCAAAGTTTTGGGATTTTATTTCAGCGCTCATTGGTATGTCTTTCTTCATCTCTAAACTCATTCATTTTTCATTGTTTAGGTGTCCACCATGTCGTCTATTCACACCGAAATTGATCGACTTTTATAAAAAATATGCTGAAGAGAAAAAATTCGAAATTATATTTTTAAGTTCGGACAACGATCAGGAATCGTTTGATGAATATTACAAAGAAATGCCATGGTTAACATTGGATTTCAATGAACAAGACAAAAAAGATGAAATTGAAAATAAATTCGAGATTAGCGGTATTCCGAAATTGATTTTAGTCGATGGAGATACCGGAGATGTGATTTGCACGGATGCACGAGAACAAATTCAAAGTCGTGATAAAGAAGGAAAAAACTTTCCATGGAAAGAAAAAGCCAAAGACAAAGATGAAGACGAAAATAAAGATAAAGATAAAGACAAAGAAGATGAGGATAAAAAATGTTCTGTAACCTAATATTTTCTTTTTTTTTCAAAATAAATTTGGCAATTACGTCTGACGTCAAGGGTAAACAATAGAAAGAAAACAAACCTTAACAAACAAGAAAAATATTGATTTGTTTTTTATTATGAAAAGGCGGATCTATTTGATATATAATCATCAAACAATATCATTCATTGAAAATATACTTTGAATAGGTACAAGGAACATTATGGCGGCAATACATAAGCTTCTAAATGGACATGTTTATAATAAAACAAATAAAAAAGTAGATTTGAATGATGAAGAATATGAAGGAATGGTTTTTGGATTGTATTTCAGTGCTCATTGGTATGTTTCGTTTTTGAAAAAAAGGTCATTGTGATTCGATGTTTCGTTTTAGGTGTGGTCCGTGTGGGGAATTTACACCGAAATTAGTGAAATTTTATAATACATATGCAGAGAAGAAGAAGTTTGAGATCATTTTTATCAGTTCGGATGAAGATGAAGAATCGTTTAAAGAATATTATAAAGAAATGCCTTGGTTGACGTTTGATTTCAAACAAAAGAATAAAAGGGAAAAATTAGAAGAAAATTTGGAAGTCGATGGAATTCCAACGTTGATTTTAATCGATGGAGATTCAGGAGAAGTGATCTGTACGGATGCAACAGAGAAAATTAGTGAAGAAGATCCAAAAGGAAAAGATTTTCCATGGCATTCAGATGAATAATTGAAAAAAAAAATCATTTTTTTTTTGTAAGAAAAAACAAAAAGTTTAGAAATCAATCGAATAGAAAGAAAACATTTTTACTTTGTCAGAGAAAGTGATAAATAAAATATAATTATTCTCAATAATATCATTCACCTGAATGAAAGGGGAGAAGACGAATGAAGAAGGACAAATCGCATATCTTCGAGTAAATCATGATTCTTTCGTTCGTTTCTTTTTCATCTCTGATCAAGGCAGGAGACGAGAAAAAAAGACCGAGGACATAACGAAAGAGGAAAATCATTATCATATTTCATTTTTACATCAACAAGATCATGGCCGGTGTCGCGAGATACCTTGAAGGACATGTTTATAATCGATTAAATGAATTAGTTGATTTTCATGAGAAGAAATATCGTGGCAAAGTTTTTGGTCTTTATTTTACAGCACTTTGGTATGTATTTATATGAAGAAAATCAATTTAAAATTTCGAGAATATTTGTTTTATTAGGTGTGCACCATGTTGTGGATTTACTCCGGCATTAGTGGATTTTTATAAAAAATATGGTAAAGAAAAAAATTTCGAAATTATTTTCGTTAGTTCAGATCATGATGAACGATCATTTGATGAATATTATAAGAAAATGCCATGGTTAAAATTGGATTATCAAGAACGAAGAAAAAAAGAGAGATTAGCAAAGAAATTCAAAGTGACGGGTATTCCAACATTACTTTTAATTGATGGTGATACTGGAAATATTATTTGTCCAGATGCAATTGATCAAGTCTTAGAAGATGATCCTGAAGGAAAATATTTTCCATGGAAACAAGAATAGTTTTCATCTTTCGATCGTTTTCTTTTTCTTCTTTTTCTTTTTAATTCTTCAAATATAAACAAAAAACTCTTCGTCCTTTTTGTATTTCTATAAGAAATTGATGATATTCTTCCAAATTTTCTCGTATATTCTGCAAAGAAACGAAATCATCACGAATATTCTTTATCAAATCGTTTGTTTCACCTCGATCAATACGTAAAAAGCAAACGAATGGTATATGCATGATCAAGAAGGACAAATACGTATCTTTGATTCAAACAAGACCCAGCAATATCTTTCTCGTTCTATTTCACCTGTCATCAAGGTTGAAGAGAAAAAGTATATTAAAGCGACACAAAGTAGAGTACTATTTTTTGTTCACAAAATCATGACGAGTTTAGCAAAATTCTTCGATAAAAATGTTTATAACAAAATAAATCGTGAAGTTAATTTCAATGATCCGAAATATCGAGGCAAAATCGTTGGACTTTATTTTAGTGCACATTGGTTGGTATATCTTGAAAATGTTTTTTCAAGAATTTCGATGATTTTTTTTGTTTATTTAGGTGTCCACCATGTCGAGCATTTACACCGAAATTAGTAGAATTCTATCGAACACATGCAAAAGAGAAGAATTTCGAAATTATTTATATCAGTTCAGATCAAGATGAACGACAATATGAAGAATATTACAAAGAAATGCCTTGGTTAAGATTTGATTTTCGTCAACAGAGAAAACGTGACAAATTAATGAAAGTTTTCAAAGTTTCAGGTATACCACAATTAATTTTGTTCGATGGTGATACAGGAAACATTCTTTGTACAAATGCAATGGAACAAATTCAATATCGTGATAAAAAGGGCGAACTTTTTCCATGGAAACAACATTAAAACATCTTTGTATTGCTATATCATATCTTTTTTCTTTCTACAGAATAAATTTTATTCATTAAAAGGAAATCATGACTCATTGGCAGTGAGATACGTTATCTTTAGTATATACGTCAAATACTCCCAAAGAATCATAGTCATATTCGTTGACGTCATGTTCTCACAAAATCACCGAAGAAACACATTTTCTTTTCTTTCTTTGCTTTATATGTTTTTTCTTTGCGTTCTTCTCTATTCATTTGTATTTAACATCGAGACTTTTATACTCTTGACAACTTCTATATTCAGTTATAACTCATGTTTCAACATATACGTGAAGCATTGATCGAAAAAATAGGTAAAACGAAAAGAAATATCGGTCAAAGGTGACCACGAATCGTAATCGGATTTGTTTTTAGACGAACAACGTGAACATGCACTTTACTGTACTGTTCAATGGTTTGATACTAGAAAAATCGAAGTTATTCCCAAAGAATCGATACAATTAGCACCATCACGTGATGTAGAAGTCAATATAACATATACAATTGTTATCGATGGAATTGAACGGTATGGAACTGTCCTTGCTACAGGTAAAAACTCTTTGGATTGAAAATGAGTATTTGAGAAATTTGATCCACGGAAGACGAAGAGATGATTAACTATCGATTTGTTTGAATAGGTACGAAAGAGCAATGTGAAATGGTTAAATATAAACGTTCACCAGGTAAATTTCTTCAAGTTTTCTCATTCATTACCTTTCATTTCATTTACTTCAGATATCTCGGCTAAAAAATTGCCTGGAAATCTTGTTGATGATTTAATGTTAATGAGAATTCTTAGTAAATTGATGAACAAACCTCAAACCGATGAAATCTCTACAGGTGAAGATATTCATCAAACTGAATGTGCAAGTTGTAAAATGAAACCGATTCGTCATCTTGATCGTTACCATTGTCTCGAATGTCCTTCATCAGTAAATTATGATCTATGTGGACGTTGTTTTGAAAAACGTCGCGAAACAGGTTCACATTCAAGTGGTCACGCAATGATTCATTTTAAATTACCAAATGAATTTCTCGGTATTCATGTTAATGATGTCAAAAGTGAAGTGACGTTAAGCAATTTAAAACGAATGAGCACACTTCGAAATGAAGTTCATAAAGGAATTACTTGTAATGGAGTTTGTGCTCAAAGGACATTGACTGGTTTACGGTTTAAATGTGATACGTGTGCGAATTATAATTTATGTGAAACTTGTGCAATTCAAAAACATATTTGTACGAAATCACATGAGAAAACACATCCGTTGATTTTAACATCGAATAATGTTATGCCAAAGATCGATCCGGATGAGATCGAATTTGGTGAAGTCTTAGGAAGAGGAGGATTTGGTAAGTGAAATTATTGAGAAGAATATATTTTCATAGGAATCGTTTAGGTTACGTATGCAAAGCTCTATGGCGACCAAAAAATCGTCAAGTGGCTTGTAAAATCATCGAAGTTTCCGGTTCATCATCAACATCTCAATCGCTTCAACGAAGTTTTCTTCTCGAATTAGCTGCTTATCGAGAATTATCCGGTCCGTACATTCTCCGTACGTACGGTTATGCTACACGTGAATTACCATCGAATCGAATACGTGGTTCGACAACACAATTTATGATTCTCATGGAATTGATGGGTCGAGGAAGTTTTCAAACCCTTCTTGACAATGAACCGAATAAATTATCCTTACGACGTAAATTAGCCATGTGTCGACAAGTTGCATCAGGTATGCGACGAATTCATCAACATGGAATGATTCATCGTGATATTCGTCCGGATAATATCCTTGTTACCGATGATTATGTTGCGAAAATAGGTGATATGGGTATTGCACGTGTTCTCGATCCAGAAGGTCGACAAACTCAATTAGGTTGTTTACAATTTATGCCACCGGAATTCTTCCGAGATGCTGCGGATGGTCGAGCGAAATGTAATGAAAAATTAGATATTTATACGTATGGTTTGACGTTAAATCAAATATTTACGGAGACGATGCACGACTTTCGATTGAATCGAACACCATCGCGACTTATTCTTACCAAACAAAGTCCGATATTTTACGATGAAATCATTTCCAAATGTCTCGAAGATGATCCAAAACGACGACCAACAGCAATTGAAATTGAAAAAACCTTGGAATTTTACGAACAGGCATTTGCCGAGACAATGTTAAGTGAAAGTTATGTTCAAATGAATACGAAGGAGAAAGACCGAGCATTTTTGGACTTTTATCAGAAGAACAAAGGACGTCTCCACCGATTTATCAAAGAACAATTTCCACAGCAATTCATACGAGAAGTTCCAATTGAATTTATTAATAAACAAAAGCAATCTCCTGCAGATGATCATGACTGAACTGATGAATCCTGTCGATGTTAGGTATTCTTCTCTCTCTCTTCTCCTTTTTGTATTTCGAAATCGTTTTATGAGTAAAACTGAAAAACATATTCAAACTGTTCTCAGGAAATCACGTATTGCTTCGGTGGCTTGGGCACAAGACTTTGGATAGAGGCCTAAATGACAAGAAAATTGATATGATGACAAGAACTTCGAGAAATTGTACCAGGTAGAGCGAAAAATCCATGAAGAACCCCTTGAACAACTAACTTTTTTGTTCGAACACCGACTTTTTCCAATAATTTTTGATATTCTAAATCAAATCTCTCGATGAGCAATTTTGTTATCAAAGAAGAATGATTTTTATGCCTAAATTTCCATCGCGAAGAACGTCGAGCTCAGAAACAATGAATAAACACGGTGGAACATCTTCCAATGATGTGTTAAACAACCCAGATATACGTGGATCTTTTAAATCTTGTGAAGATTCAAATGCATTTGATATGAACCTAGAGAATGTTCCTCAATACAATTCATTTCAAATCATTTCTTACCAATTCATGAGATCTACTGTAAGAAAATACATTTCTTTATTAAATTCTTTGTAAGACTCGGTTTCCTGAATCATATCTAATACACCATACATAATAATCTATTAGAACAAAACCAGCACATTATTCATGAACTTGAAAAGATATTTTACTTGAAAATCGAGATTTTTTATTGTACGAGCGATAGATGCAGCGATCATTCCTCCTGCACTATCTCCAGCTACACCAACCTTTGCTGTTGCATCAACACCTAAACGACACAAATAACCTCTATTCAAAGAATTTTTCTTGATCATGACATACAGAATGAAGTTTTATTTTCGATGATGTATTGAGTTACATCACAACAATCATCGAGCCAAATGGGATATTTATATTCTGGTCCAAGACGATATTCAACTGATATCCAAATTGTTTTTGTTGCACTAAAATAAAAAAATATCACTAAAAATCAGTTGAGATTTCTATTTACTCAGCCATGGAATTAACACCAACTTGATGTGATTGTCGATTACCCAAAACCCAACCTATAGAACCGTTGAAAACGATTACAAATTTCATTTATCTCAACATACATACCTCCTCCATGGAAAAAGATACCTAATATATCTTTTTTCGCATCGATTGGTGTATAAATACTAATTTGTATATCTAAACATCCTGAGTGAGAAAATTTGAGAAAAAGAAATTTCTTTACCCGTTGATTTGGTTTTTATCGATCTTTCTTCGAGATTTCCTTTGAATGTTCCGTTTAATTTCTCATTAATTTTGCCATGAATATTGTCCAAAAAATGACGCATAGATTCAACAGTTGGAACACCATCGGATGGTTTATTTTGCGCGAGAAATTGTAAAAAACCCAATGTTTCATTATTAAATCGTGGATCCCTACAGAATTAGATATGATTGTCACACAACGATAAGAGAAAACCTTTTCTTACATCGACACACTTGTTTATCCTCAATCTAAACTGACGAATAAAAAAATTAAAATACACGTAAGTATGCATAATAGTTGCTTTTCGTGATGTAATGTGTATACTTGAAGGTAGATGAGTCATCCTTCACTATTATTTAATAGTAAGTGATTTCGAAAGCATGAAGAAATTTTCAAATGGCGATGTACGTTGAGCCACGTTCTGATACGGAACAATTTTTAGTCAATGGACGTTTACAGATGGTCTTGGATATGGAAACGGGTGATCCTGATGATTTTGTCACATTGATATTTCTCCTTGGTCATCCATTAGTACATTTGAAAGCTGTAACAATCGTTCCTGGTACACCTGATCAAATTGGTTTCATTCGATATGCTTTAAAGCGTTTTAATCGTCATGACATTCCAGTCGGAGTGTTTGATATAAATGCTAAAGCAGCTCTTTCGAAATTTCATTTGAGGATTTACAAAAATGAAACAATTGAGGAATCTCGTGATGCTTTAGATGGAAGTGAAGTTCTTCTTAAATATTGTGATGAACAAACGATCTTAGTATGTGGTGGACCGTTGAAAAATGTGGCAAAAGCGATCAAAACAGGTCAGTTGAAATTAGGTCGTTTAGTTGCACAAGGTGGTTTTGCCGGTGATAATGTCGTTCCAAAAGAAAAACGTTTGAGAAAATTTCAAGGAAGAACAACATGTCCAACATTTAATCTTGGTTCGGATTACAGAGCAGCAAAAATCGTTTTGGATTATGCCGGAATTAAAGAGAAATATTTCGTTTCGAAAAACGTTTGTCACGGTGTCGTTTACACGTTGGAAACACATGAACGATTAGCATGGGTTAAAAATCATAGTCAATCATTACAAGAGATTTATCATATCATGTCAGTTTATTTTCAACGTAAACAAGAAAAAGCTTTTCATGATCCATTAGCTGCGTGTTGTGCAATCGATCTTTCAATTGGCGAATGGAAAGATGTGAAATTATACATGGATGAGGAGACGAAAGAATGGGGATCAAAGATCTGTAATGATCCAAATGTTAAGATTATAATTGATTATAATCAAGAAAAGTTTCTTTCCACTCTGTTTGCTTTCTAATTACATATTCGTCGATGAGACAGTGCGTTTTTCACGCTGTGGATGTTTTAATGATGCTCTTGTCAAAATAATATCTTCAGTTTGATGATTTTGATCTTCAATCGTTTCAATAAATGATGCTTCATCTTGTGGTAAGAATTTCTTTCGTTTGTATACACGTTGATAACGATCGACAAGAACAGAGATAAGCATACCCATTGTCGCAGCACCAAATAATGCACATAAACATGAAAGAATACGACCGATCGGAGTGATTGGATACATATCGCCATATCTATTTGAAGAAAACAACAAAATTTCGTTTCAATACATTTCACCTGTAAATCTTTATGTCTTTCACTCTCCCAGAGTAACAAATTTAATCATTTGATCGAAATCTCAATCAGTTGCTGTGAAATACATAAGTGTTGTGTTAACAACATTTATTTACTCTTCTTTGTTTTAACATGTGAATACAACAAAAAATGATCTCGTTAACTTACCCAACAGATGTTATTGTTAATATTGCCCAATAAGTTGCACTGAAAATTGAATCGAATGATTCCCTATCGGTATCCTTTTCCGCGAAATAAGTCGCTGCACCGAACAGGAATGCAACTAATGTTAATGCGACGATCATAATCGTAAAATCCATAAATGATTCTTTCAAAGTCGCACTCAATACTCGTAATGATTTAAGTCGATGAAAGATCAAATAGATTTTAAAAACACGTAAAAATCGAAATAGTCGCAATAAACGAAGAATTATAAATGTACTCGCATTCAGATCGATCTTTCGATCAGTTAATTGAACACATAAAAAGACGTAATAAGGTACAATCGCAGCTAAATCCGTCCAATTGAGTAATGAAGTAATAAATCGATAATAGGATGGTGTGCTGATAAATCTCAGAAGAAATTCAATGGTAAAATAAGAAACACAAATTGTTTCGATAATGAAAAACGGTGAAATAAAAAGTGCTGAACATCTTGGCACATACGACGATGAAAGTGACACATTCGCTCGAATTCGACAAATATTATCCCATTTTTCATCGAATTCCGGTAGAGTTTCTGTTGCTAAAGACAAACACGATATGACAGTCAAACACATTGAAATACCGTGAAGAATACGTGCAAAAAGCGAATGTTGAGGATATTCTAAATAGAACCAAATGCATTGTCGCCAGAACCATTTCGGTAAAGAAACTGGTCGAACGATCGCAATGTTCTCCAACCGATTTGTTTGAGCGATCGCTTGTGCTCCCAATTGAAAAAATGAAATCTCCTCAAGAAATGTATCCAATGGAACATAATCTGGTCGGCGAAGACGTCCGTTCGATTGATAATAATAAAGTACCGATTCGAAACATGTCCGATGACGATCGAAGAAATATTCATTTTCCTCAGCATTCCAATAATACATTCGTTTGTATTTATTTCCGAGAAGTGTGTCAGGAAAACGTTCGACAGTTGATAGATATGTTTGATAACGAGCGCCACTGATGTTTATCGTAATTATCGTACTTTCTGCATCATTTCGATTCGTTTCTGCTAAACGATAGAGATGATTGGGAGATTTGACTGTTATGATACTATCCGCACGATTTCTTAAGACTTCACTGGAGAAAAGAGGAAGTTTATAGAGAGATTTTTCGAAGAGATGAAGAAATTTACCGAAAGATATTACTATCCGAGTTTCGACGACATTTTGATTTGAGAAAACGATGTTTAGCACTGAAAAGATGAGTTTTATTCGAAGCGGAACACATCTTGACTTACGATAATCGTTTTGTCCATATGATATTTTGTTTTGGTATTGTCGCTGGCTCAGCTGTGATCGAGTCTTCATTCATATCGAATGAGTTCAAATCAAAAGTGAATTTTCTTATTGTTTATTCACAAAAATCTGTCGTCCGACAAGTTTATCGACTAATTCTCAATAAAAACTCGATAATAACCTTCGCAATCGTTATTTAATTATCACCAAATGATGTTGGTTATAAATCTATACAATGAAGAGCGTATAAAACCATAAAAATGTCGTTTTAAGAAGAAATTCTTAGTACAAGATTATGATTCTCGCCAACAATCCAGGTTTTATCGTGTAAATCACTTAATTCCGTAAGTTTGTCTTTAATCCACTTCCAATCGGCATCGTCATGATCTAATCGATTGACTTGAAAATTTGAGCATCGTGTTGGATAAATTGAAAGCGAATGAATACTGACGAATTTGCTTTGATCTGACTCGGACGTGGAAATTGACAAATTTAACCGAAAAAGTGCACTTAAATCATTTCGATATTGTTCATCGATTGCGTAATCATCAAGAAAATCACCACAACCGTAAATAATCAATGCAGGATTTCGATTTTGTCGTGGAAAAAGTTCGATTCCTTGAATATGATGACTGGAATGTCCATGAATGACATCAACACCTTCATTGATCATCCAATGAGCAAGTTCACGAATCTTTCTCTCCGGTCGCCATTGATAATTTGGACCCCAATGAATCGAACAAATGACGAAATCAGCATTGGAACGAGCAGTGATGATCAACGAAGATAAAACCGAACGATCATGATAATCAAAGAAATGAAATGAAGAAACACGTGACCAATCTGATGGATGATCAGATGCTGAAATTAAACCAACTCGAATGGACGATGATGAACGAGATGTTGACGCTTCAACAGATACTGGTTTGGACGACGGAGAGATATCGAGATAAATCGGACCGAGAGCATGTGAACGTGTTTTACCCGCACCTGAATGAAGAAATTAATCTACAAAAATTGGAAAGAAATTCACTTACCAACATAGGATAGATCGAATTGATCGAGACTTTCACATGTTTGTTCGAGACCTTTGACATCAAAATCTAATGTATGATTATTCGCTAATGAAACATGGTGAATATGTGCTGAAGTTAAACAATTTAGATTCTCGGGATGTGTGCGATAACTAACAAAGAAAAAAAACGTGTTTTTTTTTCAAATGAATAATCAAATCGTACTTAAAAACTTTATTTGGCCAAAGTTTGTCATGTGTTGTGACTGATGTTTCCAAATTGATAATATTCAAATTTCCCTTATTAACAAAGAAGTATAAAGTTGAACTGTATTCATGAAGATAAAGTCTACCTCTTTCCATAATGACAAAGTATTTCCCCAAATTGTCGAATAATTATATCTCTCTTTAGCTAAATAAGGATACCGAACAGTTCGAGATAATCGAAATTGTTGTACAATTTTCGCTTCTTCGGGATTATGAACAGATGTTGGAAGAAGTTGATCGATCAATCGACCGATCATTACATCACCTGCAAGATTTATCAACATTTCTCGCGAATGAATAGACATATTTCTTTTCTTCTTTTTCTTCTATCTTATTGTCCATTAGCATATTTGGTCAATAGAGTTCACTAACTCTATGAAATATTTTATTAGACAAGGAAATTTATTCAAATCGTTTTTCAAAAATCATTTGATGATCAATCGAACGTTTGTCACGTTTTTCTTTGATGTTGTTGCGCTGCTCTCGACAAAATTCTTGATTCAAAGTATCCGTGTCTTTGTACAGCCACAGAAGCCCAGTCCAGTAAACTCGCTGCTTGTCCGGTGTTACCTTGTTTTTCCTGCTTTGTTTTTGCTTCCTCAAACTAACAATTCGCAATTTCATTCGTCAACCGAATGAGCAGATCTTCATCAAAATTATACAGAAGAATTTTTCGATATAATCAATAGTCCATCCGACATGGTTCCCCATTTGTGATGTAAATATAAAGATTTGTCTAAGATTTGAATAATTGTAGACTTGAGGGACAAGCTGATCAGCTAAAACACCAGAAATAATGAGAAAAACTATTTTGTTGGCTTGTTGTGATTCTTCAATAAATTCCTTTGTTGAATTGATATCAACAAACGTATGCAAATAATACGTAACACGACGAAATCGTTCTTTCATTATTCTCAAGTATAACAATATGTTCATCCACCCACATGACGACATGATTATGAAGTGTTTCAGCGTATTCGATATTGAGTGCCATGTCTTATTCACGAAAATAAAAATTATGACTTTGAATTGATTTATATGACAGAAACAACAAAATCAACGAGACGGAGATTGAGAAAACACATTTTTTAGGTTTATTATTGAAGGAGATCGACATCTTTTTATACATTCTGTGACTTTTGCAATATTAAATTATAGAACATCCATCTACAAAATCGAAGTGATCAACAGAAATTTCGCGTTACTTGATTTATTCTCTTGTAAAGTATTCTTTTTTTTATTGAGAAGAAATGAATACACATTGGTTTTATCATTTGTCTGATATGATAACGCATATTACCTCATATATCTCCTATATAAACTTGCTTAACATTTACTTTACCTATAGCGATAAGGGTAGAAATGTCATTGCCATTGGTTTGTCCATTACCCGCCGATGCCAATAATGAAGTTGCAGAATTAGCGAAGTTTTTCAATGAAACATTAGGATTTTGTCCTAATAGTGTTTTGACGATGCAACATCGACCGATGATCGCCAAGGCATTTATTCAGTTGAATAAAGCAGTTATGGCAAATGAAGGTCGTGTCACAAGTGCTCTGAAACGACTGATTGGTTATGTTTCAAGTGCAAAAGCCGGTTGTCAATATTGTCGAGCACATACGATCTTAGCAGCGGAACGATATGGTGCGGAAGAGGAAAAACTTGCGAATATTTGTCACTATGCAACGCATGCAGCGTTTACAGATGCTGAACGAGCTGCTCTTGATTTTGCGGTTGCCGCTTCCTCGGTACCGAATGCAGTGAACAGTTCGATTATAGAAAATCTTCGTCGATATTGGAATGATGGTGAAATCGTGGAAATTCTTGGCGTGATTAGTTTATTTGGTTATCTTAATCGATGGAATGATTCGATGGGTACAACGATGGAACCAGGAGCAATTCAAGCGGGAGAAAAACATTTGAAAAATTATGATTGGTCACCGGGAAAACATTCATCATAAACTTGCCTTTTTTTCGAAAAAAAAAGATTAATAAATTCTAATTGGTGATTTTATTGAGCCAATGTCATTTGTTTGTTTGTTGATGAATTGCATGTTGACTACGTTATTTTAAAAATGCATGAAATAATTCATATTCAACTCGGTGAATGTGGAAATCGAATTGGTTCGAAAGTATCACAACATTCAAACTTCATTCATTTCGTTTTCTCAGTTCTTTTTTCAGTTTTGGAATTGTATTTTCGATGAACATTGTATCGATTCAACAGGAATCTATTTCGATCAATCAGATCTTTGTCGTGACCGTATCCATACGTATTTCGATCAAACATCAGGTATGCTGATTGATTGAAAGAGTTTTGTATCTCTGAAAATACACAGACGGAAAATATCGTCCTCGTGCAATTCTCGCTGATTTTGATCCAGATATGATGAATTCCATACGAAATTCATCAGTTGGGAAACAGTTTCCTTCAGATCAGATGATAATTGCAGGTGAATATAGTTGTGCATCAAATTGGGGTGTGGGATATTGTCTTCAAAATGTTGAACTGGCTGATCTTGTCTCGAATAAAATTCGTCAACAAGTTGAGCTTTGTGATAATCTTCAAGGATTTCAAATGACTCATTCGTTGATCGGTGGAACTGGATCAGGTTTTGGATCGTTTATCCTCAATCAACTTCGAGATGAATATCCTGATCGTAAGAATGAAAGAATTTCATTTTGATAAGATAAAAATTTTGGTTCTAGGACTTATAATGACATTTAGTTGTTTAAGTTCATCGGAAATTCCCGAACGGGTGATTGAACCGTACAATATCGTTCTTGGTTTACATCATCTAATCGAGAATTGTGATTCGAGTTGTTTATTCGACAATGAAACTTTGTTGAAACGACGACTCTCTTCAACCTTCGAAGATCTCAATCAAATCATCGCGAATGTCATATCTGGTATCACCACATGTTTTCGATTTCCTGATCAAATCAACGGGGATATGAGAAAATTCACAACATATTCAAGTCCATATATTCGTCTGCATTTTCTCACCTCCAGTTTGACTCCGATGCTCTCTCTGTCATTATCCGAACTAAGAAAACAAATGTTTGATAACACCAATCTGATGATGCCTTGTAATTTTCAACAAGGTCAATGTCACGCGATGACATCGATCTTTCGTGGACAAATCTCATTACAAAAAATCGATGAATATTTCCCAGATAGCAAAACAACTTTCTGTCGAGTTCCATTAAAAGAATTTGAAAGATCGTTAACAATGATTGGTAATCATATGGGTATGAAAGAGATATTTCAGAGATTTTTGGAGAAATTCACAGCGATGTTTCGTCGGAAACTTTATATATTTGGTTTATGTCGTTCCGGATTGGATGAAATGGTCAGTTACACAATTTCTTCATGAAAAATCTCTCATCAATTGTATTTTTAGGAATTCACCGAAGCAGAAAACAATCTAAACGATTTAATTGATGAATATCAAAGTATTGAGTGAAAGACTTTTTATTTGCGAGAAAATAAATCTGAAACTAGTTTGAGATGTATTAATTGACTTCGTCGGGTTGAACACCCATTGCAATTTGCGCATTGGCATTTTCGATTAAAGCACCAGATGCCATATTTAGAGCTTCAAAAATGCGTGTACGATCGTCTTCCATGCGATTCTGAATAGCATTTTCCTCGACTTCGGGACACAATTCTTCAATAAGTCGACATCCTTTCAGTAAAATATGTAGTTCGAGAATGTTTTTCGACCATGGCCTAATAATTTGCGGAAAACGTATTCTCCATCGTGAAGCAGAATGTTCACCAACGAGATCTGAATAAAACATAACGATTCTGTTGAGATTTGCAGGTGAAATTGTATTGTGATCAGCAAAAGAGCATTGTAACATATAGTTTGGAGATATATATAATCTAAAACTCGTTTGAGGAGAATTACTCATTTCTTGTCTTGCAAGATCCGGATTAGGAAAATGCCGTAGAAATGTCATGAGATGTATATGAGATAAATGAGCGGTAATGTCGGGCTCTTCAGCATTATTGAGTAGCATCGCCATTGCTAAACGTCTTTGGGAGTAGATTGGATCGTAGTATGTGTTATTTAGGGCAGCCATCTAAAATAAAAAAGAGAAACTCGGCTTTCATTCAAAGAAAAAAAAAGAGTTTTTTTTCCAAAAGTATCTAATTTTCTGCCTGTACCCCAGTAGAAATTTCGTCATTTGCGATAGTTATTCGTGCATTGAATGTATCTCCCAAAGCTCGACAGAGTGCAAGGTAATCTTGTTGATAACGATTTAAAATACTGTCTTCGGACACGTGAAATCTCAAGTTTTGAATGTGATAAATACCAAGTCGTAGAACATTTTCATCAAGTTCATTTATATGCAATATCCGAACAATTTGAGGAAAACGATTTGCCCATTTTCTGTAAAATCTCTTTTCAGCATCATCTTGACAAAAGATGATTATTCTTTGTAAGTTTCGCGGGGAAAATGCATTGTTTTGCATAAATGGCCATGATAACATATCCTCACCATCAGCAAATAAATCGTAGGATCGTTGAGAATTTAGACTTATGTGACTCTGTGCGTTGAAAGTGTTGTTGAAATAACGTAGAAATGGCATAATCTGTGCATTGGGTAAACGAATCACTCTATTTTGTCCGGAATTTTCGAAGAGTAAAGAAATACCTCGTGATTTGTTCTGATAGATCGGATTGAAATTAATTTTATTTAAATCTTCCATCTAAAATACGACAAGAAAGAATTAATTAGATATGTATTAAATCAAACATTTAATTTGAGACAAAAAACTCATTTCGCTTCAACACTCATCGCAATTTCGTTATCTAATATTTGATTAATTCTCATTAAACAATCATCTAAAGCTGCATGAAGTTTTTGCAAATCTTGTTTCAATAAATTTTTTGTATTTGGATCTTGAAAGTCATCCAGTACATTCTCAATGTGTCTCATTCCAAACATAATCAATTCTCTTTCCAATTGATCAGTCGGAAGAACAGTTTGAATATTCCGACTGTATCGTCTCAACCATTGTTTGAAACTTCTTAAATCTTTTTTATCAACACCAAAGACAATAATATCTTCAAGATTATCTGGAATAATATTATTATTGTAAAACCATGTTCGGATATTGTCTTCATGTCCGAATAATGCAAATGGGTTTCGTTCGTGTGATTTAATATGGTTCTGACAGTGAATGATGTCATTAAATGGGCGAAGAAATGTTAATGCATCTGCGGTTGGGAGGCGAATGATGGTACCGGATTCGTCTAATTGATGAAGGATGATAATCCATGGTTGACAGTCGAGGTAAGGAACTTCGGAAAATTTTATATGATGAATGTGTTTTGCCATCTAAAAGAAAAGAAGAAGAAAAAAAAAGAATTGTTCTGGTTTATTTATCAAGTTCGATAAGACATTTGCACAACTGTTGCGCACGAGTAAACATATCTTTCGCGTTTCTAGGATCCTTTCTCGATTGAAATTCACTACCGAGTTCACTATAACGTTCAATTAGATCATATATTAGTAAAAATGAAGTTTTGTCATGTATTTTGCCTTTTGCATCCGGTTGAATTGGAGTTGAACGGTAGATTTTCTTCTCGTGTTGATCAGCTATGATTCCGACTATATCGTTGTCAGAATAACTCTCGTCAATAACGATGAATAGGTGTGTGTCCTGTTCCACTGTGAGTATTTCCCCCCAACAATCTTCCGGATTATTGTAGAAAGTAAACGAAAGAATATTTTCAAAAAGTTTGTTGATTTTTTTCGTATAATTCTTGTTCTCTTGTTGACCTTGTAACCATAATACCACAAACTTTGTCGAAAGTTTCGATTTCTCATTAAGATTTGGTTCAGGAAATTGTTGATAAACTTCTTTTAATTTTTCATGAATCTTTTTTGCGATTGCTTGTTTTTGTTTTGACAGTTGTTCCTCACCTTCTCTCCAATCTTCATCTGCTTCCAAGTGAAAACAACGGTAAAGTTCGTCACTCATTTGAAACATCAAATCTTCGTCCGAACCGAATCGCTCATAATTATTCACTTTCGCCTCATCTGTTTCCAAAACGAAAAATTTCGCCGAAGGACTCGCTTTTTTCACTGTCGAAAGATTCATTTGATTAGTCGTAAATACCATCCATATTTTGTCATTCATTGTACTATGAGGAATCTCTGAAGGATTGTCATATGATACGACAGTCTCGTTCATTAATGAATGTAACGCTTTGAACATGGCAGTAGCAATTGGAGTCATGTTTTTCGATAAACCCAAGAGGATAAATTGCGTATTTTTCAATACAACTAAAAGAAAATGAAGACAATTGGGATATTTTATGGTTGAGAATGTTGACATACTTGATTGCGGTTTGGGGGAAGTTGGAATGGTGTCAGACTTACAAGCAATTTGTTTTACTTTGGATAATAAAGGATGATTTCCCGGAAGATTTTGTTGAAGTTTTTGACAAAATATTGTTGACTGATCTGATTGTCCGAGAAGATTATTAATGATAAGTAGATCCTTGTTTCGACTTAATTCGCTCTTTTTTTTATGTAATGCTTTTAAATCGATTTCACTGGCCAATTCTAAATTGAGAATCCACGTTGTTCGTTCAATATTTTTGACCACGACGATTTTAAATATGGCACCACATGTGAAGATAATGTCTGAGTTATTGTTCAAACCAGAAAATTTGTTTAAACACGCAATAGACGCAAAATCAGCGACACTATCCACAGTAACGTCAATTAAAACTGTTTGAATGTCCATTTTATGATCATTATATTCGATCAGGTCAGGTCGGTCAGCAGAAACACGTAAAAATCCGTTATAGACTAAATGTTTGCCGATATTTGCTTGAAGATTTTCAATTGTTTGTGGCATCATGTATTGTATTCGATAACCACATCCCAATCGTTCCCGATTATCTTTGATTTGATCCGATAAATGCTCGAGGAAATAGCGAAGATCGAAAAGTAAGGAAATGTCTTGTTCACGTAACGCTTTGCTGATAAAGCGACTAAATGGTGTATTTGCCGTCAATAATTCCATCGCGTACTTTTCCTCATACTTTTCTTCAAATTCAGTTAAAAGTATGGAAGCGTCTTTATCCTCCGAATAATCTTGGCGAAGTTTTTTGAAAAATTCCGCAGGAAATCTTGCTGGCTCGAGATATACTGGTGATGTGAGAATTTCTAGAAGAAGTTCAAATGCAAGGTATGGTGCGTTGTCTTGAGTGTGATCTTTAACTATTTGAGTTGTTCGGAAGTCTTCAAGATTATTATAAAGTTCTTCATCCTTACGAATCGATTGCAGAAGTTCGGCTTTTCTCGACACGACCGCGCGAACTTTCGGAAGAGGTTTGGACCACCCTTCATGTTTTTCGATATGTTTGCAGAAGACATAAATAGTAATAATCGATGGTAGATTACAAATTTTGGGGATCACTGTTTCACCGTATTGACCAGATACAACAAGAAAGATTTTCGTACGTTCTGATTGAGCTTTTAACCATTGTTCAAACAGTGTGTTGTCAGTAAAAGTCAGACAGAATGAAAAACGATCACGTAAATCAGCTCGGATCTTTTTATTTGGGTTTGAATCAGCATCTCGATCCAACCAGACGAGTGTGAAAGTTTCATACGGATAGAAACTATCGATAGGTGATGATGCAGCACTTGCAGATGCTGTTGATGTGATTTCTTTTGAATGACCGGAGCCATATTTTGAAGTTTCAATCCCCATTTATTTTACTGTATAACGATAAAGTGATAAATAGACAAATGAGTCGGTTACTCCGTTTTTTCTTTTCAGGTAGGAAGAAAAGAGAAGAAGAAAAATTAAAAAAAACAACTCTTATGTACGATATAACTTGCATAAAAAAGAAACCTAGAAAGGTAAGAAATAAAGTGACATGACGATGAGAAACTTTCTCTTATCGCGAGTAGACAAAGTTTGTTCTTCTCGCGTGCTTTTCGACGATAATAACGAAGTGATTTTTAGTAGAAAACAAACGAAAATCATTTATGTAATTTAGTCAAAAAATCTCATACAAATATATTTTTTTCGTATAACCATTTTCTTGTAGGTGAAAGACGATCGTTTTTAGAAATATATATTCGTTAGTTATGCCATTCATTCATAGTATGAAAGTATATTTATACTTCCTTTTTTCAAATAAATATTCAACTATTATGTCAGTTAGTTGTCTAATAAACTGTGAAATCTAAATATTATATTAGGAAAACAAAGATATAATATGGATTCCTATTGTTAGTCGTAATAAATGTATTATACTGAGAATTGTATATTATGATATTAATGAATTCGAATTATCAAAACAAAAATAGTTGATTCGATGCGATCTGTGCAACAATTGAAAAATAAAAACTTTTATCAAAATCAGTATGTACAGTCCAGCAATATTCTTATATACATAGATCATATTAATATACAGTCTATCACCACTGATCTACATCAAATGCTGAAGTGACTTTTTAGGGGAAAACATTTCGTTATCTAAACAAAACTGTTTTGCTTAATTCGCGCTTTTCTTCTATTAAAAATTCATTGAATTCATGTTTTCTAAACAATTTTATGCTAATCGAATATGAATAAAACATAAAAATATGTGCAATCAGACGGTATATGAAGCATCTTTAAAGTAACATTTATAGATAAATATATTTGCACAACAAAATGTGTAGGTTTGTTTTTTAACTACAGATGTACGAAGATTGAAAATGAGTAGTTCAAAACAAATTAATGTTTAATCAGCAGATGGTCGTGATCTGAACTCTTTGTCGAGCTTTTGCTGCTGTTACGACATTTGGGATAATTGAATTTGATTTTCTCCAGATTTGGACAAATTCTTTTCGAAATGTTGGTGAAACGATCGTATGAAGAAAAAATGTCGTTGAAAAATAAATATAAATCAATTCTGAATTGATTAAAAACGAAAGGAAATTCTCAATGGCAATTCGATCACGAGATTTCTCTAAATTCAATGTCAATCGATTGTATGTCATGTTGATTGGTAATGGAATATGAATGATTGTATAGAATACAATTTGTGATAATAATATAAAGATTAACTGTTTATCACGTGTTTGAAATTTTCGAGCGAGACGAGTTCGTTGATTATGAAGATTTCGAATCAATAAAAACGAAAAGAGAAACATAAAATAACTCGGTAAGATAACAACAAAGATATATTGATAGGAAAGATCGTATGTACCAACCCAAGAAACATCTGAACGACATGAACGAGATGATAAACGAAGTTCATAGTAAATCAAAATATGAACTGGTAAAATCAAAGAGATGATTGTGAGAATAATGACGATTCGAATGGCGATTTTCGAATGACACCAAGCTCGTGTATGAACATTCAATGAACAGAAGAGAAATCGATCAAATGAAGCAAGAACGATCAATCCACGGGCTAACAATCCAAAGACATTTGTGAGATAAATTCGTAATTTACAAAACCAAAATGTTGTTAACAATTTCGAAGTTGAAGATAATGTCGCCAGACGAGAAATCTGACCGGTAAGAACTAAAGCAATACTCGCAATTGATGCAACTAAGAAATAAATTCCACATGAAGTTTTACGTAAATTTGGTCGAGAGAACGCAATAATATTTAGAAATCCACCAATGGTTCCTAATAGAATCGAAGTAACACCAAGGACTAAACTCAACGTGGTCGTTAGAGTACTCAAATCTTCAGATAATGTTGACATCTCTGTAACTGAAAAGTTTATGAATAAATCTCATCGAGCTGATATGAAATACCCAAAATACACAAAAAAAAGGATGGAATTATGACGTCAAAGATCTGATGAATATCTTTAATTAATCTGAAAATGTATTTTTAGATTAAAGGAGTTCTTCAGAAAGATGTTCAATAAGTATTATTGAGTAATATCTGAATTGGATTAGACTTTTTCCCGAATTCTCGTATTGAGGCCATGTCGGATATTCTTGACATAATCACACGATTCTATGTGTGTACTTCACAGTCAACGCGTCCATTTTCTCGATCGAGAACTGATTTTTTCATCCAATTTGTGTTCCACATATCATTCGCGAAGAAAATTGCATTGAGTGAAAAATTTGCTCAAAGAGATTTTCAATTGAGTATATTTTTATTTGAAAAGTCAAATGATTTTAGTTCAGTTGGGAGTAAATTCTTCTTTTTTTACATCGACAAATCATTAATTTCTACTGAATTATTTCAAAAATAGTCAATTGTACTCTTCGTACAAGGAATCTTTGCACTAGGCATTCTCCTTTCATATCTGTGTATTACAAGTCGAGAGAATGAAGGAAAAAGAGAGAAAAGAAAAGTATTGCCCCATCTCATCGGGCGCTTTTAGCTTTTTCTTCTTTCGTTCTTATCGTCTAGGCAGAAAAGCGCGTCTTTTTTCCTTTTTTCTCGATCTGCAAACAACAATTTTTTTTTCCTTTCGCCTATTCGGTACATATCGCCTCGGCGTCGCATGCAACTAACTTCGGCTATAGTTTTTCTCTTTACAGATTTCTATTGACTTGCTTGTTTTCGACGAGATCATCTTAACATGGGTGTACTTGATATAGTTCCAACAGGTAAAGTAAAACCTCTCTGTAAAGAAAAGAACTTTTTAGATTTATTTACAGGTGTTTTGACCGGTGATAATGTGTTGAAATTATTTACTTATGCTCGAGAGCATCAATTTGCTATTCCAGCTATTAATGTCACGTCATCGTCAGCAATCAACGCTGTTCTTGAAGCCGCTCGCGATGCTAAATCGCCAGTTATCATTCAAATTTCTCAAGGTGGTGCGCAATTCTTTGCTGGTAAAGGTTTAAACAATGATGGACAAGCTGCGAGTATCCTAGGCGCAATTGCTGCTGCACATCATGCTCGTACTGTTGCGAAACATTATGGTGTACCCGTCGTTTTACATAGTGATCATTGTGCGAAGAAATTAGAACCATGGTAAAGAATTTTCAGTATGAAAAGTAATGTATTTTGATTGATATTTTAGGTTTGTTGGTATGCTCGAAGCCGATGAAGCTTATTTCAAAGAACATGGTGAACCGTTGTTCAGCTCTCATATGCTCGATTTCTCCGAAGAAACCAAAGAGAATAACATTGCTGCTTGTAAGAAATATTTAACTCGTATGGCTCCGATGAAGATCTGNNNCTTTTCAAACACAATTCTGGATTGAAGATAAACAATGGTTCGTTCAATGTGATTGGTTCAACTTCGGAATCAGTCAATTAGCTACTTTATACACAATTCCGTACACATTCGATGAATATCTTTTAACAAACAAATATTGGTCAAAGTCAACTTCTCCTCAGAATATCAATTATCAATCATTTCATTGTGTAAATCATCTTACAGTCATAAATCTTAATGAGAAACTTGATGATTTTAGAAATGTTACTCATTTAAAGTTGAATCTTCCATTAGGAAATCAGTTTTGGTTGTCATTTCCATCGTTTGATCGATTAATATCGTTAGAAATTACATTTATTGAACGATCGATTTACATTTCATTCCAAATTTTACTCGATCGATCATCTCGACTTCAATCGATCTGTTTCAGTAAATGTTCTGATATGGAATTTGTATCGAAATTAACAAGTCAATCGGTTCGTCGATTAGATTTTTTAACTAAAAATGTTTACAAAAAATATTTTACAAAACAACAATGCTCAACTTTACGTCATTCCTCACTTGGATCTCAATGCAAATCACTTCTAATTCCCGTCGAAAGTCGAACGGATGTGATTTATCTAGTGAAATCTCTTCCGAATCTTCACTCGTTGACTTTCCAATGCAAAGATGATCCGTTTGACGACGGATTTCTCCATTGGTTTCATCGACATTTACCTTCTACATGTTCAATCGATCGAGATGCGAATCAAACATCACATATTCGTTTATGGATTCGTTAAAAGATAAAAACAAAGGCATTTGTTTCATTCATGTCATGTTGAGATAACAATCGACTAAGTTACCAACCTGGTCGAAGGTTATCTTTGTTTAACATGTACTTTTTAGTATCATGTGCAAAATACTTTGATAAAAGCCTTTTTTTTCCAAAATCCAATCTGTCAGTGTAATGCTCGTCTCAAATCGAATACAATGATCTTCAAAGACTGTCAATATTTGCTAATCTGAGAAATCTTTTCGAATCATAAAAATTGGTTAAATGACTGTCATCGGTAAGTCGAGTAGTTGTGGGTGGCGTTAATAATAACGATGTAGGCTGGATCAATATTGAAACAACCTTTGCACAAACAATAAAACTCCAGTATATAAAAGAGATATCTTTGCAACATCTTGTTTCATATCTTCACGATGAAGAAGTTTCTTCTCATCTTCGGACTGGTTTTTCTCTCGACAACTGAGGCTCAACGATGTGTTGGAAGTTACAATGAATCGATTAATGGTGAATGTCAGTTGTATAAAAATTGTCAAGGGAGTTTATTGGCTGCAGGTGGATGCGAGGGAGGTGGATGTTGTGTCAAACTCGCTACGAAACCATCAGCAAGTGTTTGTCTTACTGAAAATAATTTTGTTCCATTGTATAAAACAGAACGGGCGATATTTCTTCAAAAAATATTGAGTTATGGAATCAATTCTGCTGGCATTTGTACTAATTGTCAAGCAAAAGCGGCTTTCTTAGCCATCGCGGCAACGATGACCGATAATTTTCAAAAAGACGAAGCACAAGGTCACTCATCGGAATTTACCGATGATGATGGAAAATATGGGAATACACAAGCTGGTGATGGATCTCTCTTTCGTCGACGAGGTTTCTTTGGTCTTCGAGGTCGAACTATGTATCAACGAGTACAAACAACACTTCCCAAATATCAAACAATGACTAATCCACAATTAGCTGCGTTTGTTGATAATGCTATTGAAATCGCTGCTACATTGTGGAAAAAACCAGATTTACTCAACGGTAAACGATTCTATTGAATGATTTATCGAAAAAACTCTCTTTCCTTTCAGGTCCACCATTGACAGAACATGCTGATGGTACATTTTACGGCTTCTCCACGCTTTGGTAAGTTTCCTAAACGAATCAATCTCGATGTTCTTCTTTCCTCTCCGAATAGGTATCGACTAACCGGCAGCATCGAAAATCTTGCTACGGCAACAAAACATTATTCGAAATTCCTCCGTCATTTGGGCTGCGGTGGTGATTTATATCCCGGTCAAGGTGCTGCTTGTCAATTCAATTCCACTCATTTTGGTACATGTTCACCTGATTGTATTCAAGGTTTGGAAGATGCTGGTGAATATTGTGGATGTAGTGGTGGAATCGGTCCACAATGTCCAAATAGTCCTCCACATGTTCGATGCTGTTTAGACACATGCAGTCAGGAGTTGAAAATGGACTTAGGATTTGTTTTGGATGCCAGTGGAAGTGTAGGACTAGCGAATTATCAATTGCAATTGAAATTTACCAAAGATTTGCTTCAACGAGCCAACGTTGGAGAAAACAAGACTCATGTTGGTGTAATCAATTATTCGGGCGAAATCGAAATATTAACTTGGTTAACTACCGATTATAAACTAAATCAGAAATTGAAGAAAATTGATAAAGCGACTTACTTCGGCAAAGGAACAGACACTGCCGGCGCATTGAAACAAGCGGCCAGGGTTTTTTCGTATAAAAATGGTTTACGATTGCCCGAAGATGGTGCAGCACCTGTGATTTTTGTCATAACCGATGGAGAAAGTGCTGATCGAAAGGCAACGATTGCGGCGGCGAAAGTTTTGAAAGACAATGGCATTCACATCGTCAGTGTTGGTGTTGGAAATAAACTCGATCTGGTAGAATTAAACGCCATTTGTACTGAACCAGCGAATGAAAATTATTTCCCAATTACAAATTACGCGGCACTCGATCAGAAACTAAATCAATTCACTGCGAAGACTTGCTCCGAGCCAGCACCTATCGCAGAAAATACGACCGTGACGGGCGAATGTGGAAAAGATAAATACAAATTTTTGAAAATCAAAATTATCATTGTCGGAAACAAAATCAAGATCATCGTGAAGTTATTCAATGGAANACGGTGTTGTCAAAATGAATATCGATACCGATACTCAATATGCTTATTGGGAAGGTATTTTGAAATTCTACAAGAAAAACGAAAATCGTCTTCAAGGTCTTCTCGATGCCGAAGACAAACCAAACAAGAAATTCTATGATCCTCGTGTTTGGTTACGCGAAGCTGAAAATTCAATGAAGAAACGTGTTGAAGAAGCATTTAATGATCTTAACGCCACCAACAAATTATAAATCAAACCTCATTTTTCTCTCCTTTTAGTCATATTAGCATGTTTATTCATTCCCTTTTAACCTTTATCTAATCGATCGTTGACGAAGAAAAACAAAACAGTTTCTTTTTTACATATGAATAAAATCGACGTCACCTAAGAAAAACGAATTTTCTTTTCTTTTCACATTCGAACGAAATGTTACAATTCGAATGGCTGCCAAATGAAGTTTTACTTGAAATTTTTCAATATCTTCATGATGTTCAACTATATTGTGCTTTCTATGGTTTGAATTGTCGATTGAATCGACTATTGGCCATTCATTCTCGAGTTTATCATTTCGATTTTCGATCGATCTCCAAACGTGAGTTTGATTTGATTTGTAAAGAACATTTTCCATCGATTAGTCATCGTGTTAAATCGTTATTTTTGTCAAATGATGATCAAACACCGAATTTATTCAATCGATTCTATTCGTATCGATTTGAATTTGTTCGTTTACAATCGTTATGCATTGATTCGGTGAATTGCCTTTCGTTGGTCAATGAACTTCTGTTCGAATGTCGACGGTTAACAAATTTACGACGATTATGTTTGTTCAAATGTGATTTTAAAGATCAGAAGATGTTTGTTGATTTAATTGAAAATATTTGGAATCTGAAAAAGTTAATTTCGTGTCGAATCGATCATCGATTTCCATACGATTTGAAATTGATAAATGAAACGAGAAATTCGACTTTGGAAAATCTTTCGTTGGAGAATTTTCAAGTTGATCTGAATGTATTGACGCATTTATTTCAATGTACGCCATCGCTTCGACAATTGAATGTAAGTTTAATTCAACGATTGGAAACCGATCGAATTCATTTGGAGAAACCATCAACCATCACTTTACTCAAAATTTCCTTTCGAAAATCATTTGATTTCATGTACATTTTATTTCAAAATTTCCCATTTTTAAAACGAATGGTCATTCAAACCTTTCGTTTATATTTAACTGGAAATGATTGGAAAAAGATTATTCGTAATTGTTTACCAAAATTAGAAGATTTTCAATTAAAAATGGAAATGAAATTTCCTCATCCAAAACATATCGAAGAACAATTAGAAGAATTGATCAAATCTTTTCAAACACAATTCTGGATTGAAGATAAACAATGGTTCGTTCAATGTGATTGGTTCAACTTCGGAATCAGTCAATTAGCTACTTTATACACAATTCCGTACACATTCGATGAATATCTTTTAACAAACAAATATTGGTCAAAGTCAACTTCTCCTCAGAATATCAATTATCAATCATTTCATTGTGTGAATAATCTTACAGTGATCAATCTTAACGAGAAACTTGATGATTTTAGAAATGTTGATCATTTAAAGTTGAATCTTCCATTAGGAAATCAGTTTTGGTTGTCACTTCCATGGTTTGATCGATTGATATCGTTGGAAATTACATTTGTTGAACGATCGATTTACATTCCATTCCAAGTGTTACTCGATCGATCATCTCGACTTCAATCGATCTGTTTCGGTAAATGTTCTGATATGGAAATTGTATCGAAATTAACAAGTCAATCGGTTCGTCGATTAGATTTTTTAACCAAAAATGTTTACAAAAACTATTTTACAAAACAACAATGCTCAACTTTACGTCATTCTTCTCTTGGATCTCAATGCAAATCACTTCTAATACCCGTCGAAAGTCGAACGGATGTGATTTATTTAGCAAAATCTCTTCCGAATCTTCACTCGTTGACTTTCCAATGCAAAGATGATCCGTTTGACGATGGATTTCTCCATTGGTTCCATCGACATTTACCTTCTACATGTTCAGTCGATCGAGATGCGAATCAAACATCACATATTCGTTTATGGATTCGTTAAAAGATAAAAACAAAGGCGTTTGTTTCATTCATGTCATGCTGAGATAACAATCGACTAAGTTACCAACCTGGTCGAAGGTTATCTTTGTTTAATATGTACTTTTTAGTATCATGTGCAAAATACTTTGATAAAAGTCTTTTTTCCAAGATACAAATCGGTCAGTATAATGCTCGTCTCGAATCGAATACAATGATCTTCAAAGACTGTCAATATTTGCTGATCTGAGAAATCTTTTCGAACCGTAAAAATTCGTTAAATGACTGTCATTGGTAAGTTGAGTAGTTGTGGGTGGCGTTAATAATAACGATGTAGGCTGGATCAATATTGAAACAACCTTTGCACAAACAATAAAACTCCGCTGTATAAAAGTGATATCTTTGCAACATCTTGTTTCATATCTTCACGATGAAGAAGTTTCTTCTCATCTTCGGACTGGTTTTTCTCTCGACAACTCAGGCTCAACGATGTGTTGGAAGTTACAATGAATCGATTAGCGGTGAATGTCAGTCGCATAAAAACTGTCAAGGGAGTTTATTGGCTGCAGGTGGATGCGAGGGAGGTGGATGTTGTGTAAAACTCGCTACGAAACCATCACCAAGTGTTTGTCTTACTGAAAGTGATTTTGTTCCATTGTATAAAACGGAACGGGCGATATTTCTTCAAAAAATATTGAGTTATGCAATCAATTCTGCCGGAATTTGTACTAATTGTCAAGCAAAAGCGGCTTTCTTAGCCATCGCGGCAACGATGACCGATAATTTTCAAAAAGACGAAGCACAAGGTCACTCATCGGAATTTACCGATGATGATGGAAAATATGGAAATACACAAGCTGGTGATGGATCTCTCTTTCGTCGACGAGGTTTCTTTGGTCTTCGAGGTCGAACTATGTACCAACGAGTACAAACAACACTTCCCAAATATCAAACAATTATGGCTAATCCACAATTAGCTGCGTTTGTTGATAATGCTATTGAAATCGCTGCTGCACTGTGGAAAAAACCAGATTTACTCAACGGTAAACGGTCCTATTGAATGATTTATCGAAAAAGTTCTGTTTCCTTTCAGGTCCGCCATTGACAGAACATGCTGATGGTACATTTTACGGCTTCTCCACGCTTTGGTAAGTTTCCTAAACAAATCAATCTCGATGTTCTTCTTTCTCCTCCAAATAGGTATCGACTAACCGGCAGCATCGAAAATCTTGCCACGGCAACAAAACTTTATTCGAAATTCCTTCGTCATTTGGGCTGCGGTGGTGATTTATATCCCGGTCAAGGTGGTGCTTGTCAATTCAATTCCACTCATACTGGTACTTGTTCACCTGATTGTATTCAAGGTTTGGAAGATGCTGGTGAATATTGCGGATGTAGTGGTGGAATCGGTCCGCAATGCCCAAATAGTCCCCCGCATGTTCGATGCTGTTTAGACACATGCAGTCAGGAGTTGAAAATGGACTTAGGATTTGTTTTGGATGCTAGTGGAAGTGTGGGATCAAAGAATTATGAATTGCAATTGAAATTCACCAAAGATTTGCTTCAACGAGCCAACGTTGGAGAAAACAAGACTCACGTTGGTGTAATCAATTATTCGGGCGAAATCGAAATTTTAACTTGGTTAACTACCGATTATAAACTAAGCCAGAAATTGAAGAAAATTGATAAGGCGACTTACTTCGGTAAAGGAACAGACACTGCCGGTGCATTGAAACAAGCAGCCAGGGTTTTTTCGTATAAAAATGGTTTACGATTGCCCGAAGATGGTGCAGCACCTGTGATTTTCGTCATAACCGATGGAGAAAGTGCTGATCGAAAGGCAACGATTGCGGCAGCAAAAGTTTTGAAAGCCAATGGCATTCACATCGTTAGTGTTGGTGTTGGAAATAAACTCGATCTGGTAGAATTAAACGCCATTTGTACTGAACCAGCGAGTGAAAATTATTTCCCAATTACAAATTACGCGGCACTCGATCAGAAACTAAATCAATTCACTGCGAAGACTTGCTCCGAGCCAGCACCTATCGCAGAAAATACGACCGTGACGGGCGAATGTGGAAAAGATAAATACAAATTTTTGAAAATCAAAATTATCATTGTCGGAAACAAAATCAAGATCATCGTGAAGTTATTCAATGGAAAAGTGAAGGTATTCTTTTCATTTACAAGTAAAAATCCCAAAGATCCAATCGATTTCGGTAATTACGTCACAACAACGTCAACATCAACATTTTCATCCTTGCCTTCCACTTCGTCATCGAAATTCCTTCCGAAATACGATCGAGCAGTCGATGAAGGAGAAGAAATCTCCTTGGTGATCGATAAACCGGAAGACGAAGAAGATGTTGAATATGTTTATTTAGGTATCAAAGGTGTTGAAGAAGACAATCGTTTCGAAGTGAAATTCGACGATTGTGCCAACGTCGATTGTCGCTCGATCTCCACATCGATCCAAATCACACTATCCCTCCTCTTAATCTGCATCATTTTCACATTTTTTTCACTATAAATAAAAGATTCTCCCATCGTCATCGTGCGACATCTATAACTGTTCTCATTATTTGAAAAAGAGCAATATCCAATGGAGAAAAAGAACGCTTACTCATGACAGTGATTAATTGTTGTATATGTTTGCGATCGGTTATTCATAAATCGAAACATGAGCAGCAATAAAGGCAGCGCTTTATCTCGTATGTTCGGTGGTTCATCCAAAGGTGGAAAAGTTAAGACTGCGCAAACTCCGCAAGAAGCAATTCAACAGCTACGCGATGTTGAAGATGTTCTAAACAAGAAAGTCGAACATTTAGAAGCGAGAATCAATGAAGAAACAGGAATTGCTCGTCGTGATGCACGAACAAATAAACGGAATGCATTAAATGCTTTAAAACGAAAGAAACGATTGGAAAAGACGTTACAACAAATCGACGGAACGTTGACAACCCTCGAATATCAACGCGAAGCTTTACAAGTAAATCCAGTAGATGATTTTTTTTTCGTCAACAACTTCTTTTGTAGAATGCCGCAATGAACGGTCAAGCATTTACCGCACTTCAAAGTGCGACAAGTGCCTTGAAAAACGTGCACAAAGAATTAGATGTCGACAGCGTTCAAGATATCATGGATGAATTAGCAGAGCAACATGAATTGTCGAATGAAATTGCCAATGCGATTTCCAGTCCAGTTGGATTTGGTGCTGATATCGATGAACGGGAATTAGAAGATGAATTGGCTCAACTTGAGCAGGAAGCACTTGCCGAACAAATGACAAAAGTGAACTTACCATCAGTTCCGGCACATCCTCTTCCAACTTATGCACAACCAGCAGCACCGAGTAAGGCAAAGAATGATCAATTGGCTGAATTAGAAAAATGGGCTTCGTAAGAGACCGCGAAAGATCAAAACTTTTCTCAAATTTTATGTCGTTTCGTGTCATTCTCTATATCAGCTAAATAAACTCATTTCTATCCTGTAACAAGTCGTTGTAATTCATCTAATTGTTTGTCAACCGATGATTTTTCACGTGTTTCAGGTAATTGAATCGTTTCGGAATGTGCGGAAGGGAGATGAAGACTTTCGTTCTCTAAAAGATTTAATTCTTTGTCAAGATCGATGTCATTTGTCAGTGTATCCGTTGTTGCGATGGGAATGGATAATAACTGATTAATTTCATTGGAAACGTCCATTTGTTCGGTGATATTATCGAGAATTTCTTCGATTTTCTTCGTTGGCATCGCCTTTTGCGAACGTTTCAAATGTTGTTGACCGATATTCAAACTTTCCGTCACTTGTCGATTGAAATGCGAAGTTTGAACTTGTTCGTTAACTAATTCGAGATTTTCTTTCATTTGATAGAGTTTATCACGTTGAACTTCTAATTGTTTGCGTCGTTTGATTAAACGAATCGCTCCTGGACGATCGGGATTTGGTTTGTTTAGACATTGTCGAGCTTTGTTTTGAATATCGAGTATTTCTTCGTCGAATTTCTCGATCTTTTTATTCAATAAATCTTCACTTTGTTTCAACTGTTCGATTGTTCGACGTACATCGTCACGGTTCTCTCTTGGTTTCGAATCGCCAAATAAACGTCGAAACATAATAGTCAACGAAAGAATACAAACATTTTTCTTATTGCGCCACTTTTCTCTTTATCTATCATTGGCCAAAAATCAATACGGTGAGTGAGTCGATCCTTTTCACATTATGTTTATCAAGGTAACGAGCGCATACGCTCTCGTACTGCTTGCACTGGGATGTACAATCGTCATTTCGCTCATTCCCACGTATCTTCCGGCTCGAGAGATTTCCGAAGCGTTACCAACGAAAAGTCAAGTACAAAATGTTGAATTGAGATTTGTATCATCGTCAGGACGAGATTTATTTGATGCATTCAGTGTGCAGAAGCAGGTAGAGGTTGAATTTGAAAAGAAAAATATGTTTAGAAAACGAACTTCAGATGCAAAATGCTCTTCCAAAAGATATTTCCACGACGGTTCTTGTTCTGAATGTGACACAAAGCACAATTTCAACATTGTTCGTCAGATATCAACTGGTGTTTAATCGATCGTGTAGAAAAAGATGCCAATTGCAGATTCTTGCTTTAGCTCATCTTCGCTTTGCATCATTGATCATCAATTTAGGTGAAATATCGTTCGATGAAGTCACTGGAGATATATCGAAGATTTCTGAATATTGGGCGAACATTCGTCCGTATGTGGATAATCCTCCAACGATATTCGGTGTAACCGAAACAGACTTACCGACTGGATGTCAAATTGAACAAGTTCATGTTTTGCATCGACACGGTGCTCGTTATCCAACTTCGGATCCATTCGATGGAGGAAATATCAAAAGATTTGCCGAGAAAATTAATCAAAATACCAAGAATTTCTTTGGTTCACTTGCATTTCTTAACACTTGGTCTTTACAACTCGGTGAAGAATTACTCGTACCGAACGGTTACAATGCTGAGATGATCTCAGGAATTGACTTTCGAAATGAATATGGCCACATCTTAAACAATGCTTTCTCGAAATCTCTTCTACGAACAAGTGGAGTCAATCGAAATTATCAGAGCACAATCGCTTGGGCGACAGGCTACTTCGGATCATCGAATTCAACTGATCAATACTCCATTCTCTCCTTAGGTTATCAAAATGGAAGCAACAACACACTGTACGGTGCTTTAGCTTGTCAAAATCTCTTCATTCCAACAGCATTTACTTTCAATCAGGATGAGATGTATTCTTATCTCGCTCCTGCTCTTCTCACTGCAACGATTCGTTTCAACAATAATACAAATTCGACGTTTGTTTTTGATCATATCGACGCATTTGCAATGCAATCATTATGTGCATACGAATATTCGGCATTGAATTCCAGCGATTTTTGTTCGTTGTTCACATTAAACGAATGGCGAGGGTTTGAACAAGCGTTGAATTTAGCTTTTTACAATGTTTATGCATTCGGAAACGAAACTGGTCGAGCTCAAGGGATTGGTTATGTCGAAGAATTACTCGCTCGATTTCAACATCGATTAATTAACATCAGCCATTCATCCGTAAACTCCACTCTCGACTCATCTCAAACAACATTTCCTCTAAATCAACCATTTTATCTCGACATGTCACATGACAACAACATAGCGAGTGTTCTAACGGCACTTTCCATTGATTATTTTCGTGAAGATTTATCTCAAACATTTCCCCCACCGAACGATCAACATTATCGAGTATCTCGGATGACACCGTTCAGCGCTCGAATGGTTACGGAAAAGATCAGATGTCAATCATCTTCGTTTGTGCGAATGAAGTTAAATAAAGGTATTTTACCATTGAATTCGATTCGAGGAGGGTTTTGTTCACGAGAAAGACAAGATGGTTTATGTTCGATTGAAAATTTTCTCGCAAGTCAAATCAATGCAAGTACAATGGCGAATTTCGATTACGTTTGTTTCGGAAATTATACACTTGATAAAAATGTTCGTATCACTGATGGAACTCTTTTTCCATGAATGAATAAAAGCTTTCCTATTAGTTCAATTAAAAATAAGACCATCGAATATAGAATCGAAGGAATACGAAATGCACGTGGAGTTCCTTTACCAAAATCGCATTGATACAAAGGAAATTTCGACCAATTACTGATGGATAGATCAACACCACCATGTGCTTCTCATCCGAAATAAATCGTGAGTAACGGTTCGATGAAGAAGATCGATCATTGAAAAAGAAAAACAAACGTAAAAACTGGCGTTACCAAAGTAGTTTTCATTGATATCTGGTAAGAACATTCGAGTGTTCAATGCCATACCGACTTTAACGGTTGTTTCGGATGGCAATTGACGAATTCGACTGATGATTTGTGTTAACCAGCCGACAAGAACATCATTTGTCGATAATTTTTCATTGGTAATACCAAGTTTAGTGAATAAATTCTCTTTGGCGGAATGTTTGATCACGGTTTGTGTTGAAGAAAGGAAATCGAACGAATGAATCGATTCGATAACACTCATTTCTTTATGTTCAAACTGAATTGTAGATGAATTCGCCAGATGGTTTAACTTCGATCGATCATGATCAAGTAAAGTGGGTCTTTTACCTTTCAACCATAAAGAAAAACGTTGTCTAAGTAAACTAAAACCATGTCCATCAGAGAAATAATGATGACAACCGAAAACTAAGATGGTTCCATCATCGAAACGAATCTGATGTAAGAAAATCAAAGATGAAACATCATTTGGTTTGAAACTATATGGAAATAAATCATCGATTGATGAGTCATTGTGGAAATATTTTGATAGGCTTTCATTTGAACGAGATTCATAAGAAAACGCTTGTCGATCTTCAACACAATCGACAATTTGTTCAGTTTTCATACATTGAAATGCTTGTGGACAGTAAATATGAAGAAATTCCTTTTCCAGACTATTGATTTCATAGTCGAAGATAAGTAAAGAATAAATGTAAGCACACGGCATAAGAACATCGCATAATGAGAGACATGTGGATTTCCCCATCGAGTCAGTGAAAATGAGTCGACGACGAAATAAAACGACGTGGCGTTTTGTTCTTTCACAATCCATCTTGAGATAGCGTAGTGCTAAAAGTTTCGGCAATATTTGTTTTTAATAAGAAAAATTATTTTCCTTAGAATCGAAAAAGTAGCAAACAGTTTTGAAAGCTACAATAAAAACCACTACAAAATAGGTTTTCTTTCCTAAATAGAATGTCACCGAGAGAGATGTTGTCTATCGATCCTTTGACTTATTCAAAAACGTAGAAGAATTGACCGAAACAACAGTTGTTAGTCTATACGAATCGATATCAAGCCATCGCCATCAAGTCATCTTTCGTTAATGATTGGAAAATTGAAGAAATTCACTTCGATTGCAAATCACTTTATGTTCTTTGAAGCGTCATTTCACGGTTTTTTCACTTTGAATATAAATCAAATTTATTGAATGTGATGTTCGATCTTTTTGTGAGAAAGGTTTTTCGATCAAAGATTTTTAATAACATTATCTTAATGGAATGCTTGTTTCTTGATTTTTACACTATAATCGGAATTACTACTGAAAAAATAAATTTCAAAGGTGAAATAAGTCAAATCGTTGAATTCGATGATTATCGTTATCAACAACATAAAGATTTCCTTCACCATCAAATGATAAACCGAGAGGATAAGACAATTGATTGGATTCATTCCCTTGACCATTTCCACCAACAATTATTTCACCTTCTTCATCTCCTTCACTCCATCGCATTATTCGATGATTGTCACTATCTGCAACATAAATTCGACCCTCATGATCAACAATGATTCCTCGAGGACCATCCAATTGATTCAGATTCTCTCCTCTTCCATTTCCACCAGCAACAACAATTCCTTCCTGCGCATCTTTTCTCCATTTCATCACACGATGATTCCAAAGATCTGAAACATAAATCGATTGTTCGTCATCGACAAACACAAAAGTTGGAACGTTGAACTGATTGAGTTGATCTCCTTCTCCATTTCCACCAGCCACTAATGTTCCTTTACCCTTTTCTCCCATTTTCCATCTTCTCACTTCATGTTTCTCACGATCAGAAACATAAACAAATCCAAATTTATCCATTGTTAACCCACAACAGTCGATATTGTGAATGAGAATCTCCGACTGATTTGTGTTCAAAAACCGTCGCATTACTCTTCGATTTCCTTGATCAGCAACGATGATTGAATTATTTTGTTCATCAAAAATCACATCCGTTGGATCATTCAATTGATTCAATCTATTTCCTTTTCCATTTCCACCAGCCACAATTGTTCCTTGATTTTCGTTTCTTTTCCATCGAACAATTCGATGATTCCTCCAATCCGCTATGAAAATATTTCGATGTTTGTCGATAAATATTCCACCAGGATCTGAAAGTTGATTTAATTCTTCCCCGCTTCCATTTCCTCCACAAATTGTCGATCCATTTTGATTCCATTTCTTCAACTTTGATTCTGCAAAGACAAAAATTCAGTTGATCTTTCGTATTGACTCCGTAGTTCAACAACATTGTGTATGAGAAAAACATAGATTTCGACTTACTTCTTGTTGATTTCACTGAGATTCTTTTGATAAATGTTTGCGAACCTTGTTTAAGAAAGATTTCTGATGAATCGTTGAATTCCTTGCCGATTTTTCTTAATTTTTCTTTTAGATCTTTCAAATTCATTTCGTTCATTTCATTTTCTTCTTGAATTTCTTTGATTTCTCTAATCAGTTTATTGAATTTCTCTTCAATATCGATGAGAAATTCTTCATTTTCTTTGAGAAATGTTTGTCGACATTGTTGAGCTGTTTGTCGAATAATGTCGATCGAATTCTTTTCCCATTGATCAATTTGAATGAAGAGAGAAGAATTTTGTGGATTTTCTTTTGTTTGTTGAAGATTTTGTCTAAATTGATCAAAATTGTTGATAATCGTGTTGAATTCTTCAGTCAAATCTTGTCGATGTTTGTTTAAATCGTCCAAACAGAATTCATTTGAACAACCTCGACAAGAATAGGTGAATTTGTGTTTTTTACAAAGAAAACATTGTGTTTTATTCGTTGTCATTTTGTCGATCAGAGTGAAATGTGAATTTCTAAAGATAAATTTGAAGTCAAAATGAAGAAAAATGTCAACATTTGTGGGAAATTTTTCAATGAATTAGTCATCGGTTTTTTCCTTCGAATCGATCACGATTCACGAACAAATGAGATAAGATTATGAAAAATAAACCTGCGTGTCTTTTATAGTGACATCTGTTCCAAATCGATCCAAAGGTATTTCTTCGTTTTCTTTTGCATTTCACAAAATACGAAACGAAAAGAAAATAATTTCTTGTTCACTTTGGAGTTTTCTTCATAAACCCATGAAAAAGTTATTTTGAGAAAAGATTTCTTCTCTTTTGAATAAGAATTCATCGTAAATTTTCTAGAAAATCTTTTTTCAAAACGAAGAAATTCTTCATTTATGAACTTCAGAATCTCTTTTGAGTCAACGATCATCGTGTTATTTCCAAAAAACGCATCGTTATATCAAAGAATTTCTCTTTAGATCGATAAATTAATGAATATTTCTCGATGAAAATCATTTTCGATTCAACTTTTTGCCTTTGAAAGATTCTTTTCTTTATCTTCATTATAATTTTTCATCAAAATTCTTTTTCGCCAAAATTCATTTTCTCTTTTGTGTTGAATTTTATTTCCAAATGATTTTCTCGAAAACTTTTCTTTAAACTTTGTTTTTCATTTCGAATTGCATTTTATTTCGATTTCGAAATTTAAAAATAAAACTTTTCTTTTTTCAAATGATAAAATCAAATCGTTGAATTCGATCATTTCCCCAATCAAAAACATAAAGATTTCCTTCACCATCAAATGATAAACCGAGAGGACAAAACAATTGATTTGGTTCATTTCCTTGACCATTACCACCAACAATTATTTCACCTTCTTCATCTCCTTCACACCATCGTACTATTCGATGATTGTCACTATCTGCAACATAAATTCGACCCTCATGATCAACAAGGATTCCTTGAGGATGATTCAATTGATTCAGATTCTCTCCTCTTCCATTTCCACCAGCAACAACAATTCCTTCCTGCGCATCTTTTCTCCATTTCATCACACGATGATTTTCCCGATCTGAAACATAAATCGATTGTTCGTCATCGACAAACACAAAAGTTGGAACGTTGAACTGATTGAGTTGATCTCCTCTTCCATTTCCACCAGCAACTAATGTTCCTTCACCCTTTTCTCCCATTTTCCATCTTCTCACTTCATGTTTCTCCAAATCAGAAACATAAACAAATCCAAATTCATCCATTGTTAACCGACAACAGCTAATATTGTGAATGAGAATCTCCGGTTGATTTGTGTTCAAAAACCATCGCATTACTCTTCGATTTCCTTTATCAGCAATGATGATTGAATTATTTTGTTCATCAAAAATCACATCCGTTGGCCAATCCAATTGATTCAAACTGTTTCCTTTTCCTCTTCCATTTCCACCAGCCACAATTGTTCCTTGATTTTCGTTCCTTTTCCATCGAACAATTCGATCATTCCCCGAATCCGCAATAAAAATATTTCGATGTTTGTCGATAAATATTCCACCAGGATTTGATAGTTGATTTAATTCTTCTCCTTCTCCATTTCCTCCACAAATCGTTGATCCATTTTGTGTCCATTTCCCCAAAATTAATTCTAAACAAAGAAAAACGAATTCTTTTTTCATCGAGATTAACACTTTTTCCTACAAAGACTTTTGCAAAGAAACATCTGAAAAGTCTTTTCAAAATCGAAATTGATTTAATTTTAACCGTTGAAAAGAATATTCAAATAAAAATGAATTCGAATAGATTTTGAAAGGAAAGGAAAAGATTTTCATTTGTTGATTTGATTAAAATGAGAAACAAATTGACGATTTCGTTAAATAAAAATCGTCAAACTTCACTCGATTTCAACAATTTTCGTTTCGATAAAATCAAAATGAAACTTTTCTTCGTTAATTTTCTTTTTCTCTAAAAACTCAAATTTCTTCTTCATCTTTCATCATTTCATCAAAATTCAATTCAATGCCAAATTGATCAAATCTCACAAAACAACGAATTCTCTCAAAATAAACTCATCTAATCATTTGAAATTATTTAAATCTACGCAGAATTTTTAGATTTTCCCACACCCGTCAAGTCTTTTCAAATTTATTCCAATGAGAATTTTTCTTCAAATCGATTTTCATTTCCTTCGAAATCTTCAGAATTCTTTTCTCATTGAAATCGTTCACATACTTTGAGTAACTCTTTTCGAGAGTTTTTCGATGAATATTTGTGAATTTTCATTTGAATTCATTTCCATTTGATTTTCCGAATGTTTTTTCATTTCCATTAATTGATCTTTGAAATAATTCAAATCCATTTCATTAAATTCATTTTCTTTTTGAACTTTTTTCATTTTTTCTGTTATTGCATGAAATTTTCTCTTTAATTTATCGAGATCTTTTCTTCCTTTTTCGATTAAAACGTTTCGATATCGTTGAGCTGTTTGTTGAATTAATTCGATCGAATTCTTTTCCCATTGATTAATTTGTTTCATTGAGGAAGAAAATGGTTGTTTTTTATTGATTTGATCTCTAAATTGATCATAATCATTGATAATCGTGTTGAAATCTTCGTTTAAACTCTGCAGATGTTCATTTAAATGTAATAAACAAAACTTTTCGGAACAACCTGAACAAGAATAAATGATTTTGTCTTTGTTACAAACGAAACATAGTTTTTTTTTATTTGCCATTGCCATTGTGGATGAAACGAGATGTTTTGTGAAACACTTATCTAAATTGTTCGAGATAAAAAGATAAATTCGGAGTCAAAGTCAATAAAATCAACAACGTGATGTGTTTGAAGAGAAAATTTCTTTCCGTTGAGAAAGGTAAAATTGTTTTGAGTGATGAACTGATGTCATAGGTCTCTAACACTCTGTATCATCATTTTTTACCACGTTACTCGTTCTGCATAAATACTCGAATAAGCGAAAGTGATGCTCTATTGTTAATAACTACAGAGATCTCTGATTAATTAGAGTGGAAACAAGGCTTTTTCGTAACAACAAAAAACGTATTGAAAACTCGGAGAACAGTTGATAGTTTTTGGACGGTGTAATGAACATTTCTGCCATTTTCGGTTTCTTTTTCTATTGGATTTGATATCAACTATTGTCCAATCTTTTCTTTTCCTGAGAAGAACATTCGAATCAATTAGGAAGATTTTTCAAGTGTAATTTTGTCAAATTTCTGATGAATTGAAATGAAAATATTTTGACTTTTATCAACAAATATTTCAATAGGACGTGATACAATTGATCTTTCCTTTTACATATACTTCTCTACTTCAATATGTTTTGTATTTGTTATATTATCATCGATGTATAATCCTAGAGACATATTATTATCACAAGTTTATCTGATTCTTAGCGAAAATCGTTTCTCCGTTCGTAAACAATCAGCGGCTATTATAGTTGTTACTCATGTGGAAAGGGTTATTTGTTTTATCTACTTGTTGTGTTTGCTTTTAGGGTCGATCTGATCGCATTGGAAGTAGCAAAATCAATAGTTACTCCGTTATCTTCACTCCACGTCCTTCTCTGAAACGACCTTTGTTTCTGAACAGAAGAACATTTTCTTTGATGAAACAATCGGCATATTTTTCATCGGAAAATAAAACTCGTTCTCATTTATTTAATGAAACCTGAGTTTCCCGATCAAATAGGTCGATCTCTTTTGACGTCTATGAAGATTTTATTTGTTTTAATTGTTTATGCACATTACATAAACGTATACTTTAATTACTTTCGTGATGATTCTTTGTCTTCTTTTAAATATTAAATCTGTCGAATAAAAAGAAGTTAGAAAGAACAAATGTGTAAGAAATCGACTCTGATTTCATCATTCTATTGATTCTTCTATTACTTTTCAATTGTATTCAAGCTATTCAAGTCGGTCTGGTACAAAATGTTTATTTAAATGTACCGAATTTTTCATCTACTCTTATTTATGGTTCATGTGATCAAAACAATAGAACATGTCAACTATTCAATAACAGTCTAAACTTTTTCCGTAATCAGTTAAATGACGAATTAAATACTTCATTCTATTTGTTACAATATCCACCGAGAAATCTTACTGATTTATTATGGACATTTGATCGAAGTATCAATGATGAATCAAATTTTGTTTATATGACACAAAAAGGTGTTGTTTCATGTATTTCACCTGGAATTTATGGTCCAGGTGCCGCTTTGGTTTTCAACGGTACCCAATATTTGACAGTGTCTTCTCCATATCTTGATACAACATCAAATGGTTTTACTTTTGAAAAGTGGATTTATATGATTGGATCCCTTTTACCGAACTAAGTAGATCTTGGTTTAGTAGGTCAATGTTTACGTCAAAGTACAGGAAATTGTCTACATATGTTAGTACGAAATAATCACAATTATTTGGGTTTTTATGAATATGATTGTAGTGGAAAACCATCGTTACTCTTTAATATTTAGTATCATATTGTTTTGTATATAATGTTACAGGAGAACTTCAACAGTCAATTTTTATCAATGGTCAACTTGATAGCAGTGTTATCCCTTCGGGTGGTTTGAATCCAATGACGAATATTTCATTAACTATCGGTAATATACAAAAAAATCTTGATAATTCTCAAGCATATCATGGATATATTGATCAATTATCATACAGTAGTCGACCAAAATCTTCCAGTGAAATACTTGGTGATGCTACTCTTGTCTTCTATTTTGCTTTTAATAATAATTCATTTCTTGACTCTGGTCCAAATAGAATCATTGGAACACCATATAATGTTATCTTAATTAATGATGCTCTTCAATTTTTATCATAGATGTCATAATGCCGTTACGACGGGTATCGTCAGCCGAACGTCACGATACACTCACCCTGATCAACGAAAAAACATGCGTATCGTGATGGATACGGAAAGGAACGTAGTATGATATTGGAGCGAATATGATGGATTTTGATGAATTAAGCGACGACGGGTGACGGACGACGCATCGCCGTTTTGTATAGATTCTGATCTCTAAATATCCTCACTCTCAAAAGTTTATTGATCAATAAACATACGATACTTAAACAATCATAGACCTACAGCGGTAAATTATAGCAAGTACAACAAGCATTCATCAGTGTCATGATGTATTCTTTCGCGATTAGAGCGCTATTTTGTGTTATTCACTTGCTTCGTAGTCATTTGTACTACTGCAACTCTCTGATTATTTCTCTTATATGTAATCATTGAAAAGAATTCTTGGCGAAATTCATCAAATGTAATCATATACAATGGGAATGACAATATATGGTATCCATACGATATGCAATCTGTAGATCGAAGAATGGTTCGGTTACTGTCCGAAAAAAATGTAAATCCAATAGCTGCCGGTGTCGTCATGGCGAAAAAGAGAACTGTAGTACTGACTAATGTAATAGTGATTGACCGATGTTGAATACGTGAATTTTGTAAAGTCGTTGTGCGTTGCAGCATTCGGAGATGATAGATGACACCACTGTTCAGTGCAATCATCAATGTCAATGGCAAGAGATTATAAAACGCCAGCTTAACGTAATTCCAAGTGGGATAGAGTGTAAATAGTGATGAGTTAATGTTCACTGTACCATTTGGATTATAGTAGCAAGCGAAGATGATAATATGTAGATTGAGAAGAAAGAAAAATGTCAAAATGCTTGTAATAACGATGAAGACATGTTTGGAATAGCTGAACCATGTTCGGTGAAGTTGACTTAATGTTAAGTATCGATCAAGACAGATAAATATGCGAAACCAAGCTGATGATTGGGATGCAAAATAGTTGAGGAACGAAAGGAATTTGCACGTACCGATAGAAGTTCTTTGAAGGAAAAAACCATAAATTGGATAAACATAATTGTCAAAGTTCCATCCGTATAACATGAGAATGTCAAAAACGGCAATGGTGCGCATATAATGAAGAACTGGCCTTACTTTCGTATTTCGAAATCTTGCTCGACAAAGAATGATAAAGGTTAATGAGTTGAGTGATGTGCCGATAATCACCAAAATCAGCGAAAAATAAGAAACAATGAGAATTTCTATTGATAATTTTTTGCCTATCACTTCTGTGATATTACTCGTGGACATGATTGAGAACACCCTGTTTCACTGTGACTTTTTTAAAATTGTTTTCTTCAAGAACTAAAAAGCGGTGTCACTAGTCTCCTAGATACAGCTCAACTCAAAAAAGAATCCTGTTTTATTTTCTATCTTGTTTTCTTTTCCAGGACACACTTCAACGATATGTAGAATATCTTGAACACAGAGTAGAAACCTCTTCGAATACGTCAGAAATTAGTCTTCTTCTTCGTACTATATGGGCGAAATAGAAAAAATGCTAATTAACGTTGATTTTAACAGTATCAAGTATGCTTGTTTTAAGTGAAAACTCAAAATGTCCTTATTTTTGGATAAACGGAATGGTTAGTCCTTAATTCGAATTTGTTACGCTTTGCAGAATTTACTTTTTCAATTATAAGAAAAGAAACAGTGAATGCGTCTATTTAGTCGTGTAATTTCTTTTTTGAACGTTCCAGGTTATATGTCATGCGTTCCAAATTCGGATGGCTGAAAGGTAATGACTGTTGTGCAATTTTTACGACACATTCGAAAAATGACCAGGCGTCGGAATAATTGTGCATGTTTACACAAAGAATACCAATACTCGAATAGGATAGAGCTAAATCAGGATGATTAGCAGGAAGTGATTGTTATTGAAATTCATGAGCTGAAAATACATTTTCCTGATCACCTATGTCGACGTGCACTAAACCAATGTTACTGTAAAACGAAGCTAACTTAGGATTGTCAGGAAGAAGAACTTCTGCTAAGATCGCAGATGAGTTTTCATAGTTTTGAAGTGCTTCTTCATATTCTTCTTGATTAGTTTTGACCAAGCCCAGTTGATTATAAATTGTTAATTTTGCAATCTTTTTTTATGGTTTCATCAATGAACATTCAATAAATCTTTTCAGTTTTGTCATTTTGACCCATATTTGATAGCATCAAACCTATCAGTCGCAAATTCACTTCGTAGAGTGTGCTGTTTCCAGCCAAGTCTAGAATACTTTCAGTTTGTTGAGCAAAGCGAAGTGACACTTTGCGATCAGTACTGGTAGACAGAAAGTTGTTAAATGACTTCAATCTACCTTTTGTTTGTGCTGTTCCTTAATGTGTTGCTGAAGGTTGTTGATAAAGAAGCCCACTCGTGTCATAATGTCACCATCCAACAGTCGGATACTACGATTGAACATTCGGTATAAGAAACATTCACAGATATACCACCAGACTATAGTGTTTTCTTACGACATTAATGATTCAGCTGTTCAATGTTCTCCTGTTCTGCGGGATTCTTTGCTAAAACTTCACGATAGTATGTCACATAATCTTGAATGTATTTGTCGGCGAACTTAATGATCTTTGTATACATATGCGATGGATCAAATTGATCCGAGTTTTTACCACACGAAACAAAACTGATAGACGTAGCGTTTTGTTACTTGAGGGAGGTTATGTATACGAGATACAGTTTGTTGCCCAAGAAATCCTGATGTAATTACATACGCCTTACAGTCTTTGATTATTTCAATGAAATCCATGCATTGTTGGCCTGTAGTGAATTGTTTTAATATGATCTTTGCTTAAAGTAGAGATTTTAGTGAACAAAGATATTTCGTATAACTTTTGTGCAAGAAAAAGAATTCACCATTGGAATCAGTTGCCTAAACTAATATGACAGAAGAGAAAAAAAGGCTGTCTTATTTTGTGTCTGTTTAACCAAAGAGAGAAGTTCTCTACGTTTTTCTTTTCTGGACTTCAACTATTCCTTTGATAGCATGATCGACAATTTCAGACAAAGTTTTTCGAGTATTTTTTTTGTAGAGGATCCTTTTTTATTTAAGAATTACAATCCAAGAAACAGTTCAGAAATGATGCGATTTTTGTTGAAAAAAAACACACCATCTCATTTTAATTGATACAAATCAAAATTTTTGTCACAACCATGATTACATCTGTTCGTCACTATAGTACTTTTTTCATTTGGAGAAAAGTCGCCGATCCTCATAATTTCTATAATTATCCAACAAGAGGGCAGTACAAGATGAAGTGATATATTTAGAATGTAAGCAAGACCAGTAACACTATACAAACGAACACAAGCAATCAAAGAAAAAGCAATGTCGTTGTTTTTTTTAATTTAGACAAACTACGCACAAGCCTGGATCAAAATGGCTACTCGAGTAAAGTACGAATTTAGTACAATAAAATCTAATCTATTGTCACCATTGAAATCGCCCGTGATTAATCCAAAGGGTGAGCCAGGACTTCCGATTGAAAATATCAATGGCGATGAGAACACGCTTTCACCAATACCAAACCGAAGATCCAATTGATTTTTATAATTAAGAACCACTGNCAGTAGTCGACCAAAATCTTCCAATGAAATACTTGATGATGCTACTCTTGTCTTCTATTTTGCTTTTAATAATAATTCATTTCTTGATTCTGGTCCAAATAGGATCATTGGAACACTATATAATGTTACCTTAATTAATGATGCTCTTCAATTTTATCAATCTTTTTCATATTTTCAAATCGAAACTTTCATTCCTCCTAATATCGATAATGCATTTTCTTCTATTGCACTATGGATTAATCCATCTTCAACTAATTCGACAAGTATCGTTCATGTTTCAAACAACTTTTCATGTTGGAATATGATCTCATTGAACGATCAAGGTCATATTATCTTCGAATATCCACAAAATCAAACAATCATTGGTCCTTCGGTGATTTCAAATTCATGGACACATCTTACACAGACATATTCGATAAATAATGGAATTAAACTTTATATTAATGGAACATTATTTAATCAAACATACTCTTCAAGTTCTTTTCTAATCGATCCATCATATACAATCACTGTTGGCAATTGTTCACAAAATTGTGACGCATGTGACGTTAATGGAACTTCATATAATGGTTTTATCGATGAATTTCGCGTGTATACGCGTGAATTAAATGCGAGTAATGTTCAAAAATTAACAATTCAATCAAAATGAAGAATATTCTGAATATAATATTTGAAAACGAAATGACAACAAATTTGATTGGAGAGATTGTCAAGATCATTGATTTTATCAACATGATAAACTTCAGCAAAATCAATGATTATAACCAGGACAATCATGTATCACTATTACAACCACAATTCTCAGAATAACAATCACTAAGAGAACTAAATCGTTCAAGATATACAAAAGACATCATTTAAGTAAAAGTTGCAGTAACATTGATATTTCATGTGATCTCTTGATAAGGATAATATTTATATAGGATTTCACAGTGGTTTGAGAAAAGAATTGGAACAAATGTTCATCCTGTACTGATTACTACTTTAAATAATTTCAAGTGAACATTCGGGTAGTTGATACATATGAATTTGTTGTTCGGGAATACCAGATTTGAAATTTTATTAAATCTTTTACTGATTGAATAATCGATGAGGGTGAAGGTAAATGTTAGTTTCTTTCTTACATTGATTCACTGGCGTCATCGAAGCCCTCAAGATTATCGACTTTTTTGAGCGATAAAACTAAGAATAATAAGGAATAAAGTTACATTTGTCCAATAAACAGATCTTTACTATTAGTTCCTTGACTCCCTTCATGATTACTATTGATAATATGAGCCTATGGTCACATGAAAGATGTTGTCGATAATATGAAACTAACTGTTCATGTCTCGATCCCGTCCATTCTTCTGTTGCAGCAAGTACTGGTATTTCCTTTGAATCATTAACTTTATATTGCTGAGAAGCACTTTGATAGAGATATTTTTAAAAGCCACAAATTAATCTAAAATCACCAAATGTCATATTTTGCCATGTATTAAAATTAAATTCCATTCTTGTAGTTGGATCTGTAGGAGCACCAGTAACCTTCTATAATCTTTCTTCCCATTCATGATCAAGAGTAATAGTCTCNGTATTTCCTTTGAATCATTAACTTTATATTGCTGAGAAGCACTTTGATAGAGATATTTTTAAAAGCCACAAATTAATCTAAAATCACCAAATGTCATATTTTGCCATGTATTAAAATTAAATTCCATTCTTGTAGTTGGATCTGTAGGAGCACCAGTAACCTTCTATAATCTTTCTTCCCATTCATGATCAAGAGTAATAGTCTCACTTTCTTCCTGGTCATAGATGAAAATCGTTCGTTCTGCCGACAACCACCTAAATTCTTGCAGAAACCAATATTGACCACGTGATTATCTGAACATTTCCAAGTAGAAGTAGCAAAGAACAGTAACATACGAAAGAAACATTCTGATTGTGCATTTATTTTTTTCTATAAAATGAAATAAGAAAACGTTTATTCGATTTGAGGTTATTCAATGTTGAAATCGTAAAATTTGCACTCAAAATGTCTGCGAATGAAATTACAGCCGTTTCTTGGACTCGAATCTTAATGAAGATACGATGAAACTGCGTCTTCATTTATCTATGTTTCACTTAACAATCGCATCATTCTCATATGAAATCCATACTTCTATACTATTTTAATAAAATAAAGAAATTCACTAGAAATAATATTTTTTCTCCAATTCTTTCCAGCTGAAGCAATAGAGGACGATGGGAGGAGTGTCTGGCAACGAGCTCGGAATTGATTTCAACTTTCTGTTTAACTTATTGCTTGCATAGTGGTTATGGAAGATTCAAATCTCAGTATATGAACAACTTTCATGAGATCGAGAACACCACGAAAGATGTTTGCATAAGAGTAGACCGCTATCAGTATCTTTCTTTTTAATAGGTAGATTTTATAATTATTCAAATCATAACATGTAGTAGAGGAATGAAGAAAAGTTCTCTTTAAAGGTGTTTGATAAAATAAAGATGTTGGCGAATCGCCTTTCAAACCCGCCTGTAAGATTGCATTTGATTGACTTAAAAAACTAAGGAAGTTCAGTGAAAACTATGAAACGATATCAAATGTATTTTTCGAAGTCATTATGATTTCTATTTTACAGTAACTGAAATCGTTGTTGGCTTCATATTGAATGTAATTGGATGGACTTTTATGTTGATTCTTTTTGATCACCTCGATGCATCAAATCGAACGATACGCGATGACGAGACTGAAAAAAAATTTGATTGAAACAGCTTCTGATGTTCTAAATGGTTTACTTTTTTATTCGAATCGTTGGTATCTTGGGATGACCTCTTTTTAATCTGGATATACTTCATTTGAAATGTCGACCGAATTTAATTGAACGTTATTCGACGAGCATCGTTTGAATTCACATTTTCTTTTCATTATATTCCTGATTTCATATCTGTTGTCTTTTGTTCTCTTTCTCATAGAAAGAAATTTGGGAAATATAAATTGTCTGGTGATTCGATTAGATGTTCATACTCTCCTGATCGGTCTAAATAAGAGGAGAACAAAAAATAATTGAAGATGAGGAATGGAAATCTGAGATCAATTTTAATTAATCGATTTATTATTAATATTTCTGAAAAACTTGACCAACGGTATTGTCGAAGAGAAATTCTAATGTAAGATTCGTTTTATAATTGTCTCTCACTACGATTCTTCGCCTATCTAAATTAACGAGTAGTAAGATTTACGCCACACTCTAAAATCAAATCTTTAATTCTAAGGTATCGTACATAAAAAGATATGACTGAGTGTTTTATGATGAAACAATTTATATAGGATAATAAAAATCAAACTTCAGCAAATGATTTTACAACAGTGTACGATTACTATCACTTCTACTGGTACGAACGATTAACACCCGAAAAAGCGGACGGGTATTCGATAAACGCGTTCTTTTTCAATAGTATGTTGTTCATTATTAGTCAAATATGAATATCTTCGAATAGTTCATTGTTCTTCTTCAACGTATCTATTCATATTTTAAATAAATCTTTCGTGTTAACAAATCGATTGTTTAAAATTTCATTGTTTCATCAAACAAATTGAGATTTTTTTCTCTTTCGTGTAACAGAGAACTTGACTATTATTATAAGCTGTCGCTTCTGCATGTTTCTCGAAGTTCAAGTGATATAAAAAGATATGATACATCGTTGTCGACATGTTGTTTTGATTCAATTCTCTTTAAGCCAAAAAATCTTTAATAGTCCATTGACTGTTTTTGCAAATCGAATGGTTTTTCTATTCGATTTTCTTCACTTCAGACTAAAAAATTAGTGAATTTCTCAGCTCTGATTTGATCAAACGTGAAAGGAATTGTATTTAAAATAGATCTACATAGAAAAAGAAATACGCGAAACTTCAAATCACAAAAAAAGTTCGATGAATTATGTTGAACGGACATCAATTGATCGAATAAATGCTTCTTCGTTGAATGATATTCGATTTGAAGATGTGTTCGAAAGAAATATCTTGTAACATTAGCACATTTCTTATGAAGATTTCTGTTCAAAATTAACGAATTTGTCAATGAAATGAGGAATCAAGTGCTGTTGATGAGAAAATTATATGAAACATTGAGCTGTATCAAAATGGCAACTATTCTCAACTCATTTTCACTTCAACGATCTCAAGTGAAAACATCCTTTTTTCTCATAGTACAAATGAACAAAACTTAATAAATCAATCTGGATTTTCATCAGCGAAATCATCACACCGAATAATCTTTAATCTTGATAGTGAAAGCGTCAGAATATCCGCGGAATATAATTTAATCTTTTGACATCTGAGTTTTTCTTAGAATTTGAGGATAAGAGTGTGAATATTGACTTTTCTTTATCAAACTAAAATGACTCGTGTCGCTCGTACAACTTCCTCTTTCCGTAAATGAACTTCGTTCTGTCTAACTAAGATTTGTTGACATGTCGGAGTGACTTTGTTCTTTTTCTGCCCAGCAAACTTCTGTCGAATTGCATCAAAACGATTTTCTCCATGCCATTTCAAAACGTTTGTCCAAAAAAATAAGAATAACACCATCTAAACACGATTCGAATGTATTTCCAGTCATCGCAACGAAATTAATTTTTCCATCAATTGTCTCGATACACAAAAAATTCAATATGATCAACGGTGTCCATAGAATCAACCAAATCGTATAGAAACAAACATAACGATAGATTAATCGACGATAATGATTTCACTGAATTATAATTTGCTGTGATTGAGTTCGTTTAAGAAACATCAAACATTTAATCGATGTTAGAAAAGTAATTCCAATTGGTAAAACAAACAAAACACTCATGTTCCATATTCGAATCGAAATTGATGTATAAATTAAAGAACAACTTGATCCTGCTAATTCCAATAACAATGCACCAATTCATTTGGTTTTGAACAACTATATTAATCAGTATTAAGGAAGGAATGATGAAACAAATAAATAATATCAAATGACGATGAACTGAATAAATCTTTTTGTTATAAACAATTTGACAATAACGAGAAATATTAAGAGAAGTTAAAAAGAATGACTCAAGCATATTGAAATACAATGTAAAATATCCTTCGAAATAACATAAAACATTCGATGTTCCTATTGACATTGTACTACGAATAACATATTGAATAAGATATCCAATAAACATAAACATATCTGTTGAAATATAACACACAGGAAATATAAAAGTCAAATCAAATTTAATTCGATGAAGAAAAAATTGAATCCACAATAAACAATGAAGAAATATACCGAAACATATAATCGAAAGAAGAAAATCATTTTCATATAAAACTATTGAACTCCATCTATTTGTCGAATGATTTGACAATCCAACGATCATTTTCTAGAGGTTTTAATAGAATAAATAAAAGATTAACGGTAAGACAATTTCATTTAGATACTTTTTTTAATCCATTTATTCGTATATGCACTTTCACTCGAAATAATTACTTTCTTTTTCTCATCGGATGTTTTATTCTTTGTAACACATTACTTTCTTTAGCTAAAAATATTATCATGTCTCGCAGCTATACTACTGTCTTAATTATTTTCTCATTCTCTAAAAGTCGATCTGTTCTTTTTCTTGAACAAAAACTCCAGATTTTCTTTTGCTTTTTTATGTTTCATCATGATCCAGGCCGTATCTTCTTCGTTATACCATTTTATTTTCGAAAATCGAGAAAAACATTTGATAGAATATCTCCAATAAAAAAACAAAATTAACTGTTTTTAAGACATCTAATTTAGCATTAACAGTTGCGACTAATGCCATGAAGTATTTTATTGCTCATGTCTGTAACAATTAGTTTTGTATTCTGTTCTTCCGCAGGGCATTTTCATTGCATTTCTTTAGCATCTTTTACATAACATACGGGTACTTCTTGTGTACTCGAAAGAAAAGCAACTATTATCGATATGTTTAAAGACAATTCTCAGATTTTAAACAAATCAAAATAAATATTTCTCATATGAACTCGGAGTTTTGCCTTGTTTAAATCATCAAGAATAAACTCTATCAGTATCATCAACGTCTTTTTCCATATCTGTTGATACCTCATTAAAAAAAATAGTTTTTTCGAAAGTGAAATAAATAAAAATCAACACGTGATTATCTTCTAACCATTTTCAATGTTGACTGTGATAATCTTTAATTTACTTGGATATATTCATAGATACGCGTTCACTTTTATACATTGATTACGCTCGATAAAACGATGTTGGCGGGAAAGCTTTGGAATTTGTGCTTGAAAAGAAAAGATTTCTTGTCAGTTTTTCTGCTTATACAATACATGTGAAAGTGCCTTTTGAATTCGATGTACCTATACAATGAAAATTAGATGTATTTTGTAGATGATTTTATATAATTATTCAATAAATTACATAAATCATAAAAATGACGTCGGATGATATTATTTCTTGACTTCTACTTTCGATCTATTGTGACTCTAAAAACAACAAAGTGTCTTAGTTATATAGTTGAACCTTAGATTTCTGTTTTTTGATTTCTAAATAAAGACATTAACAATCAGATTCTTTTTTGTGTATCAACCGTAGAGAATGCGAATGAAGAATTTTCTTGAATTTTCAAAGTCTTCATCCACATCTTTATATTGATGATATAAGGAAATTAGTTTCATTGATATGAGAAATAAAATTATTTTTAGAAGATGTTAATCATTTCATTGGTGTTTTTTCTACTAAAGAATTTCCTGAATACCTTTTTTGATAATGTCTTACAGGAAGATCAGGATCATTGATTGATCAATTGCAATCTCATTAGTGTCGAAATACTGTTGATTAATTAATCTAACTGCTGTCTCTCTCTTCTCATATTAAATTAAATATTTTGTTTTTCTTCAATTATCAAATTCACTATAAAATCACCGGGGCGAATTAACGATACACCTGTTACTCTTGTGCCGCACGCTTTACGAAACATTTTCAAGTCCGACGGTATCATATCGACATCGATTTGCACGCATTGTAATGTTGCAACTGTGCACCAATGTTTATCTCCTTTAAACAATTCTCAACTAGCTTGAAATAGATCAAATGTAGGAATTTGTTTGTTATTTTTTGTTACCCATATACGCGGAGTTCGTGTTTCAAGTTGACCATTCCATTGATCAGATTTTTAAGTAGATGAAAGTTCATCACTGACACCAAGAACTGAATATAATTGACCGAATTCCATCGCCTGATCGACAATGATTGGAACATTTTTGTCTTTATCAGCAGCATCACCAGCAAGAAATACCTGACCAGATGAAAAGCTATCTGCAACCGATGCACTACTTTCTCGATCACTTGTTGCAAGAATTTTGATTCCTAAATGTGATCTACCAGTTGTTTTAAAAGTCATTGTTTTTAATGTTTTTTTTGTCACGTATTTTGTCATCCGAAAAGATCAAAATCTGGCTGTTTTATTTTGAACTGTCTGACTCCTGACTGCAGATATTCTTCAAGTTGAACACGAAACAGAACACTTCGTACAGAACGAATATGGCCACTTCTACTGCGATTAATACCTAATAATCGACAAATGGGACTATCATGACCATCTGTCGCTATACCAAATAGTTAGCAGACAGAGTATATTGTTTTCCACTGCACTCTCGTAATTGGATAACTAGTACAGTACACCCTCCACATCATCGTAGAAAAAGAGACGTTGACAATCCAACTAATCCACCACCGACAAACCAACACTGACACATATCTATGAGCTAAAGTGTGAGAAAGCGTGTTGAGCATTCTACAAGGAAAATAAATTCCTGAATATGTGACTAATTACATATTTCACATATATTTTTCAAAACGATGGAAACTTTGAAACAGTCAACTTTGAATTGATGTAAAATCATTTTGTAAATTACGAGGAAAATAGAGAGAAGAAAATTCGAGTCATGTGAACAAACGAAAATTTACATTGGATAAAACTTTATTTGGGTAAAAGGTGAAAAAAAA